ACTACAAATAAGGCATGATAAAATGCGAATCATGCGAAATAGAAAATTGATATTACTACCGCGTCACTCGGTAACAATGTGACATAAGAGAATAAGAGAACGATAAAAAAAATACAAAACTAATAAAAAAAAAGACTAAAAAATACAGAATTTTAAGATGTATTATACATTTAAATAAGATTTTTTTTTCTATATAAATATAATTTTCTATATAAACGTAATCGTTTATCTTTTTTTGGAATATATTTTTTGTAAAAATAGTCGAAAGAGGGAGATAAAACTAGCAGCAAACGCTCGATAAGAATGAATACATTAATCGTTTGTAAATAAGAAACAATATATATGTATCGCGTATCCATAGCCATAATTATGTTTCTTCATTATTTTACATTATATCAATATGTCAAGAATTATTTACCTTATTATTTACCTTGTAACAAATTAGAATCTAGATTCTACTCTGCTTTGGGCAAAAACGATGTTCAAGTAGAAGTTCGTACCTTTTATTGATAAATAATTACGATGCTGCAATTTTTAATTTTGAATCCGCTATCCATCTTTAATCGATAAGAATCTTGGAAAGAAATTGGATGGCGTCCAGACTTTAACTCGATCTCAAGAAGAATGTTGTAACAATGACACGTACGTATAAACATACGTGTGTAGAGGTCGGATCATTCGGTCGAATTCGCGCGTTTGACGCGTCGCGTCGACGGGCGGCTCGTCGGCAATCTTCGGCGATTTTCGGCCAACTTCGGGCGCGTCGCGTCTGTCGCTGGCGCCGCTCGCCGCGCGCTCGTTCAGTCACCGGTCGGTGTCCCCCGCGTTAATATCGCGTGTGCGTGTACGCGTTGCGCTTTTCGACGCGCAAACGACAAGTGGCAGGGATCCCCGGATCTGTGTGAATTACATGGACCAATGATGCGATAGCTGCAGAAAGAGACGCATTGAGACAAAGAGGGCCGATCTTGCGTCCATCATGACTCTACGGTGTTTACGAACACGCGTCCTGAGAGAGGTAATATTTTCCTATCTTCCCCGTCCTCCTTTCGCTCGCGATTTTCTCGATATGTCGCCGTTTGCTCGCAAATGCACGACCTCGTTTTTTAACGGTTCGTTCGGTAACTTTCATGCGTCGGTTCGCGATACGATAAATCCCCGACATCGCGAAAGATTACGCGAGAATAAAAATCGCGGTTCGCTGCAAGAATTAACGATCTATGTATGTTAATCATTAGGCAATCGCCTGCGATTGCATTAATCGCGATTTAATTCCGTACGCGAGCCGCAACGCCGGGAGATCATACGTGGCGTTCTTAGGTCCGTATTTTTAGTGATATTGGCACGCACGCTATTAGCATGCCGGTATTGGCAACGATGACCGCGTGCGGTGACCAATATCTTATAGTTTTTACGAGAAAGTGACCATTTTTGTGCCCGGCCGGTCTTTGCGCTGGTCGCGAATACGATGAGACTCGCTGCCTCGCATCTATGTTTGTCCTCTGCCGGCTGATTCGCCGCCGTCGAGGCGGCAGAGTTACGTATATCGCGATTTGTTGAATGTTGGTACCATCAGTGGCGTAATATACAATGGGAATTAAACTGCCAATCGTCAGTAATATTTAAAAAAAGGAATGAAAAATTGAAAGCGAAACAGTAAGAGAAAAAAAAGGATAAGTTTATTATTTGTATACACACATTTTTTCACATCAATTATTTTGTATTTTTATAATTATTTTTATAATTTTATAATTTAATTTATATTTATAATTATTTTATATTTTCGTTGCTCTTTTTATTATTAAGATTATCAAATTTAGAGAATTAAAAAGAGTAAAAAGTAATCAGACATGGTCGGTTGACATATGGTTGGAAGGAATAAGACGTTTATTCTTCTTGAGTATATTTGTAAAGAGATTTAAATGTTACATCATTGCGCGTGAGAAATGTAGGATGATTATGCGAATGCTAAGAGGATTATCATGAGCAATGCGAATAATGCGAGAGAATGTTTGCAAAAACCATCTTCAATGAATCAGCGTTTAAAATTGCAATCTTTAAGACGCAATAAGATGTATTTGTAAACTACAAACAATATACTGTTTGTTAGATGTTGATTCACAAGACGAAGTAATTTAAATGAATGATTAGATGAAGATAGCAAAATATTGGTCGATTACATCAAATCTGTTTTCTTATAATTGTTCTATTTTTATATCTAAATAAGATGACATATTAAATGGGTACTTTTACATTGTAAGAATAAGAAATTAAATTAAAAAAATAAAGCATAAATAGTTGCAATGTATATAATATAATTTTTATAATATAACATATATATATATATATATATATATATATATATATATAATTCTTTACTATTTTATATCTGTCATTGGTGTAATTAAATTTGCGAATAAAATCTTTCATTCGTCTATTAAAAGTCATAGAACAAATTTGTTGTTATTTATTGTAATTAATTTGTGTCGCAAATTACCAATGATCATGAAGATCATGATGATTTTAGATATCAATTTGTGAATAAAAAGACAGGGAAATATCGAATCCAAATTTAATAATGAATATTTTTTCATGAAAGAGAGCAAGAGAGAGTGTTTATTATTAAGATTTAACTTGTTTTCTTACGATTGCTAAAGCAATATCAAAAAAAGGTAAAACAAACGACATAATGAAAAGAAACAGGTGTAGAGGCCATATTTTGATCCATAATTAAAATTAAGCTTCATATAAACTCAAGTTATGCTTGTTACGATGTTTTCTTTAATTTTACGTACATTTTCATGAAGCATAAATTATATAAGAAATTGCAAAAACTAAGAAATATCCTTTAATATTAAACAAATTGCATTATTCGGTATGTTTTTACATTTAATTTTTGAAAAGAGAATATATTCTAAGCAAACACAATCTTCTTTTCAATGGCGATTTAATCCAGACCGCTTTCTGCGAGCATGCATCACATTTGTGACCTTGCACGCGTTACAAGAAAACATCCGACGTATGTGAACGCATAAATTTACGAAGCGCTCGGCATGCGAGCCTCAAGCTCTCCTCAAGTAAGAGGAGCACACATGCATTTACAAATTAAATGAGTGCTTTTATATATCATAAGAAAATTGAGATGAAATAAAAAAAATAAACAGCGTAAAAAGTTGCAATATGTAATAATAAAATCTTTATAATATATAATATATGTATAACGTATAATATATATAAAATAATATAATTTTTTTTAATATATGTAATGTAATACTATAATCCTTACAATTTTATGTATGTTACTGAAAGAGAGAGATGAAGTTCGATTTGCAATTAAAATTTTTCGTTAGTCTATTAAAAATCATAAAAATTAAAAAAATAAAAATTAAAGATGGTATTAATTATATCATTATCAAATATGATCATGGAGTTTTTAAATATTAATCAGTTTGTGTGAACGAAAGTACAGGAAAATATCGATTCCAAATTTAATAATTTTTTATATGCATATATATATATATCTGATCTATTACGTCATTTTCGTACGTCATTTTCGTATTCGCTTTTTTGGTGTCCTTTTCTCCGATTACGTTTGAAAATCTATTTAGTCAAAGTAAAGTAATATTTGATCAACCAATCTGGGTCAAAAGGAACAAACATTTCTCTCGAATGCTATTCTACTCGGACGAGCAGATTTTGGCAAACAACTTCTATTATGTGTGATGATAGATCTTTAATAAAAAATCATCCCAAATGTTCTCTAATTTTTTTTTTAAACTCTACATCCCTTCGCCTTTATTAGCGCGGATTCTCGATCCTTTGACAGATGATTCTCCTCGACTAGCAATGTATATGTACGTCTCGCATGAGTGGTTCAATTAGCGTGCTCGTTAAAGCAAATCGAACAGCGTGTCACGTTTCGCGACATCGTGTCGGTGAATCTCCGTTGTTTATTGTTCTCGTCAAACCCGAGACCGGACGAAATTAATCACAAACTGAGAAAGAAAAATAAATATAGGTCCGCTTTTTTATATGCATTTCTTGGCGCGCGTCATGTAAGACACTTTGTTCATCATTTCAACTCGTATAAATTATCATGCATTATGTATAAATTATTATGCTTGAAATTGATATTTTGAAATCGAATTTCGTAGAATGTTTCCTTTAATTTCATTACGCGTTTGCGTAGAGCGCGCTGAATTGTGTTAGTGACAATTTTATACGTCACTTTCTTTAGCGCCCATTATGCTGTCCTACATTATTAAAGGCTATCATGAGATTCATTGAAGTGAAGATGAGAACAAGCAAGATTAATGCGATTTAAAATAAAGAGCGGAGAAATTCCAGAGTTTCTCTATAAAGTCTTTGCACACATTACTTTCTACTACATAGTTAAAGTCAAGTAATATTAAGACATAAAATTTATGGGAAATAAAGAAAATTAATGTGTATAATAAAAAAGAGATTATTGTCAATACGAAATATTAAATGCATCTAATACAAATATATATATTGATGAATATATATATAAGGAGATATTTTTTTATTTAGAAACCAAAGAGAAACGAATGAAATTAAAATCTAAATTGTTTTAATTTTTTTTCATTAATATTTAATATAAATTATTATTAATATTAAATATTAATAATTTATATTAAATATCAATGAAAAATTTATGTATTAAATATTAATACTTTATAATAAATATTAATATTTAATAAATTTACATAGCTCTCTTTTGTTCTCTCTCACCAATAATTGGGCATCTGGTGTGTTTTTGAAATAATTAAAAAAAATAATATATAGACAAAATATTGATAAAATAATGATAATATCAGCTTTTAATATTTACATATCTTGCGTGCGTGCGTGTCATTTCGTGTATACTTACTGCGCTTCTTATCTCATTTTTTTTACATTGAAACGTTTCTTAATTTACGCAGACGAGCGCGTGATGAGAAGAAGGCCATTCTACATTCTTTTCGCCGCTTTTGTTACAGCTCCGGACAGAAACGCGCGAGGATCAAGCCTGATGTCCGTATGGTCGACCAGCACCGGGCGCAATACAGTGTTTGCCGCGCAGAGCGGCGGAGCGGTGCTTCCCACGTCGCACCTGCCAATTCACGTACACGTGGCGCACGCACACCTGCGCAACCCTGACGGCCACTGCTTTCACAAACCGTACCACGATCACCATTGTCAGGTCGGTAAACATCTACTCCCCGCTGATCCTTGTCGCGGATCCTTTTCTCTTCATCCTCTCCACGCGACACGTTCGTGACATAAGCGTCTTTATCTCTTCCTACGTCCTGTGCTGGACGTGCTCTTATACCATCCCGTGCCATTTTCCGTCCTAGTGTCATTACTATTCTCGTTCCTAGTGCGTTGCATATCGTCGGCGTCGTCGTCGTCGGTTTGAGGCAATTGATTATGATTTTTATTACCGCGGATATTCAGGAGACCTGATTTGAATATTTGAGGTATATTTTATTTTCTCCATTCCAAGATCGATGTTAGCATGTAAAGTTTCATATTTCAGAATTTTAATTTTTTACGAACGCATATTTTTCTAAATCAGTAAATTTATTTTGACAAATTTTTACAAATTGCTTATATAAATAATTTTTATTCATCATTTTTTATTGCAAATAATATATCATTTATAAATTCTTATCAAAAATTACTGGTACAGATTTTTTTTCTTTTTCTCTCTCTCTCTCTCTCTCTTTTTGTTTTTTAATCAAATTCGGCTTTACTTTTTATATTGAGATTAAACAATCTTATGCAGTTATCTGATTACCAAAGAATTATAGTATTCGGAAAGATTGTAGCACGATCATAACATATGTTAGATCAGATATCAGTACATATTTCGATTTCAGTACATGTAGAATTATTTTCAACGAATAATAGATTCGTTTTCTTCGAAATCATAATACTGTCGCTTTAAAGCAACGTAAATACGTTGATCATTCGAGTGATCAATTGAGCATCGATGCATCGATCATATCAACTTCATTGCGCTTAATTTCATTTGACAAACGCCTTGATGGCGCGTGCCTTTTTAGAATCCTCTAATTACATTCGTCCATTCAAATACGTTATTACATTTGACTTTGAGCGCACGATTAATCATGCATGTTTTTCAGTGCTTCACTCTGTTACGTACTGATAATTATCCGGATGTCGTTCATAACGATAACATCGTAATAACATACTCTCATACTTTTTTTTCATTTTCATTTGGCGAATTATCTTCATATTCTTGAACTTTAAAATCAATCGTAATCATTTTTATCAAATGAATGAAATATATTCAATATCATATACGTACACACTGATATATATATATATATATATATATATATATATATATATACTTGGCTTATCTAGATTTTCTTTCATACAAGTGTATTTGTGTATTTGCGATATGCTTGCTATGATTTACGAATTGTTAATTTATAGTTTGATCTGTGTTTCATACTAAGAAAAAAATAATGTTGAATTAACATCTGTCTAATTGAAATTTAGTTTATTATTTCAATAACATTATTAATCAAATCAATACACCATGTACTAATTTGATTAATAATGTTATTGAATTAATCAAATAAAATTCCAATTATACTGATGTTGAGTCAAGTTATTTTTTTTTCAGTGCATGGTAGAAATTATAAAAATTCTCATTGTGTTATTCTTTGCGTTAACTATTTCTGTACTGTTGAAAAAAATATCGCATACATATCGTATGTTTTTAGATAGCACTAGATTGTTAGGAGTTTACGGCAATTAGCAATACTTCTACAAATGACGTAAGATGTTCGTTCCTCTCATCATACATACATATATACTTCCTCTTTCTATTTATTGCTATAATATATGTTTGTACACTAATTACGTACGCTTGTAACCATCTGTTTATTGTTCGGGAAGACTCAACAAAACGATAATCCGAGAAATTTATATTTTGATACGATATACTACTCGAGGATATAAAAAAATACTTGCTTATATATCAAGTTGTCAAAATAACAGACAGACTGACATCAATCGTATCTCTTCTTAGTTAAACAAACGAAAGTCTGGTATCATATAACAAATATGTCTTTTCATTGCCTTTAGTCACTATTTTCACACGTATTAAAACATAAGCTGTATTCATTACTAGAAGTGATCAAAGCGAAGAAAGAAGCTGATATTAAATCCAATCATCGTGCTTGATACATAATAGATTGTCGAATGATTGTGCGAATCATCGAGTATCGAAATTGTTCGAACGCGTATATCGCATTTCGTCGATTGCGAAGTCAGTTTTTCTAAACAAGCGAATATGTTACGTTTCGTATTGGAAATGTGCTGTTTAAGCTATTTTCTTGTTCTGCGTATTTTTGCATTTTGCATTTGACATGCATATATTTTTTTATTTTAATTTGCACTGGCAATCGGAAGTTTCAAGATAGCCTTTTATCGAATTAAGCAATGTACTTCCTCGTAAATGAAACATTGCGCAAATCACGTGTCTCATTAATGCATGCATCAGCTCCCTGAAACGCTCGCACGTGCGTGTATATGTGTGTGTGTTTCTTCTCATGCTTGCCAGACTTCCCGCAAGACGCATTTAATCGATCTTATCCATTCATATTCTCTTTTCTATGTTTTCATTAATTTTCGTTATTATTATTTGTTTCGTTCAGCACCCATTGGTTTTTTGTCCTACGCGGGACTTTTGGCAAGTTCTCCCATTGGCACCGACGTTGCCATCGATCTTCGGTATGTGCCCCTCTCTGTTTCTTTCTTGCTCGTGCTTGAGCTTTCATCAGGGAGTTATGCCCGATCGCAAAATTAATAATATCGCAGACTTTAGTCCGGAGTATAACAATAAAACCACAGTCGCGTTCCTCCTTTTGTTTTATGCTCGTGTCCCTTTTGTCCCGTACTAATTTACCGTCTCTTCGTTCGTATTGTTCGCCAGTCGACGATGTCGCAAGCGGGGGATGGCCTTCACACGCCGGGTTACCTATCCTGGAGAAAATTGCAGCTGAGCCGTGCGAAACTCAAGGCATCCAGTAAAACGTCGGCCCTGCTCTCTGGTTTCGCTATGGTAAGAAAACATCACGAGATGAATCTATTCTTCATTGGAAGAGCGTCCATAATTTTTTTATTAAAACTCTTTCATACTCTCAAGGTTATAAGAAGATACGCATCTTTCGCATGTTCATAAATAGATCCACGTCTTTCGCAAATTAATCAAGAAATTTGAAATGTTAATAGAATCTATCATGAATTTATTGAGCGGAAATAAAAAAATTTCCTGAAAGTTGAGATGATTTATTTCTTAGGAATATGCAAAATGACATTTGAATATTTAGGTCTCATTGCGCAATAAAAAAATTTGTATTTAAATATTTTATTAGACAAAAAATTAATTTTATTATATATATTATATTTTTCAATTTTATTATTTATTGATCACGTGCAATTGATGTCGTAGAACATCTTGGAATATATTTTTCAATATATTCTTGATGATGTAACCAGTATAAAGAAGATCGATCATTGTCTCCTTGTCTGTGTAGGTTGCCATGGTAGAGGTACAGCTGAATTCCACTACGCAAGTTCCCACGGAGATGCTGATCGCTTTTGCCGTGTGCACGACCCTCCTGGTGGCTGTTCATATGCTGGCGCTAATGATATCCACGTGCATATTACCGAACATCGAGGCCGTCTGCAATTTGCATAGCATAAGTCTCGTACATGAATCGCCGCACGAACGTTTACATTGGTATATCGAGGTCGCGTGGGCCTTCTCCACATTGCTCGGCCTCCTGCTGTTCCTACTGGAAATTGCGATACTCTGCTGGGTAAAGTTTTATGACTTTTCGCAAGTGGCCGCCTGGTCGGCCTGTATAGTGCTGATACCAGTATTGATAATCTTCCTTGCGTTCGCGATACACTTTTATCGGAGCTTGGTCGCACATAAGTATGAAGTCACGGTGTCCGGAATACGAGAGCTCGAGTTACTCAAAGAGCAGATCGAATCCACGGATGTGGAGGGCAGAAACGGTGTCAATCTCCTGCGGACCAATTGCGGAGCAACGCATATCGTTTGAACCGGTCTGTTCGATCTTTCCTGTTGTCGGATTTTTTGTTTTGGACTGAATACGCAGGAAGATACTTCGCGAAATACGAGGCGAAAGGGAGGGGCAGCAGGGATCTGTTGAAGCATGCGAAGATGCCGCGAGTATCATGATGTTTCTCCTGCTGGGAAACGGAATCTTTCGAGTGTAAGTTACTCACGAAGAACATGACAAATGACCACCCTCTTCGTGCACATGCACATGCTGCAAATGTTACGAAAGTTCGGTCAGATAAGATCTTCCTCTTTTTTCTTTTTATTTATACGCGTGTCCTCTGTGATGTAAATTAATATAAGTATGTACAATAAAACTCTGTTCATTGACGATGCGAAAGCATCGTAATGGCAGATTTAGGAAAGAGATAAAGTTCGATAAAACGTCATTATATATATATATACATATAATACATTCCTTCATTCGCGCGTTGCGACTTAAATGTAGGAAGAATAATACTGAGAAGATACATCGAGACTTGCAATTTGAAGATAGCCTTTTATCGGAAGGTTACTGAATATACAAATGAATGTACTTATCTTTTTATTGAAAAAAAAACGTGCTTATTTTCGAAAAATGCCATCAGTGTTTATATTTTTTGTTATCTCAGCAAATTGTCGGACACGTACGAAATATACAACACATATTTCGCGTTACATACATTTGCCAATGTAATACATAGAAAGTGAATTATCTTTCTTAAAAATATACTTTTAAATCACTATCACGCAGCGAGATTTTCTTTACAATATTTCAATACATAAATACATCACGTTGAGCTACATACATTCATAGACGTATAATGGGCGTTTTTCAGCGAGCGACACAAAGGGCACAGTATAACACAGTGAATCATTTCATCCTTGTTTACATTCGGCAAACAATAAGGATGAAGTGATACACTGCATCTTCTGTGTCGCTTACTGAAAAATACTTGTATATGGACTGCGCATTCCCACTCTCTCCTTTGTTTCAGCAATAATGTATATGAAATTTTAGAAAAAGAAAGTTTGTGTTCATAGTAGCTTCTTCTTTGTCTAACGACGCGTGGTGAGCGAAAGAAGTCGATCAAGACATAAAAAACGCAGTGGCTATTTATTAAATTTTTCCCCCACTTTTGTTATTGATAGACAGAGAAGAAACTAACACCATGAAAGCATGTTGTCTCCTTCTAAAATTTATATAACTTTCTAGCCAAACCCGAAGTCTGTATATTATACATACATTACGATTATAATAGAAATAAAAGAAATATCAATGTGTGGGAAGTTGAATGCATATACACAATTTTGCGATTAATTTGAGATGCATTATATTTTGTTGATAATATATGAAAGTCGAATGCGTATATATTCAGTTATTATTTGTATATATTTTTTTCGGCGCGCGAATTAATGGATAATAACTGGATAATAACGATGCGACTAAAATAAAATTGACGCAGATACAAAATCATACGCACGCATTATATTTGCCGCAAATGCGGAAAGGACTGGTATATATGAAACAAGTATGTCTAAATCGATTAAAGAAGATATAAACGAGAGATGACGCAATGCACATATAAGTGTATGGCACTGCTTAGCTATTTATCCTTGGAATATGTAATAACGTCGGATATAAACGGTGATAGTCGATGTCCTCTATCGTGCTGTTGATGCAGACGTCATTCTCCCAACGACCCTTTTGTACTTGATGGCTATCAAAGTGATAGAAGACCCCTCGACCTTCCTTCTTGCCATTTATAAATTGACCCTCGTAAAGATTACCATTTTCTACGGGGAGTTTAGGATATATTAGGAAATATTTATAAATTTTTAAGTAAGTTTTAAGAATATCTCACGCTTGAATGAGAGACTAATAAGGGAGTTTGAAGTCAATGCGCCCTAAACGAGAATAAAATCAAACAATTAAGGAGAAACATGTATCACTCTATTCTCTATGTAATATGTAATTAAAAGGAGAAAAAAATGACAAACATTTCTAAGCGAATTTATTTTTTGCAAAGTCGTATTTAAAAGTTTCACGTGTACCTTGAATGAATATCCCTTCTCCATGATAACGATCATTTGACCATGTACCCTGATAATATCTACTGCCACATTTATACCAGATCCGGCCGTAACCATTTCGTTTGTTTTCTTGAAACGTTCCTTCGTAATAACTTTCATCTCTGTACCAATTGCTTCCGAATCCGTGCTTTTTTCCTTCTATCCAATTACCGGCGTACACTTTACGTATGTTACCGTCTTTTGAAATTTTACTTAAGATACCATAGCCATGTTTATGATCCTTAAGCCAGTCACCTTCATACATCCAGCCATTGCTACAAAGATTCCATATGTAATAATAGATAAAGATCGATGGGACTCGAATATATGTTGATGGAAAAATAATGTTTTTAATCATTTAATGTATCAAAATTCAATTAGTTCAATTTCTTTTTATATTTTATATAGTGATTATTAGATTAAATGTAAGTTATATAATTAAAACAAATATACTTACATTTAATATTTTTACTTATATCGTTTTTTAAAAACGTTTTATAAAAACGAGTGCAATTTATATTTTATTGGAAAAGATTACAAAATCTTTTGGTGATTATATGAAAAAATAATGACTGAGGGATAAAAATATTGATTAAATATTAGGTAGATATCTGAAGAAAAGAAACTTAAGGGATGTTTTCATGGCACCTGCTTACTCCTATGCCTTTGCCCTCTTTCTTATCGTTTCTCCATTCACCCTTATAATGTGCTTTAACGATACGTTTTGCTTGAGGCGAATATATAGCATGTCGCCAACCATTACGTTTGCAAGATTCTATTCGTTGTTCGCACCACGTAACTTTTTGTACTTTTAAAAATGGCATTGTCAAATATTCGTAAAGAATACATGTTGATTTTTCATTTTGTGCGAACAATCGGCAATCTCCATAAATTAATCATGTAATTGCTTAATTCACAATGATATGATGATGACGTCTTACGTTATGCAACAAAATTATGGCAAAAATACGAAGAGAAAATCAATTTATTTCGAAATAATAGTCATGTATATGTAATTTTAATAAAAAATATAATATTAATAAGAAGCGAATTGAAAAAAAACATTTACATTGCACACTAAAATGAATATGCGCGACTGTGGGTTACTAATATTTTATATATATTAAATCAAAAAATTTTTCTATTAATCAGATACGAGATAATAATTATCAAAATTATTCATTTATTACATTGATTTATCATCTTAACATCTATATGTGTGTAATAAAATTTTTTATCAATCTCTTCTGATAAAATTTAATTCTATAAATTTTATTACATGTAATTAGTATATAATATTAACGATATTTATATAATGTAACATTTGATATATATTTCAATAGGTTATTAATGATATTTGCATGCAATATTTAATATATATTTTACATATAATTATTATTTATAACGTAAAGAAATTAGATAATTTAAATGAATTCAGCTATGAAGAGAATCAAGCTCGATCACGTGATCAATGACGTACGTACTTTTGTATGACGTCTGGAGAATTTATCCCCTCCATCTGGCAGTATTGTATCGCGCATGCGCAATTTGTTCTTAACCCTAGCGTCACTGGTCATTGTCAATCAATTATAGGAGAACGAGTGTGAAAATATCGAGGATTTTATCGTGTTTCTTGTCTGTTTATCATGAACAGCGGTATTCACGTGCTTAACCCGAATATGGAAACTATTCCTTTAGATTCGACGATCACCATCGAAGACACGGAGTCGGAGACGGATATGATCGAGTTGGATTCGAGTTGCGACACGGACATCGCTTGTCTCGACGGCAATCCCATATACGATCCGAAGAACAATGAGAACTCGTCCCCGATCGACGACATCGATGCAACTAACGACGAGGTGACAACTCACTCGTCGAAAGATTTACAGTCCGTCTCGTCGAACGACGATGTTCGGCAACCCATTTTTAAGGTTATGTTTCGTGACGAGAGTGTCTCGAGGTATGAAAAACTATTTGTATATTCTATACTTTGTTTACAATGCATGTGCGAGAATCTGTATTCCATATAATCCGCGAGGATAATGTATTATATGACGCGGAAACACACAAACGGCTTTCTTTTTCCTTTCTTTTCTTTATTTTACATATATGTATGAATATAAATTAGATTTCTATAAATAGAAGTGTGTTCTCTATCTTGTGTGTTTAATATTTTATATATATTGTGAAAATTGTGCTTCTCTATAGATGAAAACATCTCGATCATTTTCATATTACTTAGAATGTAAATATTTTTGTTTACATGTATTGACTCCAGATTTTTAATTTAATGCCTAAGAATATTATTTGGGTAAAATTATCGCATTCAATTACAATTATAAAATAATCTAAGAGGATAGTTAACTTGTTAGACATTTGGGACACAAAACATATTTTGAATTTTACAAAATTAATGATATATTATTAATATAGTACACCAAGGATTCGACATATAGTGACAAATTGTTGCAAAGCAATTTACACAAAATAATAAAAATGTATTAGATTTAAATATATTTTATATCTTTAAATAATGAAATTCATGAAAAAATTACTTTTCTTTAATGCTATTGTATTTTTAAAATGTACAATATTTCATATTTGAGTGCCTTCAGATTAGTGTTTATTACATTATAATACATTATATCTTCTCGACTGCTTGCAAGCCAAACAATAGAAATTTTCTATTTCTTTTCTTATATTCTAAAACAATAATGTTTTAATATATTTAAATTTTGTAACATTTCCTCTATAAATTTGTTACGAGATTACATGATCATAAATAAAATAAACTTTTTTATTTCATTACCAAGTAATCAAAACTGGGAAATGATATAAATTTTTTTCTTTGAAATATATTGAAATTAAAAAATTTAGCTTTTTTAATATATTAATGTATCGAGTCTAAGAGCTTATAATTTGTAAAATAAATAATATTTATATTTTATAAATAATATTAAACATTTGAATGAAAAAGCACTATAAAATAACTGTTGTATTAAAATAATTGTTGTATTAAACTCCTTATGGATTATGAAATTTTATATATTTACAGGCAATATCGACAACAAATAAAAGATTTTTTGCATTCTTTAGTGCAATTAAAACCATCCAATAAGCAAGATGTAAACGTATCAAGTTTGATTTTAGAAGTTTGGGATAATAAAGATAGTTCCAAAGATCAAGAATTGTCTATCGATATAGAAGACAATAATGCATTAAATGATAGCACAGAAAACACTGATGTATGTGATTCACTGTTTATGATTGATAAAAAGCCAACTTTCCTGAATGATTTAGATGTTCCAACATATGGACAAGTATGTCATCTTTTTTTTATATGTTTCCATCTTTTAGACACGTTATTGATTTTTTTGTATGATCATTATACATGTATTGGTCTAATTATTAATTACATTGATTATTCTAAGAGGAATATCACAGTACTTATGTACTTATTATTATGATATATTTATCTAGTTCAAACAATTTATCTAGTTAAATTTTATCTTTTTTTTATTTTTATTATCTTTATAATTTAAAAAATATTATTTCGTCTTAGAAATATGAGGATATTACTGAAGAATCAAACTCTGTAACAAGAAAAGGTTACATGCCAAAATTAAATTGCTTCAATTGTAATGGAAATCATAATTTTCGAGATTGTCCATTGCCTAAAAATCAAAACAATATTAATAAAAATCGTAAAGAATTTATGAAAAATAATTCAGGAGTTCGGTATCATATGAGTGAGGATCAAAGGTTTAGTCATATGATTCCTGGTCAGTTAAGCCACAAACTACGAAAGGCTCTAGGATTGAAAGACAATCAACTACCTAAGCACATATATAGGTATATTAATAATTATGTAATCCATTGGATTTTGGAGAAATTTATATAATACTCACTCCTTCCTACTGTTTTTCAATTGGTGTTCATATTTATTTCTGTTGTCAACATTTTAAGAATATATATCATTTTTGTTTTATAACAAGTTAAGTGTGTGTGTACGCGACAAAATATATATATATATATATATATATATATATATATATATATATACACTCACACACACACACACACTTTTTTTCTCTCTATTATTACATAAATGTATTTGCGCGAGTTGAAATACTGAATGAAGAAGGAGAAAGATTTAATTCTCTCAATCTAATGGGCCAATGAGATTCTTTCTACGTTTCCAAAACGTTTTTTCTTAGAATGAGATTACTTGGCTACCCTCCAGGGTGGCTGGAAGAAGCGCGCTTACAACATTCTGGATTATCATTGTTCAATTCTGATGGAATAGCGGAAACTGATCCAAATGAAGAAGAGGGAGAAATCATTACAGATATAGATAGAGATCAATATGATATAAAAAAAATATATGACTTTCCTGGTTTTAATGTGCCCTCTCCTCCTGGTACTATTGATGTAAGCGACATGTAGTGATCGCGAATATTACCTAATCAAAATGATCTTATCTCATAAAATCCTAAAGCATTTTTTATTGAAAGATATAAAAACACATTTCGGTCTATTGATTGCAGGATAGCCACAAATATCGGGCACCAAAAATACAACCTATGCATAGTAAGGAAATAATGTTATTATACTTACAAGGTAAAAAAACCGATGACGGTTATAAGCGAAAAAAATTGAAATTATCTACATCAATAGTTAATGCTTTAGATATGTCTAGTGATATGGACATAGAAGATACGGGAGGAGGTATAATACAATTATCAAAATTTCAAACATATTCATTTTTATTCATTTGTTAATTTTATTTGCTATTTATTATATTAAAATTGAAAATATTATTGAAACTTTTACAGAAAATGTTGTGGAAAATGTGCCTGTTAATGGACATTTTATACCACCATTACCAACAGAATCAGTGCAAACGCCACCAGCACCACCACCATCTGAATTATTTCAATCAATAACAGAAGATTCAGACTCACAGTCGCAAGAATTGCCTTCCCTTGATTCTGTGGTATATTTTTAAAAAATTAATACACTTCTGCGATATTTTTCTCATGCATCTCAACTCACAAATTGCATTTCTTTTTAGGATGATATAGTCTTGACTGCGAATTCACCGTCTCTATCTGACTTAGAAAGTACAAAAAAAAAATTACTCATAGAACTTGAAGATAATAGTTCGCAATCTAATTCTGGTTCCACATCACTTAAAAACGATTTAAACAATACATTTGCTGCATTTTCCAGTATAGCAGTTACGGCTCAATCAAATTGCTCTTCTATCTCTCAAGAATGCTCAAATGCTGATAAAGATTCTATAGGGTCGGGTTCACAATTTCATCTATCACTTAACAATGAATTGAACAGCAAATTAGACATGTCAATTCCCAATGAAACAATGTCTCAATTCAGTTCTACTCCAATTCTATCTTCTAAATTTCTAAATACAAGTCAAACTTCTGTCAAGTCAGTGCACTTAGGTACACCGATATTGCAAAGTACTTCCCCATATAATAAACTACCGTCATCAGAAAAATTTTCCAAAGATATTTGCGATGTTATCAATTTCGAAAATTTACCTGACACGACAGGTAAATATGAACAAATGACAGGAGTCTTGCAAAAAGTAAGAAATACTATGGCAAGATTGCATCAATAAGCATAAACAATTTACACAGGACTGATACATTTAGTAAGTATATGATATTTATACAGAAAATAGAATAAGTAATATGTGAGATTATGAATGAAAATACTGAAACGCCATTTAAAAAAGTTATTCTTTTTTTTTTTAACTCGATAAAAGATACATAGTATTCTATTAAATATTTTTAGGCATTTATATAACATAAATTAAATGTGTTCACATCTGCACCTAAAGATCATCTTAAATATGTTCACTTTTCTTTTCTTTCTAATAATAATCTAATAATAATTTCTAATCATTGCAATAAACAAAATTTTTCATTCTTACAAATTCATATCTGTGTTCACAAGTGAATTTAATTACTCAAAAAAAACTACGACTTAAACTTTATTTTTCTAAAAACATTGAATTTATATATTCCATCTTAAAACTCTATAATAAGCAATTTTAATCTTTTCAATATCTTTGGTGCATAATTTAGACCATTCAATAATCTACATGTAAATATATAGGTATGTATATGTATGTATGTATGTATATATATATATATATATATATATATATATATATATATATGTATATATAAAACAGTGTATTTTATATATGTGTAAATATAATGTATAATAGTGAAGAAACCAACATATATGCTATATCATTTTCCAAAAGTACAAAAATATATATAAAATCTTCATTATGCAGTTATTGTTGAATCTAATGATAATATTTATTTTATTTTTACAACAATTTGGATTCTTCTCTATATACGAACATTAATCTTAAGTGAATGCAAGTAAAGTTTTACTTGTGCAATATATTTTGTACATACTGGAGAAGATATAAAATATTGATAATCTGTGTGATTGGTAAAACTAATCCATATGTATATATAAGTAATGAAAAATATATATTTTAAAATACAATTTTTACAAAGAATTAAAGTTATAAAAATTACATAAATGTATATAAATTGCATCGGCTCAAATTGATAAATAATAAATTTGAATAAATATAAAATATAGCAACAAGTATTAAGTTTCAATATCATGTTTAATTTTTATTTACTCAGGACTAATTTTTATGCAGAGATTAACAATGTATTTAATTCTATAGAAGATTTGCAATTTTTTCCATAAATATTATCAACTCTCTCTTATTTTTCTTACAAATATAAATATGCTACAATATTAGTGCTGACATATAATTTTCTTTTCTATTCGAAAATGATAAATTTAAATTAACTTATAAATATTTTTTTTGCAATTGTATAAATTAATATGCATGAATATTATGAATAAATTAATATTATATAAAATAATTAACTACAGGATTTTTTATCTGAAATAAAATTATTTTTTTAATAAAGATAAAAATAAACTATACATTAACAATTATATATGAAACAAATTCTTTTATCATTTTGTATTTCATATTTTGTGGATATCTTTTTACAAAGAATATATGTTAATTACTATTTATGTTGACATAATAGGCACAAATTTTTTCTTGCAATATTGAAAATCAAAGTTTTATTATTGAAAATATAGGGAATGTACAAGATTTTTTGAATTTTGAGAACACATTTTTTTATTAATATAAAATATTTTATTATATATAAGAAAAATAGTATAAATTATACATATTTTATCATATATAAGAAAAATAGTATAAAATTATTATTTGTATATAATTATGACTTTTTCAAATTCTTAAATTTTATATTTGTATAAAATATCCAAAGTGTGACAAAATATCTCTATTTTAATAAAAACATATGATATTGAAATATATTATCAAACCATAAAATATGTAAATCTATTTTTCTTTACATTGTAGACAAAAAGAAATTGAATTTTTTCAATTTTATTTAATGTCGAAAAAATGAACAATTTGTGTATATATCTTATCACATGTATGTTTCTTATTGTAGATGCGTTTAAAAAAGTACAAATAGAATATTTCTCTTGACAAAATACAAATTCCCAAATTTTCAATTATTATTTTACTACTATGATTATATTTACAGCAAATAATTGCATATTTAATGTGTGAACATATGGGAGATTCTTTATACATTAACTTATTCTTTGTGATTCTTAATAAATTTTGGATATTTTCATGGATATTTTTCAAATAGTTTCTTATATCAAATAGAAATATCAAGCAAGCAATACTATTAGCTGATTATCTCCATTTGCAGGTACTTGATCTTTTCTTCCTTTAATGATCTTAAACTATGTTGAATTTATAATATATTCTTATTTTATTGCATACGAGTTTGACAACTTCATTAATTATTACAACTCGTTGTATTATTCATTAAGTTTAAAAAACTGACATATCAGAATAAAGAATGTTAGAGATTTTATATTAGTAATGTATAATTGTATTAAATTTTATTGCTATTTGTTAGAAAGTTTTTAAAAATATATTCATATTATATATATTGATCCAGGCACATGATAATTATGTATAGCTAGAGAGAAAATTTTAAAAGAGAGAAAAATGTTTTACATTGTATAAAATTATCGTGTACATATAGGGAGTTATATCTTAAGAAATACAGTTTATATATATCTCGCATATATTACAACACTTGTGATGTAATAACGTGTTCACCATATCTTCCTCTATTATTAACATAGATCCCATCAATATCATAATACTGCATTTCTTAATTCGTCGGTGGTGAAGGTGGATCGCCACGTGAACTCTGTAAATATATATATGTTCGTACGTTCAGATTTTATTAGTAAAGCCACTTAGTAACTTACGGGCTCATTGTTGCTCTTGATGATATTTCTATTTGATTGTCGCAAGGATCTCGGTCTAAATGCATATAAGAAAACAACAAAGCCAATAATTAAACAAGTAAAAAGGAAATCTGAAGATTCCTGAATGTTCTGCTGCGGTCCTGGAACTGAAAAGGAAACATTCGTGTTTTTTTAATACTATTATTGTAATTTAATATCTTAGTATAAACTTTTCGTAATCGATATTTTAAGTTAATTATTTATTTTTAATTTTAAAAAGAAAGTACAAGTAATTAGTGAGATTAAAATTAACTTAATTTTATTGTAGGTATTCAATTCAATTTTATTGTAAGATAATATAATTTAATTAGAACATATGTGCGTGTAGCTACAATATATTTATTATAATTAAAGAAATATTTAACACGCAGTAAATAGAGAGTACATACTTCTCGACACGCTGAAGCATTCGATATCCGAGCAATAATTTTGCGATTGTCGTAACTGAAATAATAATACAATTTAGCGAAACATGTCGCTTATTTGCAAAATATGCGCAATAAAGTAAATAACTCATTCCGTTTAAACATCTCGCAGATGTCGCGCTTCGCCTCAGTAAATGCGGTAATTATACAAAGAAATTACAATATATCATAAATATACGAAGATTATGTGCAGATACTTGATGATCGATATTTATTTGTTATTAGATAAAAGCTGTATATCAAATATTTCTTTCTACATTTCAACATCTACAAAAATTATTTGTAATTGCGAAATTTGTATTCAAATCTGAACAAAATTTATCCGGTAAAAACTAAAAAGTAAATCAATCTTTTTCTTACGCACGAATGTCTATAAATCTTTTATATTATGTATTTGATTCATATAATATCGCGTACCAACGATCGATTTACGTAATTGAAATGATTTTATGTAACTACATGGCGCAACAAAAAAATTCTGCCAACTAAACAGAAGATATTGCATTGCGTTGAAAATTGCGATGAAATTTCGTCGATTATTTTGTCTGACCTAAACCCAATGTTATGCAAAAATATATACCTTGTCATTGACCGTTATTCGATTTTATCGCGACAACACCTGATCGGAACTCTCGCGTTTTATCTTTCTTACAACTTACGATAGAAAGTAGATGCTGCATAGATCTGTGATTCCACATACATTCGCACGGATCAAATCCTTCGTCGCTCATTGTAGCGTAGTTTTCTCACAAAATCTGCATATAACAAAAGAGATTGCCATTTTAAAAATATTAATTATAAATGTATCAACATGCTTCTTTTTGTCGAAAACTATTTTGTTAGGTTCAATACATTTTTTGTTATCGACAATCTGCAAATTTATAATTGTAATTTTCTATCTGTTGTCTGATTATTTTTCGATTAGTTTCGTAAATACTACAGTGATGAAACTGAATCTTATTAAAATAAATTTTAGAAGAAATCTTTGCTCACTCTTCGAAATTCAGTGATGATTATATTTGATGGAATTATTTACGAAATAATACGAGGTTTAAGCGAATTAAGGATGTTTTTCAGCAAACGATATAGAGGACACAGTGTATCACTTCGTCCTTGTTAGTTGCCGAATGTAAATAAGGATGAAATGATTCACTGTGTTACATTGTGTCCTTTGTGTCGCTTGCTAAAAAACGCCCTAAGTTTACAAATATATTAAACAAATGACAAGCAACAATTTCATATTTATATTTCAGTAAGATTTATTTATCTAAATACTTATATATAATATCAAAATATATAGATAATTATATATAATATCAAATGTTGAAATATTATGACAGCGAGAGTTTGAATTTTCACGAACAAAAAGTACTTTATTTTATACACTTATAGGTTAAAGTAAAATTGAAACAATTCTCATAGTTTCTAGAGCATTTCGCATCATGCGAGTAATTATTCACGGCATTAACAATAAACGCGAGGAAAGGAAAATGGACTACTTAGCTTTCTTATCTTTAGCGACACACATGGATATGGTTTTAAAATATCTTATAAAACGATATAAGCGTTGCAAATGATGTAGATTATCAATGCAACTACCAAGGACACTGATTAAAAATACCATTTATTGCTCATATATAGTATAGTATATATTTTTTATGAAATTTCGTGAGCTTTATCATCTTTAATAACAAATATAGTAACATATATTTTATTACTTTTGAATTTTTTTGTATGTTATTATGTATTTTGTTTTCTCTCGATCGAAAAATATGTTTATTTGTTTGGTAAAATAATATGTTGTTTTTTGTGGAAGATAAGAATGTAACGATTTGTATACAAATCTGCCACAATACATTGTTTTCTGTATTGCTTTGCGATTGTTGGAAATTAAACTATATATTTTTTTTTCTTTCTCTCGTTTAAAATATATAATTATATTTGTTACAGTATAAATTTTATATATATATATATATATATATATATATATATATATAATCTTACATGATTTATATTTTATATGATTATTGTGTGTTAAAATTGAGAGTTTATAAATATGAAAATTCGCTTTTTTATATTCAGATAAAAATTTAAATATATCAAATTATAAATTCTAAGAAAATTGTAAATACCAATATTTATAATGTCGATAATAATATTAATACATAGTATATTAGAATTATAATGAAAAAAATAACGCTCAATAATGAATTTCCGCTCAATAATGAATTTTCGCCGAACATCAATTGAGGATTATCAATTGAACATTATTATTGGGAGCAGAGGCTTAGTGACTAGTGTGGCTCAATCGAAACTTATTAAAGTAGTACACTATACAAAAATATAAAGCGCTCGTAAGAACCGTTTGTGACGACAGCAATAATATTCTCGCGTCATTCGACTGATTAATTTGTTAACATTTTCTCCGCACATATATACATATAATATATATATATATATATATATATATATATATACACACACACACACACACACACACACACACACACACACACAGGGTGTCCCAAAACTCATAATCAATCTTTCAAAGACAGATTCCTGCGATCATCTGAAGACGATTTTTCCTCAACGAAAATATCGAGGCACTAATAATTTTTGAATTATAAGTGATTGGAAATAAAGGGTTTTTTATAAACTAAGCTTTGTAGAAATAAAACTAAACCACATTCTTCGATTAATTTTAAATAGAGTTTACTTTAGTTGAGTTTTAATTTAAGGCTTAATTGCAAAGATATATGATGACAAAAATCGGGAACATGCAAAAAATAATGACCTTCATCGACATTTTCACTGAGGAAAAATCGTCTCCAAATGATCCCAGGAATGTCTTTGAAAGATTGATTATGAGTTTTGGGACACCTTGTATATATATATATATATATATATATATATATATATATATATATATATATATATATATATCGTCATCTGTCATAATTGCACTATATAGACAAGTCGAGGAATCGCGTTGTTGTAATTATCCGCACGAACAATTTCATTCGCTTTTTTTCTCCGCACGTGTACAATTTTCCCATTAAAGCGCGACGATTTCTAAACGAAAAAAAAATTTTATTCGTATGGCGACACAAGGCGCGTCGTGTTCGAGATGATAACAGCTATACATACATTCTAAGCTCTAAGATCATAACGGTCAGGAATGACAATAAAAGAAAACGACAGGCTTGACATTCGATCGTAATTTGTTATTTGTCGATGATATCAACGTCGCGTAGGAAACAAAAAAAGACATATAATTGACTACGATTCTAAGAGCAGAGGAGTGTCATCAAGAATCGAGAAATACTTACCGTAACAGAAACGTAACAGACGAAAAAGCAAATTAGGACTGCGTGACGCGAAACAGCTGTGAACACTGTAGGACGCAAGTCTTCAGTCGTGTTATGTATTGAGGCATGATTGAGGTGCGTTCACAAATATGTAGTCGTAGTCGCGTGGGATTGGCAGACGCGATCGACCAATCGCCGCGTTCGGCGTGCGATACGCTATTTTCAAGCTACGATGCGCATCTAGAAGATTTCTTTTTTAGATCACTTTTCATCAACAGATAGAAATTCAAGAATACAAGAAGTAAACTATTAGCAAGATGTTATAAAAAAACGAGTTTGTTTTTTAAACGAGAATTATAACAAGTTAATGAATTGCAATTAATTATAAATATCACAAATGCTATCTTTTGTTTTATTTTAAAAAAACTATGCATATAAAAAATAGTTTTTCAAAGCTGAAGAAATTAATAAATCTGAGAACTCAAAAGAATTAATGTGCTCTGCTTTCTAAGAATTATCTTACATTTCTTGAATTTATATATCATATTATAGATAACAGCTGAGTTTTCACAATTGATGATCGATAAATGTCGAATTAGTGATTTATTGATTTCTAACGAGAAATTGAGAAACAATTTCGCAACTGTTGCGATAAAAATGTAAAAATATTAAAAATAGATTTAATAAACATCTTGAGGAAACTGATAACGAAATCAATTACCCAGACAGCACGGAGACATCTTACAGTAGCTCTTTATGAGTTACATAAATTTTTATAAATTCCTCAATTTTTCTCAAAAAGAGATGCTAAGGTGCTTGGATTGTAATCTTATGCGCCACTTAAATGGACACTTTGTGAGCTGGTCATAATAAGTTCTTTAAGAATAGTATTATGAACTTATTCTGAGAACGAGATCGTAGAAAAGTTAGTTGTGCACATTATTACAAATTGTAAAAATGTCGGTAATTAAGAAAATTTGTGCAATTTATAATAATAGGTTAATAATAGGTTTTTAATGATTTTCTAAATATTCTATAATTATTTTAAATTCAAGTTGTCAAAAATAACTTAAACTGATAAATAGTCAGAAATAACTCAAACTGATAAATAGTTATATCAGCAAGAGGTGCGGTTCACATACAATTATGCTGCGTAGCACATATATGTGGCTCTTTCTTTATATGCGTGTGACCAGTGTGTCCTCTTTCTGGCACTACTGCTCATAAAAGAAAAAAAAATATACTTTAAATTTTATGTGTTAATTACTAGTTTTTTTATATATATTTCATGATAAATATTGGCTACGAGTTAAATTAAGAGTGGCTCGCCGCGTAGCGGCAGTAACAAGCAAAGAAACATGTGCCACATTTCTGATATCAAAATGAATTTTTCTGACCATTGTATGAATATTATAACAGGTTCATATATGGGAACTCATAATCAGCTGCTTATGATTTAGTGTTCAAGAGTTTCAAAAAGTAATATTTTTAGATCACATCTTGAATTCATTTAATGCAAATTATAAAGAGGTCAAAAATATGAGTTCTTTATGAATTTATTAAGAAAAGTTTGCTGTTTGGGTATAAATCAATAATGATAAAGCTAATAATCATTGTATTAAGATTCTGTTGCAGTCGACAGTAGCATCTACACTGATAAGTAATGACGGATCTACATTTTCGGGAAGTTAATATTTTGAATAAAAAAATCATTCGAGAAAAACGTTACTTCGATTTCGCTGAAGAGACACATTCGATTTTGATGTCTCGCTGGAGTGGCAAGTTATTTGGACTTTAATTTTGCTAGACAGGCAAATTACTCGGCTGCTAATATGCAAAAAAATAAAAACGCGCGACATGTATCATGTACGGGCGGCATTAATACGTAATGGCGCGCGTCGCGAACAGCATCTATCACATTTACAATTAGTGACAGCGCGCGCACGCGCCCCGATTGGTCGCGACGTCACGTGACCTCGGCCGCGGTGACACGTGACCGCGGCGCGTATATACGCGTCGACGGGCGCTAAAATTCGCCACTTACTCTTTCGGTCCTTTGCGACGAGGTTCGTGCCGGAGGGATATACCATCAACATTGCACCCCCGATTGCACCCCCGTACAATCTCGAGCTCTCCCTTTTCGCCGTATTCGCCTATCAGAGGCCCGATTCGATCGATCTCGCGCGATCGAGAGAGAACGAAGGTAAGGAACGCGCTCTTCCGCGCGAAATAACTCGCGATGAGGACGGATTCGGGCCGTCTCGAAAAATCAGAAGTCCGTTGCTAATCGCGTCCCTTTACCGTCGTTTCCCACGAGAGCACCCTTGTCTTAAAATGCGCGAGCTGTCGCGAGCAGAGCGACGTGGCGGGTGATTCGCGCGATCCGCCTGAGAGAAGAGATATCTGGCCGCGTCTTGGAAATCATCGTCTCGACCGATCGCTCGTCTAACGATAAGTTAGAAGGAAAGGGATTTCCGGCGGGAGATTTCGAAAGAGTCTCTGTAAAATACGGCGCGGGGGGAGGGGCTCGAGGAGAGGAAAGACAAGGGACGACGAAACGGGCATGGGTCTGACGGATACCAGTTTCGAGCTACTCTTGACCCTGTGGCGAGTCTTCGTCGTGGGAGTCCTGCCGTGGACCGAGGAGCCGCGCGGTCAGTGTCGCGGTGTCTCGCCGAGCTGCAACATTTACGGCGACACCGTCGCCCGTTAATCGTCCTCGGCGTGATACTCGGTAAGTGTTTCCGCACTTTCAGTATTTCGTTATTCGATCGAAATTCTCTAAGATCGAAGGACGAAATCTCCGGCATTTCTATATCAATAATGGATACGCAGCCTTCAAGCGATAATTGTAATTTTCATTGCGCGCTTTTTGTTCTAATCTTTCGAAGAAGCGTATTCTCTTCCTAGGTAACTGGTTATAATAATGAGCCATGTATGTTAAAGGAATTTTTGTTTTATTAATATTTGTGCAAAGTTTCGAAAAATGTAATTTGTGCGTATAATGTAAAAATGTATGAATTTTATTTATTTTTTTTCAATCTTACGTCATTTTTACATTTATCGGATTCTTCGTATTCGATTTGGATTTTGTTTTAATACCTTGAAATAATTTCACACAAGATTTCCTTTGGAATTATTGTATAACGTTTTCAAATCTATGCATTTTTAATGGATCAAACGCAGAATTTTTTACGAGTTTACATCGTCTTACGGCATTATAGCTTTCTTCTCTTATTACTTATTTCGTTACAAAATAATTTCTTTCTCAAATTTTTCTTTTATTCATACATTTTTGAGGCATTGAATTCTGCGGTTAAATAACAAAATTTCTTATATATAACAAATATATGTGATATATATTTACATATAATTTAGCTTAATCATTTTTAATTTTCTTGACTGCGGTTTTTTTTATATAATTATAATAATTTATTATTATTATTATTATATGATTATATTATTATTGCATTACATATCGGAGAATTGAAGAATATTATATTTATATTGATTGTACATTATCCTAATATTATTTAAAAAAATTTAAAGAATAAAATAAGTCAAATATGTGTGAAATACATACATATATATATATATATATATATATACACTGAAAAAAAAAATCTGGATAATCCTGTATGATGCATTTACTAATGCATTTTTGGAAATATTTAGTTTTTATCATCAAGTATAATAACAATAACAAAAATTTAGTCTTAGACATTAGTATAAACATAAGTACAAACAGTATAAATATATAGTATAAACATTTTAAAAAAGCATTTTATTTAAGTAGGCCTACTAAATGTTAACATTAAATAATTATTTTATCTTAATCACCTATTTTACTTTAATCACCTATACGTTTAGTTGATCACTGAGCTGTGATGAAATAGTTTTAACTAAACGTATGATTAAGACGAAATAATAATTTATTGTTAACATTTAGTAGACTCAATTAAACGTAAAATATGTTTTTCGAAACTTATAACTATTACTAAATAATTTGTTATTATTATTATACTTGATGATAAAAACTAAATATTTTAAAAATGCTAAAGCATTACTAAGCATCTCACAAGTTTACTCAGATTCTTTTCAGTGTATATATATCTTAATTATTTGAATCAATTTTGATAATTATGCATGATAATCATATTTCTTGAAATACCAGTTTTTTGTTTTTCGATATGTATTTTTATCGAAGGAAATCAAAGTCAAAGTGTAGATAATTCAGCGTTTCTTAAGAATAAGTCAATCTTTTCTCTGTAACATGTTGACAGTCAAATCGAATGTTCAATTACGAAAGATAATTCATTAATTAGTATTATAGTCGTAGTTCACAGGGAACTTCGTTCATAGAAAATTCCCCCACTCGATTTAGTCTTTGAATCTGCATCTCCGATGGATCTCTTCTCCCACTATCGATATATATTCACTGATCACGTTATGTTATCGCATTCGCATCATTTAAGCACACAATCGAAACGGAGCTGCACACGAGTAGTCGTTAGTCCATCACCATTCGACTTGCGTGAGTCGCGTTTGATCGTTGAATTTTTTCTTTGCGAATTCTTTTGCTAAAGAAGAGAGCGAGGTGCCCTTGCGTATTGAAGACAGAGAAAGGCTGTTACGGTATGTCTTTTTTTAATATAAATTTTCGATTGCCAAAAATGTAGCATTTTTTGTTGCCATGCAAAAATATTCGCGATATATTAATGTTTTATTTTTAGACGACAAAATTTAATATAATATTCTCCATTTGATTTTTAACATAAATATTCTTTAATGATTTTTCATACCATTTTAACACGTAAAATTAAATAAGAGAAATATGATGAGAAATATGATCATTAATACACAAAAAAGATTTTCTTCTCTCGAGAATTTTTTTTCGATACGAACAATGTGAAAAGTATCGTAAACACTTATCGTGTGACAAAAGAAATTTGCTCATATATTTATATTTTTTTTATATAAATGAAATAAAACATATTCTTTATGAGATATTTCGTAATTAATGTATGTGAGAATAATATGGCTTGATTATTAAATATCGTACGAAGAGTAATAAAGATGTAATGACGATCATATTTATTTTTCGCTTGTATGGTTGGTATAATTTTTTCTAAATAATGTAAATCAACATTTATTCTGAGCATGGAAAAGTACATAAACTATAAGTACATAAACTAAAAGTACATAAACTATAACATTTTTGCAACTTTAATATATCTTCTTTGTCCACAGTGTAATACACTATAAATTCGATTCACACGTAAAACGATTCACACTACAGCGGATTCTTAAATTAAACAAACGTGCACGGAATATCTCTTATTTAAGCGTATTGTAGAATCGTGATCGCCGGAGTTACAACAAGCATTGCGTGCAGAATCTTGTTTTCGATTTTTTTATTATCGCAAATATTATATCTGATAGATATTTATAGTAAGAAAATGTTTGATTGATTTAAAACTTTAAGTATAGACATTTATAAGCATTGAGGTATATATATATATATATATATATATATATATATATATATATATATATATAGTAGCGTTTTTTAAAGTACATTCAAAAAAAGATTATTATAAGAATTTACAGTTTACGTATATTGTTTTTCTATGTATTTTAAATGTAAGATAGTTAAAAATTTCTTTGAAAAATCATAGATTAAAACTGAAATTTGTCTATGTGTCAATGCGTATAGAGAATACTTAACATTTTTTGTGTAATTGTAAAGTATTAAATATTACAAATTCATTTATATTTTAAAATTGCATTATCATGAAAAAAGATATATTTTTTATAAATAATTTTTTATAAATATTATCTTGCGTTTAAATGTTCCGATTACTATTTAAAAAGCAATCAATCGGAATAAGATTGATAACTAATTGACAATTAAAAATTGATACTTTTAATTTTGTTTATTCCCATTTTCTTTGATAAAACAAGCTACTATTTTTTGAACAAAATAACATTAATAATTCAAATAATGCATGAATAATTCGGATTTTTAAAACTAACCTAAAGCTATAGTATTTTAAAATTGGTAGCATAAAGAATAATTGCAATAATGACTGTAATTAGTTAATAAATAATGGTAAATAATTTAACTTTTAAATAAAAATACTTAAATATTGTTGATTATATTAGAGAAAAGTATATTATATAGAATTTTAATAGTAAAATTAAAACAAAATAGAAAAATAAGGTAAATTTTTTTTAATAATTGTATTTATATAATTATTGACAAATCCACTTTAATTTATAAATGCAGAAACTAGCAAAGTTTTGTATTTCATATTTTTTAAGAAAATGTAAGCATAATTTTAATCAGTTTTTATTCATGACAAATCTGTATTAAATTTACATGCAGGTTTTTAAAGTATATTGTATAAAATTTTAGTATTGATCGGACATTTATCACGTTTCGCGAATGTTTAAAAGATAACATATTGAGATTGTATATGATTTCTTTATATTCAATTGTTCCCAAAAAAATTCACATATTTGTTTTGATTCGGTTATTGGTAAAATATTTATAATAACAAATAACTAGTGAATAATCTGAAAGAATACAATCAATGCCATCATAAGGTATGCGTAAATTACCAAAATTATAATGTCATAAAATAATAAATAGAAATGTAAGTCTATCTTACATTAGAATCATAATATTAAAATTTTATATAAATATAATATATTCTCAAATATTTTAAATTTATTTTATTTAAAAAATTTTTATTTAAAAAAATCTTATATATACTATATTCATATAAAATATTATCTTATATGCTATAATTATATAAAATATTATATACTATAAGAAAAAGAAACGGAATATAAAGAAAAAAGTGAAATAAAATAAACAATTAATATTTTTTTAGCAAATTTCTCTAGGTTATTTTCTCTAGGTTATTTTCTTCTAGCTTTTTTACACTATTACTAACAGAACAAAAATGTATGTTTTCTTTTCAAAGATCATACCATATCAGTTAAGAACATGTGTTACATTAACACAAGAATTAAAATGTAGTTCGAATGTCGCAAAAAATGTGAATTTCCGCAACGAGCAATTCGCGTCATTGCGGTTTCCCTCATCTATCCTCGTATATGCATACGTTTGCGAAATACATTTTATCGATTTGTTATTTTTACTATTCTAATTACGATTGCACAATTATTAATTTGCCATATTATCTCGGAAACTCCAACTCAGAAAACATTGCTAGTGGGGAAAGACCGGTCTCTGGATAAATCATCGATGCGATGGATGTCATTGTAAAAATACGTCCACAAGAATTTGATTGTCAGAGAATATAACATCGTTGCCGCTCCTTTTCCTTCTCCTTCAGCCATTATCCCCGTTAAAACTAGTTTCGAAATACTCGTTAGCGACTGGTAATATTTCGACTGAAATATTGTCATTCACGCTTCAAGAGGGAAGAATCTTGGATAATGCATTTAACCTCTTTCATAAGAAAAGCATTATAATTATCGAGGCAGATAAATAAGTAATAGGATAGATACACTAATGATTGAACAATTAAGAAATACTGCTAAATGATCAATTAAAATCTGTTATTTAACAATATATTAGTTTAATGTGTTACATATCGACTGATCAATTAAAATTTAAACATATGCTATTAATTCTTTTCAAAAAATGTTAGAATTTATTATCATTATTTATCGAATTAAATTTTAATTAAAAACTCTGCGTTTAAACTTTGAAAAAAAAATTATATAAAAAGTCGAGTAAAAATACATAACAAATTAAAAATCAACTTCTCACTTAGATAATTGTCTTTCCAGTTTATTTGGTTTGTAAACAAAAACCTTATTAAATCAGATTTCAATTTACTACATGTTTTAAATTTATTAATATTTCTTTTTTTCAATTTACGAGTCCCGTGTCAAGTCGCGTTTAGCGAATCGGTCGAGCCTCCCGTGTCATGACGGAAGCAAGAGCGATCGATCTCGTTCGCGTTGACGGCAACGCGATTTTTCGTCGTCGTCCATCTTCGCGTTGGCTTGCGCGTTCGTAGGTGTCTCCGCAACCGCCGAATATCAATTAACCGGGTCGGTCCGCGTGGATAAGCGTGGATCAGTGCGCGTGACAGAAAACCCGTCGTCGAGTGGCCCCTCGAGGCCGGATCGCCCGCGATCGCCTTTGAAATATACGCTGTTTGACCGGTACCCGTCACGGGGCACAATGAGGCTCGTTGGGGGTCGAGCGTTGTCGCCTGAAGGGCTATCGATAACTTGTCGTCGCCAAATTACACGCCCGCGCCGCGCCGCGCACGCGACGTTCTCTCTCGCACACACGCATACAAACATACAATATACATATATATAAATTTATATATATATATATATATATATTTTCCGCGAATAATAATAATAATATAATAACCACATGGGGACAATTTCCTTCCTATTGCGTTAACGCGTCTCATGCATTCTTCTCCCACTTCACTCTTGGCTTCTACCTGCTGCACCTTCCTTTCGCTCAACTCCTTTCGTACATTGGCGACCTTGCATTTAATTTTGCGCGTAATAAATATGTATTCGTGAATCATACTTCTTCAAGATTATGTTTATGTTGACCAGTATATGCATACATAGATACTTCGAGACTTCTGCTTTTAAGAGAGAACTTTATTGCATCGACTCTTTCGGAAAAATTTATTTTGCTACTACTTCATCGTATTTTGCTACTACTTCATCGCTACCACTTTTCGTCTTTTTTCATTCTACTCTTAAATAAAAGATGATATTTTTTCCTAACTTGTTATTCGATCTCCGAGAAGTTTACATCTAGTTATGTTTTTGTATCAATTTACATATAATTATATGTGATAATTATATGTGAAATCTTGATTTATATTATCATATACATGTAATTATATTTATAATTCTATATCAAATTATTTATAATTCGATGAATTTAAAATTATATTAGAATAAATATAATTATAAATATGTCTTGATATATAAATGAAAATATAAATAAATCTTAATATATAGAATTATATAATTTAATATAATTATGCACAAATTTTTATGTAATTGCGCTAAATTAAATATAATCATATATGTAAAAAAGAGTCTAAATGAAGAGTTTTTTGAAATATTTGCAAATTTATTTGATATTTATGATTATACATATATACATTTGCAATCACATTATTATTTCAATCAAATATAAAAATACTTTTATAATGTTCGATATAATTTATTTTGTTTTGATCTTGTTAGGTTCAAGATTAAAAATTTTAAAATTATCTTTTTCTAAATTCTGTACAAATAATGGTACTCGCAAAAAATTAATTTTCGACGTATAGTACAAGAAAAAACATTTCAATTTTTCGTTTTTAACATCGCAATTCAATAATAAGGAAAGTTTTAAATAAAAGAATGTATTAGAAAGTAACTTTTCATATTTAAAAAAAATGCAGACAAGAAGATAATTTAAAAAGCAATTTACATATATTGCCGAATACAATGTACCAACAATATTATAATTCTAGATATTATAATTTATTATTATAATTTTATTATAATTTTAGTTATCATATATAATAAATTATTAGCGATTTTTGATAACGCGTATAAATTTGACAAATCTTCATCTAAATCTGATTCTTTACCTAAATGCGAAGTTACAAATATGATGTTAATACGAGTACACCTTTTACAAGATGTACGTTCTTTGAGGACAAAGATTCTATATATTTTTATCGCGAAAATAATACATGTCGTTGCTTTAGATACCCAAAGGATGTCGTCGACGGTGGTGAAAAATGTCGCGAAGGGCGGCGGCGGTGGCGGCAGCGACGGCGGCAGCGGCGACGGCAGGGAGACCTGGTCGGGGAAGCTCGATTTCTTGCTCTCGGTTATCGGTTTCGCCGTCGATCTCGCTAATGTATGGCGATTCCCGTACCTTTGCTACAAGAACGGTGGTGGTAAGTGCATGTCGACGCGCGGCCGGGCCGCAACGATTTCCGCGCAGTTTATTTTCGATTATCCCGCGAGTGTGTCGAGTGTGCTTCTCTCTGTCATTGACGGGACGCGCAGCAGCAGGAATACGATTTCAATAATCCCGCCCTTTTACACACCCCAATCCCTCTTTACCCCTTCTTCCCTCCAGACCTGCGTCTGTTACGAGCTACAGTTTCGTACATGCCTAATCAGATGTTTCCCACTCGCTTCTCGAACATCGTAATTTCTTCGCATCATTGATTGCGTTATTATTTGTTACGCTTTGTTTTTCCACTACGGAGAGAAAAAATATAAGAGTACATTCGTCGGAATTACAATCGGTTTTGCCACGTCGGTGTGTGTCACACGTTTCATTTTAATTCCAATGTTTTTTTATCTTAATAAAGCTGAGATGAAGCATTGCTTAATTTGCTCTCTCGGATCTTAAATTATAACTACAATCATAAATTACTTACATCAGATTAGGAATCGTTTGACAGTCACATCATTGACGTCGCTGCAAGATATCGTTGTCGATCTTAAATTCGAAATTAATTCCACGAGAGGGATATAAAGTTGTTTAATTATAAAGTTTACATTTCTTTCTCCTTCAATTCCATCTTTGACATTTTTTCTTTTATTTTTCAACTTCCGCGTGAGACCTTCTCTTCAGCAGGGACCTTTCTCATTCGCGAACGAACGAATTCATCTCGCTCCCTTCGATACCCCTGTCACGCGGGGGCAAACTTCGTCAACTGCTTCGTAACATCATCGTCGGACGTTATTTCGCAGTTAACTTGGGGAAGTTGAGTGTTACGCGCGTCGCATCGTCGAGTAATGTACTTCAGCAGACGAGCAATACCGGGCTAACCGGTCGACTAATTGGCATTTACTTCGCGGAAAATGACCTCGGGATTTAGACCTCGCTCAAGAAGGGTTTTCGAGACGGCGAGAGCGCCACACCTGTAGATGTCCAAATTGGTTGTAATTAAGGAGAAGATGTGTAATTTACGCGGCGTAAATCATAGCGCGCACAATGATATTAATTCTTTTTTTTTTCATAGGGCAAATGCGAAAGCAATTAAAATTACGCGGTTGCCGCTAGAACGTCGCTTCTACTTCAAGTGACTTCTAGCTCCTTTAATAAGGATTCTTGATTAACAACATTTCTGAGAGAAACAAAAAAAGTTACGTTCAGTTACAAATAATGTCGCGTAAATTTTATTTTAATCTTATAGTTTCCTATCTATGAGATTGATTTCGCGATCCGTTACTGATTTCATTATATGCATGTCATGTACTAAAACATGCCGACATATTCCATTGATACTGCATGCTAATCGCGTTGCCTGCACATGTAAATTTTGTAAATAATTCATACGTCGTATGCACTCTTCCTTACCGTACTACGAACGCTAATATTACGAATTTACATAACAGGTAATGCGGGAATGATCAGTTAACGATAGTAGCTACACATAAATCGTTTGTTATCTTTCTATTGCAACATGTATTGAATTTATATCTCTGCTTAAATCACGAAAAAGGAAGAAATGTACGATGATGATTTTGTGCGCAGATATTTTCAAAGACATAATATGTTAAATAATAATAAATATAACCGCGCTAATATCCCTTTATATTATTCTTTTACAATTGATATGACTTTAATTTTATGTTTGTAATATTAAGATAATCTTGGCAGTATAATAAGAATCGCAATGTCAAGGAGAAATAAATCGTAATGAATAAATAATGTATTGCAAAATTGTTCGGGAAAGTCATCGAAAAATATTCTCATGAAAATTTTCTCAGATTGAGATAATCCGTTTTCTCAAATTTAAAAATGAAAATTTTTCTTGGAAAATATTTAATTAAATACATGTACTTCGAGATTTCTCATCAAATGTTTTCTTAATTAAAAATCTGAAATTTAAATCACTTTTTAGAATTATGTGAAAAATAATGTATTTTTTTTTATGTTGAAACTTGAATTCCAACAAAACCTCTTTAATTTTCTAATGTTGAGTAATTCTGTTTCCTGTTTAAATTTTGAGAAAACAGAAAAAACACATGACACACACACACACACACACACACACACGCACGCACGCACACAAAGAAAAGAGAGGAAAACCGATTATTTCTTTTTCAAATACACTCTGCATAAAATCCATGAATCATGTGATGACACTGTACACACTTACGTTTACCTCGTCTCGATTATCATATTGTTTCGCGACTCTCCGTCGCGATTTACTCGCTCTTTGCTCCTGAAGATCGATCTGTGCCGCATCTAGGGCTCGATCTTGGAAAACGGTCGGCAATCTTATTGACTTTTGTTAAGCTCGCTGCGGCAATCTGCGACGACGGCGCCATTAGTACCGGGGGCTCTATCGAGTCCCCGGTAGGAATGCGATTAGGGCCGCTGTCAGTGATACAGAGGCTCCTCAAAAGCGGCTGCTAACTCAATTAAGAACGGAGTAGAGCGCGCGGCTCCGCGCCATTAGGATGGGCAAGATCGGTCGCTAATTTCCAATTACCTTAATTAATTATAATTTCCCATTCGGGACGGGCCTTTGATCATGGACGTGCGCGACGCCGCCCTCCACCCCGCCGGACGGCGGCTGCGTCGTTATCACCCTACGGGAAGCGTTATTAACGTGTTGTTTCGTGATTATAATTCAGAGCGAAGCGCGTACGTATCGATACATGCATCATCTGTCTGTCACGATACTTCGACGATGATTGTTTTGTGCGCGGAAGGTCTTCTCGCACTTTCCCTCGTGCGATTCCGGATAAACTCAAATAAATTTGCATAATCAGGAATGCATAATCAGGAATTGAATAATGTAAACAATTACGCTAAAATGACGACGTACGATTAAAGTTTGTATAAATTATTTGAGGAAAAAATTATAGAATTGATAGAATTTCACCAAATGATTTTAATAAAATAAGTTGATGTTTATTATTATATTAGAAGAAAGCTTTATTTTGATTTTATTATTTTAATATATTTATTAATTTAATATATTTCTAATATATATTTGATGTTTATATTTTTAAATATTTGATTGTATATATTTAATAGATTAAAGATACGTGTTTATTTTTTTAGAGAGAATTAAAAGAAACAGGAAAAACGAAAATGTGAGATTATCGTTTACGTGTTTTCAAAAAATTATATCACAAAATTAAAAATAAAAAGAAATGCAGGTTTATTTTTGAATCCCACAATCAGGAATCTCTCTCCCACGTGTTTGCTTAATTATTGCATGACGCCTGTTGCGCCAGGTGTTTCCTCGTTTAGGATACATCGAACTGCACGATTATTCTACCATACGAGAAGTACGAACAGTCTCTTTATGGAAATTCTCATTCCTAAAATTTTGAATAAATTATCAAGTTTTCCCTTTAGATGAAATCATTCCTGATTATCGAGAAGACGTATTTGAAGAATGTAAATGTTATATATTCGTATAAATGCTAATTAAAATCCTAAACTGGTTTGGTATATCAATTCGTATTACTCAATCGATGAATATCTAATACGCAATATGGATATCCAGTTACGCCATTATTTCACAAAAAATTAATTGTCAATAGAAATGGAATTAAGATTTTTTATGTAGTTGGTATAACACGCAAGTTTTTTCTGATGTAGCGTAGATGTGTAACTATCATAATGGAATTTAAATTATCATAAAGCAAAAAATAATAAATATTGACATTTTTCAAGAAATAGATATATAGAAATAGATATAATATTAACGTTTCATCGTAAAAAAAAATTTGTTTAAAAAATTTCAATTAAAAATATTTCGTTAGTGTTTTAATTTATATAATAAATTTTTCGCAACAATTTTTTCTAATTTTGCATTAAATTCCATAGATTTATTATACGAGCATCTCTTAAATAATCGATTTTTACATCAATTTTAGATATCTTACAATATGTGAAAATATTATAGAGATGCAATAATTAGAATACTTATACTTGAGAGATAGTCGGTTTTTAAAATAATATCGATTTTCGTCAGCAGACAACATCAACATCTGCGACCTAGACCCTCGTATATCTTTTGGTAAAAGCATATTCCGATTGACAGTCTACAATTGGTGCGATTATCTCGCGAGAATGCATTACGTTTCATTCGAACGAGCTTTTCACCTTTGTTCGGGCGTAAAATGCAGCTTTAAGCACTAAGCCTTTGCGCGAATGCACGCTCGCGTTCAAAGAGAGAAAATTGAGCGGAACTGTTGTCCAAGACCGGACATTTGTTCTTGACATTAGCGTGTCAAGACAATAGAAAAAAGAAAGGTCTGAGATATTTTTTTTCAATTCTTTGATCTTTCACGAATTTCATCTTTCTGTGTAAGATAAAAAATCATCATAATTAGTACGTATGCGAATACATTAAATCTCTTTAAAATAATATATTAAAAGAATTTTTTAATATATAAATGACAAATTTTTATATAATAAATTCAGACCGATATTTTACTCGTAAAGAATATAAATTTTTTAAACCATATAGATGCTATGTATCAATATATTAGCGGGAAGATTAATATATGATATAATATTTCTATTTGTATAGAATATATTACATATTGCGAATACAAATAATAATCTGCAATACAAATAAAATACACAGTATATGTAGAATGGATATCATAAAAGTATGTGAAACTGAATTTTGACTTACAATTTGAAGTCATAAATAATTTTTCTCATAATGAAATCATCCGACGGCGAATGGATTTATTTAAGAGAATAGGATTTTTAATACGATCGATTTTGTCGATTTCTGCCAAGGTAAGAACAAGAGGAAATTAATCAAGGTTACTCAACGACAATATCCTTCATAATGCGATTACATCTCCATGGGTATAGAATGAACGTTCCATCGGAGTTAAGAAGGAAGATCAAGGAAATAAGCATAGCAATAGTTTTATTATTCTCTTTTGGATTGCATTTATTCTGTCACATTTATTTACGATATGAACAATATAACGATATTATTTAGCAAAATTCTTACGACTACATGACAAATTATTATCAAAAAATTTTGTAAACAAGTTGTGATTATTGACACAATTCGACATGCAATTTAATATAAATATATATTTACATATTTTTTATGTAATAAATGCTAGTTGGTTGATTATTTCAATCTTTTTGTTTTCTAAGTATATTTTTTGAATTCTTAATAATTCTTCTATTTTTTTACGCAGATACCAATGAATTATATTTTAATAATTTTTCATAGTCTAAAAAACATAGTTATATGCTAATTATTTTTTTTTAATATTCTGATTGCAGTACTTTAAAATAACGCACACACGCATGAATATAATTTAATTATTATTCTTTTATATGATATATTGATTCGCGCGAGTGTCGTATAATAAAATCATTCCGCCCTTTTGGAAAGCCGTTGGGATTCTGCAAATTTACACGATCCATATTATATAAAGAAGCTAGTGTATAGGCAGAAAGATAACACATGCCGCTCAGAGAGAAACCGGTGAAAAAATGCGATATGTGACGCACTCATACCAGCGGGTTAGTTCCATAACTGCATTGTGCGTTATTTAGAGCACCGGTAGCGAGGTGCTTTTAGGCGCGTAATTCGATAGTCAACTTTCCGAAATGCGGCAAGGTGACATTAACACGATGACACGACTGAGTCGATCGTCAAGCCAACAGGAGCCAGCTCTTTTCTAAAAATGTGTGACGATTTTTCAAATGTGTTTGTAATTACGATTCCATGAGATTTCGTAGCTTGAAATTAGAACGATTTAATCGCTTAGAGAATAGTAAGACTCCTATGCAGCAAGGGAGGATATAATTAAAAATTTCATTTTTAATTTTGTAATTATCAAAATTTTTGTATGTGTAAATGAATAATAATATATTATTTTTATTATTCATTTTAACGCTGTTTAATTAAGAAATATTACTTTATTATCATTAAGACATTATTAATAGTAAAATAATTTTGTAATTTTACAAAATCTTTTTCATAATTCTTTGCTGTGGAATTCATAATTTAAATTATTTTGATTTTTAAAAAATGTACAATACGAGCTAATAATTTTTTTAGAGTTTTCTTCTCTTTGTGGCTACACATATGCACACACACACACTTTACGATCTCTTATTCTCTGACTTGTGTCTCGTAACTTTTTTACTTCTTGTATGAACCTCTTTTTTCCGAATACCAGCACCTTTTCTTCCTTTTACTCCCACTTCTTAGATCACACAATAATCGTCCTGCCATGTTGTACAATAGACTCTCTCTTGTCTTATTAGATTCAAAGATCTTCCGCGAGATCTACTCCTTTAAGTGGACAAAACCGATGAACAGAAGAATCATCGAATCTTATTTGATCCACTTATGTCACGAAGTTGAAATGCAGTCATCAGATAGAATCGCATTATTATGATTCGATGTTCATTGAAGATGCTAATTGATTAAAGATCAATATTCGGTGAATTATGTGATTTTATTGAAAGCAATAACTTGTTATTATATATACAATATAAAATTGTAATAGAATGCCAAGTAATAAAACTGTACAATTTTCAATTGTAATTAATAGTTTTTGATGACGATAAAGATATTTTTTATTATAATTAATAGTTTTTGATGTAGCAAAAAAATGAAAAATCTGTTACATTATGTTTTAAAGTTAGAATATGCTAAATATATCCTTAATCATTTATCTTCAATTTTCTAATCGACTGTGTCCATGTTTTAATGCGAGAAATCACATAAACGTATATCTGTTTTAAATGAAGATTCATTTACATATATTTCTCTGTTTATAGGCGCATTTTTGGTCCCCTATTGCATAATGCTAGTGGTCGGCGGTATTCCTCTGTTTTATATGGAGCTTGCACTCGGTCAGTTCAACAGAAAGGGTGCTATCACGTGCTGGGGTCGACTTGTGCCGCTCTTCAAAGGTAAGTCAGATTGTTATTGATGCGACTTCTCTTCAATCTAATTTTTCACAAGATAGCTTATTTGAAGATATCTTTTAATGGTATAATGAATAGTTTGATGAAAAGAAACTAGAAAATTTATTATTTATATTATATTGATTAAAAATATCCCAAGTATATTTATTCCGTGATCCATCTTTAATTATCTAATCGTTTTATATCTTAACACAAAAAAACTGAAATTGTATCTATTTTATGTGATCTCTTTCGACATAACAAGACAGATTAACTTACACTGCATATTTCAATAGTGATACATTTGCAAATTGAATGAAATCATTCGTTACAAAATCATGTTACAACCCTTATATCATCGCTCTAATCATCATCCGGGCAATTTCGAAAGTGCGAAAATTGAACATTATGACAGTAATAGCGTCTGACGACACAATGACATAAGTACGCAGATATCAATTTATCAATAGCCAGAGACCTTACTTTTTTCTTTTCGATTCCAACTCTAAAATAAAAATTGCAAAATTACACTCGCACAAAGCGCAATTAAACTTTACGATTATCGATGAAAGTCACTATTTATTTCGCACCTTATATCATTCTATATCAGATTAATGTACACTTAAAGTTTATAGCTTTTCGCGGTGAGTAACGCCCGTTGCCGACCATTGAACGTGCTCACGGCGACAATACAACAGGTGAAAATATACTAGAACGTGAGCGGAGAAATCCGCGAATATAGTCCGGAAAAGTCTCGAGGACTTAAGAGCCGGAACGACCCTCTTTACTCTCATTATATTCTCCCGCGCCGTTCCTCCGATCTCGTCACTCTCTCGAGGGATATTGGTATTCCGAGCTGGAAGTTAGCCTCTGACTTCTCGGTCTCCTTCAGTCTCCTTTTCCCTTTTCCCAGTCGCGGGGGACAATCGCCCGATCTTGCGGTCCCCGATCTTGGAGAAACGGAATCCGGCCGTCGTTCGCCACCACCACTCTTAGCTCTAATAGAGCAGAGCGAAGTATATGGAGCGGAATATATGTGCACGTGTACATACATATACGATCACATACATATATAAGGCGCGGCCTCGCAGATCTCCCTCTCTCTCGCTCTCTCTCTCTCTCTCGTAATATGTGACCGCGGTTGCTTTATGTAACGCGTATAAATCTGAGAAGATCGCGCGTAGAGCGGAATGCGAGAGACGTACCCGACGGTGCTCTCCGGGCAAAGAGCCTCCATTTCCGCCGATTTCCAACTTCATTTCCACAGAGCTACAATTTCATCCCGCTTATCCTCTCCGTCTCCGCCAATCGCCGTGCGATCGATCGGGATCCCTCGCGATTTCCCGTGACAGATGGATGTCTGTGCACGCGGAGTGTGTCATCGTATATGCATGATCTCGCGCGGAAGGAAGGTCACATTGTCATTTGCATAAAGACGCGCGGACTTAAGATATACGCGCAAGATAAGATATCTCTAGTTGCGAGAGAAGGACGGCGCGTCTTATTTTTTCTTTTCTAGCATGTTTTCTACACGCAGCTCTGATTTTTTTTTCGCGATTATCACACTTTAATCTATTTAACGATCTCTTAGATTCTCGCGATATCTTTTAAAATCAATTCACTATGCGCAATTAAAACATTGCAATTATTTCGAGTAGCGATTCGAAGTAATATTAGCGAGTTTTTTCGATAAAATTGTATCTGATTTTATATTGCGAGTTTTTATTTAAATTTTCGATGGATTTAGAATTGATGGATCTTTAAACTTTAAGAAGAAGGGAAACAATAATCTTATATAATAACGAATTTATTAATTGAATTGCGTTCCTCTGGCTATCGGCAATTTTTATTATACGTGTATCTTCTTGAGAAGAAGAGCAGATTTGCAGAAATTAAATACTTTTTTCACAGAGATTAACTTTGTCATCGTGCTTGATGCATGAAAATATGAATTGTTCTTAATTAGGTATCGGATACGCGGTCGTCCTGATCGCGTTTTACGTTGATTTCTACTACAATGTTATCATTGCCTGGTCGCTCCGCTATTTCTTCGCCTCGTTCTCCACAATGTTACCGTGGACCACGTGTAACAATCCTTGGAATACGCCGCTTTGCCGCGAATTCGATGCAAACGTCTCGTATGCTTTCGACGATGTAGCCAACGAGGTAAATGGGAATATTGGAAATGTTACCCGATTCTTGATCGATCAAAAATCGGAGGCTGCTTCAGCGGATAATCATACGAGCGCTGCACATGAATATTTCAAGTAAGTAACTTTTGATACTTCACTTCAATTTTCATCTGTAAAAACGCGTTGACAAATGATTACCATTTGTTGAAAATTTTAGAATCGTTAATGAAATATCAATTTGTTTCGATCGTGATGTATAATTTAAAATATATGTAACAAAATATTCAAAGATATTCTTTGATAAAATAATGATACAGATAATATGAAAATTAAAATACATTATGAGAAAAATATTGAAAAAATTTCGATTATGTTAAATAAATAAATAAGTAAAAAATAATAAATATGTGTGTGTGTATATATATATATATTTTTTTTTTTTTTAAGTCTCTTATCAAGATTATTAAACAGCAATAATGCTAATGCGCACGCGATCTTATTAAATGTAGAACATAAATCTCTTTTCATATAAATTGTACGCACAACAGCTTTATGAATTACACAATTTTTTTTCTTAAGCCGCGCTATCTTGGAGCTGCACGAAAGCGAAGGTTTACATGATCTCGGAGCTATTAGGTGGGACATCGCGCTATGCTTGCTTGTAGTCTATCTGATCTGCTATTTTTCTCTGTGGAAAGGCATCTCGACTTCCGGCAAGGTAAGCTGAATGCCTCGTTAGAGATTCGAGGTTCTAAAGACGGATGAGCGATTTCCGCAAAGTACCTTTGATTTTTCGCGAAGGTTTAAAAGATACAATGAAGCATTGCACTATGTGTCAAGTAGAGCTCTTTTCCACCAAGTGCTATCTATCTTATATTTGCATAAAATTGTATCTCAGGACGAACAATTTTTTTGTTGCAGGTAGTCTGGTTCACCGCTCTCTTCCCTTACGCAGTTTTGCTGATTTTGCTGATAAGGGGTGTCACTCTGCCAGGTAGTACTGAAGGGATCCGTTATTATCTTAGTCCAAATTTCGCCGCAATCACGAAAGCAGAGGTATGTATAACATTTTGTGTTGCAAATATTTGAAACATTCGGGATTTTAGTGCAAAAGAGTTTAGTCATATATTTAATTCTCCTTGAAATAAACATGTCTTATTAAAATTGAACTTCAAATAAACTGTAATAAAAAATAATATGTATGGAATACTGCAATTAATGAATACAAAATTAGTAATTTAATAATTAATAACATTTAAGTAATTTACCAACAATTCTATTCAATTATAATATATAATAAAATCTTGAGATAAATAAATTATTCTTTCATAACGAGACGTTGAAAAATTATTCGTTCACAATACGGCTACGGATTTTTAAATAAAATCATACGAGAGGAAAGTATCGGCATCACCGGCGATTGTTTTATTATCGTTGACCTGGATTACCATGAGCTACGACGTACATATTCGTGGCAATGACAAAAGGAGAAAAATCGGGAATTAATGCGTTTATAGGATGGCGAGCGGGTTGGACGAGCCGAGGTGGGGCCGGATATGGTAGTACGGGAAAAATGGGGGGAAAGGAGAAACGTGCAGGGTTAACTGACGACGGTGAAAATGGAAACTCTGTGTAGCTGTCATAATGAACATTAGAGTTTGGTCGAGCACGCGCTAGAACGTTAGAACGCGCGTCGACCCTCGTGTTTCGCGCGCGGAATGCATTTCGCCGTACGACGACTTAGCCGCTTACCGTCGTAGCTAAAGTGGGTTTTATATCGGTGAGAAAGTGGATTTGTTGATCACCGTTAATCCGTGGATATACGAGAAGCCGGTCTGATGTATAGGCTGACGCTCTTCTCTTTTCCCGCGCTTCACCGCAAACACCTTCCACATCTCTCATCTCTAGTGTCGGTTTCTCGCAAATACAGCGTGTATCTGCGATATTTATTTATTTCTTTTTTATAAGAACATGCGTGTTTGTTTTGTTAGAATAAATATGTTATAATTAATACATTCGATATAACAATTTGCGAGACTTTTGTATTTCACGAAATTTTTTAGAGTAATAAAAAATTAACTATATCTTTGAATTCTTAGGATATTATAATTATGCTACATATAGAATACTATAGTTAAATATTGTTAATATTGATTGTTATAAATATAGAGAATTCAAGATAAATATAAAATTTTTATTTCGATTAAAAATAAAAATAATTACAAGAAGAAAATAAACTATTAATATTAAATCTGAAAAAGAAAGAAAAAGGTAAATTAAATATTTTATTTAGAATTATCTTTTATATAGAATTTTAAATAAATTTTAAAAATAATTTTTAAAATTGAAAAGAAAGATCTTCGTCATTAAAATAATATGAATTGCAATATTACAATAAATAAATATACGCGCTTATTATACTATTCGTGAAAAATATCGGAATATATTTTATTATTTTCGCGAGTATGCTCTTTTAGGTGTGGGTGGACGCCGCGACGCAGGTATTTTTCTCTCTAGGACCAGGATTCGGAGTATTGCTGGCCTACGCGAGTTACAACAAATATCACAACAATGTTTACAAGTAAGACTGAATTTCTTTCTGCGCGGAGAAAATAATGACGTCGTCTGAGCATTTTTACATAAATGTCTCTTCCGCAGAGACGCCCTATTGACGAGCCTAATTAACAGCGCGACATCCTTTGTCGCCGGATTCGTTATATTCTCGGTGCTCGGTTACATGGCCCATGCCAGCGGAAAATCCATTCAGGATGTCGCTACAGAAGGACCAGGTTTGGTCTTCATCGTCTATCCGGCAGCCATCGCTACCATGCCCGGTTCGATGTTTTGGGCGCTCATCTTCTTCATGATGTTACTCACACTCGGTTTGGACAGCTCGGTACGATTCTTCTACATCGTTTCAAGAATTAATATATTCTGATTTATCGCGTTGCCTGTAATCAATAATTAATAATCGATAATCGACTTTTAATGTGTTATTGTTGCGTCATAATTCATACATTTTCTTTTTTTATTAAAGTTGTCGACTTCATATTAATCAATGTAACAAACCGTTTCTTTCTGAAAATATTATTATTAAATATTATTATTAAATATCTTGCTAAAACGTAATAAATAATTTAAGGTAAGAATTAATATGATTTTATAGTTCGGAGGTTCGGAGGCGATTATAACAGCACTCAGCGACGAGTTTCCGCTAATTGGCAACAATCGTGAGATTTTCGTGGCATGCTTGTTCACTCTATACTTTCTAGTCGGACTTGCCTCTTGTTCGCAGGTAGATATGTTATATAAATGTTAAGTTATATAAATTTGTTATTAATATTGATATTTCCATTTTTATAAAATCTTTTAGATATAAATATAAGAAACATGTAAATCGTTTAAAAGGCATGGCAAAATCTTTAAAAGGTTTTTTTTTACTTTTTTTAAATCTTCCAGTAAGGAATTATATGATATACTTGTTATTATATTAGATCAATACGAAACAGTATCTGATATATACGTCTAAAATTATTTAAAAAAAAATTATTATTCTTTAATATATAGGGTGGATTTTACTTTTTCCACTTGTTGGATCGATACGCGGCCGGATACTCAATGCTGTTCGCCGTTCTGGCAGAAACCATCGCGGTCAGTTGGATCTACGGAACTGATCGATTTTGCGCCGACATTAAAGACATGATCAGTTTCAGGCCTGGCATCTACTGGCGCGTATGCTGGAAATTTGTAGCACCGCTCTTCCTGATGGTATGTCATCCTATAATATATAATGTGATTATATAGAATATTAACACATTACATATAATATGTTTATATAAAAGCTATGCTTATCATTATTTAATGTTAAATATAAATATATGTTTGTTTTTCTTTCTATATTACAGTTTATTATCGTCTATGGTCTCATGGGCTACGAACCATTATCGTATGAAGGTTACATTTATCCAGTTTGGGCAAATGTATTGGGTTGGCTGATCGCGTCTTCTTCTATCGTCATGATTCCAGGTATGGCGATCTACAAAATCATCACCACACCTGGATCTTTTGTTCAAGTAAGTATTTTATTTGTAACATTTATTTTTAAAATGTGTACACAATTAATTTTATATATTTGTATGTTATATTAAAAGCATAATTAAAATATTACGCCCTAATTGATAACAATATAGTTTCATTAAATCTATCTAAATATATATTGGCACTTTATTAGCAAATTAACTTACTATTTTTTTAAAAATAATTAATCAAGATTATATAATCATAAAATAATTAATAACAAATTTTATCTAGATTATATATTTAATAAAATTAACTTTATCTCCTACGTAAAAATGATATGAAAATGCGTTAAACGGTAAATTTATCAGAGGTTAAAGATCCTGACGACACCGTGGCGGGACACGCAGCATCAGAGGAATGATTTGTCCTCGGTGGCGAACGGCGCTATTCGTCGAAGTTTCTTGGCCGAGCAAGACTTCGAAATTACCAAGAATCACGAATTAACCAAGGAACAGACGGAGGTAATGATTCAATCTCGAGAGGGTGTCAAGGGGAATGATCCGCCCCCCGAAGCAGTCTAGGACAGTGCGGTTGTGATTTTGCACGGTGCCCGGTTCCAAGTATACCTCTGCTAAAGGACGATCACCGAGCAAGGTCCTCTGACGACGAGAATGACAATTCAAACAAAGACAAGGATCAATCTTTTACACATGGATTAAACACGGATTAATGCGTCTCGCTTAAATTTTCGAATACCGGCTTGATTTTGACGATAAAATACCCTCTTTGAGTCATCGCAATTGGACTATTCGCGCGTTTCGGATTCCGCTTTATTCCTGAATGAGAACAGAGCAGAACCCCATTTCGCGTATTTTATTGTGATGAAAAGTGTCGTGTAGATATAGAATGTATAAATCGAGAAGATCTATAGGAAAGAGAATGAATCGCAACGCAATACACGTAATCGTCAGTCTCACTTTCCCTGGATGGGATTCCTGGCGATAACCCTCTATCCCCTGTAAATATAATCACGCGCAATATGACGAAACGCATTAGATTGAAGCTCTGAGAGAGATGTCTAGCGAACAAAGCAATTGATGTGTATGCGTTTCTTCTAACGAACGGTGTTTTTCAAGCTATTGACAAGCTGGAATTGCACTATCTTCCCACCTTACCTATAACCTAATATCTCGGACGACAGCTTTAAATTTAGAAAAACTGTTTACTATTTATCTAGTTTAATATAGTTTAATCATCCACGCGTTGGTTAGTGATGCGACAACTAACAGACTCGCTTTGAGAAAACTAACGAGAACTTCAGCTCCTTTCCCATCTACGGATTCCTACCCAGATAGCAAGATGACGTTTAAAGACGTCTTAATAATGTACTATGATGTCATTAAAACGTTATTAAGATATCATTTGACGTCATTCTGTTACTTGGGTTGTTTCGCAGTATCGCGAATAAAAATGAACTTTGTTGTTTAATAAAACCGTTTATTTTTTGGATCGATGCGAATTATGTAATCGTATAAAATATTCACTTCGTATATAAAGATGTTACATAGAACAGAAATTATACGTTATAATGCTAAGATATATATTTTAAGAGGAAGAGCGATTACACGACCTTGATTAATCGAACGTGATTAATGTGATTCTCTTCTTGGACCGTATCTCTCGCTATCTATAAAACGGAAAGGGAAAGGAATCGAGTTATATAATCACGTCATTAACATTAATCGTTATCGTCGGTGCTTTAGCGAGTTAGAAGAATTATATTTCCGTTTGACCAATCAAACGCTCGTCGCTCAGGCTTCGTAAGCCTGGGCGGTAAATGCTGTGTGGACTATACGCAAATTATAATCACCGGTAAGATGTTAATTAATTTATTAAGTCTTACATAGCCGGTGTAAATTACGCTTCGTCGATATTCCGCGCAGTCCTGTATTAAATAATACGATAGAACCACTCATTTTTTTTTTTACATAACTACTATTTTCCATCATGTTTAGATTTGCTGCATTTTTCTAGTCATGATAATCATACACACACACATGTATACTACCTGATTATGACACTTTCCCTAATGACTAGAATATTATGCTAAACATTTTAACATTATCACGACTCTATATATTAATAATTCATTCTCTTATGTTAAATCGTTTAAATAATTGATTCCATATGATGCGTTTATTCGTCGAATTTCTAATACATGCTAAATTTCTCATTACATTGTGATATCGTCTAATATCTGTTTCAATCGTAATTCAGCATTAACATTAGTAATATCGTCGTATTTTACGCGCACTTAAAATTAAATGCGGGCTAATTCTCTCTATTTTGGACGTTGATCCCAGAGATTGCAGTGCGATTAAAGTCACAACTATATTCGTGCTTTGTATACGTTTAAACCTTTGTAATTTAAATTAATTTCGACAAATCTGTATTATATATATTCTGTTTTAACATCTCAATCAAGCCTCTGATTGTTAAAAATTTTATACAATTTGTACATACATATGTTTTTACGTTTAATTATTAATAATTCTATCGATAACAAAACAATATAAGTGGAATATTTAAAATTTCAAATTATAGAATTGTATATTAACTACAGCTATTAACTATAATTTTTATTATTATTAATCTCACTATTTAAAACAATATATCAAGTATTGTCACATCGAATGATCTTTACGATAGAAGCTGTAGAAGATTAAATGTACGCTACGAATATAGGTCGATTCGTGCGGATAAACGCATCGTGTGGGTTTTAAAAGAATGTCGGCGACCGGAGAATCAGTAGTAATCTAGTAGTTTGTCAGACCGTAGTACTTAACGAGTATTCAAGCCCTAGTGTGCTCTACTTGTCTATCTATTTCCACACTTATATGTTATCGTGCGGTAATGAGACGAATCGTTTCCTAATTCTCACACATAATGTCACATATAACGCGCGATCTCCCTTTCGTTCGCGATGTGAATTCTGCTTACGACAATTACGACAGAACCGTTCGTCATTATCCAGCATTGACACACATTAATTGACCAATCTAGTATATGTTCGACGTATTCGAGCGTATTCTGAGGTATGTAAATATCCTTCGATACGAATGTTTCTAAACGTCTGATGATTAAGCGACTGCATTTCTTTATTTAGAAAAACCTAGCAAATTTCACTTTAGTATATCTTGGAAGAATCTAAAGAAGATATACGCTATTTTTTTTATTAACATATATTAACATATTGATAACATTTTTTCATACTTTTTTTCTTAAACTACTACTTAGTTTTTGCGACTTTTCAAGTCAGTCAAAACATCATATGTTATTCTCTGATAAAGGACACTACTTTATGAATAATTACAAGTTACAACAGACATTGTATAGTGATAGAAATTCAGATATTGTGGGATATTTTCATTCGACGAATATCTAAAAATATATACATCACATGAAGAGATCGGAAGCTGGATTGTTGATACTTGAGTGTAGATATTTGAGTACACATCGTTGTAATCCCGTGGACTGATTGATGAAAAATGGCCGGAAATAGAAATTAAGCATTTTGAAAAATCGTCGTGATAGAGAATCGTTAGAATCTTGTGCGCGACTACCGCGGTTTCCTTCACCCTTTTCCTTCCCTTCTTTCCCTCCTCCCCGCGGGGTCGTGTGCGCGATATAGTTTATAGCGATCGTTGTTTAGACAAAGAGAAAGACGTATATGTATCTATATAATAAACACATTAAAAAATACATATATATATATATATATATAGTGTAGTTACATATACACTATATATATATTTTATACATATATTGCATCCAAGTTGCCACCGCAGCCATAGGTAGCAACTCGGACCTCGTTAACACTTGTTGAAACGACTTCCTCCACTGCGAGGAATTTCTCTTCTGCAAGTTTGCGAAAAAAAATGACGTCGGCGACTTGGGTAAAATCTTCCCTTCTCCCTTTCCTCGTCCCCTTGTTGGCGATCATGCCTGCCCAAGAGCCATATGGGCCGGCATCCGCTGATATAATTGCACACGTAGAAGAAAATATTGCACCGCTTTTAATTACGATAATTGTTACGCAGCACTCTCTTATTATAACTTATGCTTTGGTAATATATATTTATTAATTGATTAGTATATTTAGTATATTTATTAATTGATTGATTATTAACATGTACATATTATCGATAGCGAGAGAAATAGAAATTTATTATTTTTATTTAACGTGTAAAGTTAGGAATAATTATATATTTCTTTATTCTGCTTGAATTATACATAGGTGAGAAAATTAATTATCTCCTAATTAATAAGAATGATTTTGTTCGCTCTTATACAAAGACGACAGCCATGACTGCTTGGGGCATTATAATATAATAAAATAAATATATTAATTGTATATAAGTTTACATTAAAGTTATTAAAGAGACGTGTATTTATTACGAAGAAGCAAGGAGAAATCTTTCGAATAATGGCAAAATGATGAAGAAGTGGAAGAGTCCTTCGCGAGATCTCTTATCTATATATGTGTATGTATTTTTTATTTGCAGAATTCTTCTACTACATAGATTGCCATTTTGCGTGCGCGTTGTTTCTCGAAGTTGAGCGGTGCAAAATTGATTTTGACGTGTGTATTTCCTTCCTACGCTACATGTCGCAATCGCCTGGAGCCGCGGCTTGGAGCTCGACCCTAATTAGCGATAATTCGCTGCGGCGACGTAGCGTTACGCATGTAAGGATGATTTTGTCGAATAAAATTTCGTTCTCTAAAAAACTGCGTAGTTCAATTGTGTCATTCTTTTGCGAGCTTCAACACTTTATGAAAAACATAACATCGAATATATTTATATTTGTGATATAAATCATTCTTTTATATCGAGGAACCAAGGAGAAGTTTCAGAGATATATATTGCATTGGGTAAACTTGGCAAATGTCAAATGTGAAATAAAAAAGCATTTATTTTATAATATGCTTTAAGTTCGAATAAAGCATTTAGTTTATTTTGATTATTCCTCTGATCAGAAATAAAATAGATAGATAGAAAAGCAAAAGATTTTTAAATTGCAAAGCAAACGTTTTTATCATTTCTAAATTTTATTCTAAATATTGTTTATTTTTCTACCTAGAAAGAAATAGAAATACTTTCTCTATTATTTGCTTGTGTTTTAAAAAGAGTGTGAACTGCTTTTTGGTTCTCTCTCTTCCTATTTCTTATCATATGTTCTCTTGTCGTAATAAACGTGTTTCCGCCGAAGTGTGCGAACACTTTAAGACGCCCACGCCATGTTTACTCAATTTTATAATCACGCGACTCGTCTGCGCCGTGTATTAAGTGAAATTATCTCGTAACGATGAGCCGTCACTAATTAATAAAATGCTGTCGGTGCTATTTCTATTAATTTACAGTCGCAGATTATTTTCGCACTATTCGTAGCCACTTCTTCCGTACGAAACGAAATGAAAAAAGCAATTATTTAATTCCTTTCTTAATTTTTTTCCTTAAAAATTTGTGCTTGTTGCACATATTAGATCTTTAATTAAATTTTTTGTAATTTGTAAAAATTGAGTTTAAAGTAAAGTATATTTAAATTTAAATAGCAAGAAAAATTTATTAGTATCTTCAAAGTTTAATTAAATATTCTTTTACTTTAAATCGTTTATGATTCTTAAACAATTGATGACAGATCTAAATAACAATATGATCATTATATAATCTCAAATGTAGGTGTATATTATATATATATACGATAATGCAATTGTTTCGAAATAGGATTATTACATGATTAATAATAATATTTTTTAATAATTATTAATAATTTATTAATAATGATATCAAATATTAAATATTTCAAGCTTTTTTTAGTACTCATTTTATGAATTATCACACGTCTATTATTTTTTCTTACAGCGCGCATGTTCTTTATGTTTCAAATATATAAAAATCGTATTTGATTTTACAGTTATCTACAGCTGCTAACACTTGCGTTTTACTTTTATGTGGAATGTTAATTTTTTATTGATAGCAAAATGATTTCAATCAAAATTTAAAAGTCGCAAAAAATCTACGCAAAATTTGCTATTATTAAAAAACAAAAATATTTTCTCTAATTCTATAATTAGTCGATAAATATCCCGCTAACCAATTTCAATAAATTTCACCTTCACATTTGCTCACATTCGGCAACATGGCGCCTGCTACGGAAGGTCTCACGGATTTGCAGAGGGAAATTTTTACAAAAATCAGCCAGAATGAAGTGTCCGAGCTGAAGGCATTATTTGCGCAGAATAAAATCAAGATAGATTTTGTGGATGAGAATGGCATGAGCCCGCTCCAGCATGCATGTTATAAGGGAAACAAGGAAGTTGTACAGATGCTCCTGGACCAGGTAAGGTTATGTCCTGCTGTTGATTGCATGAATGATAAGTGTCTTGTGTCAATAAAGTTTCGTGATACGTAGTAATTTACCACTTTGCGTTAAAGTGTATTCTCCTAACGATATACATGATTCTCCCTCGATAGTTTCCTTATGTTTGAACTTACTAAAGTTAAATTCAATCACATGCATATTCATAAGTGTTGTCCAAAAATAATGTGACAAAATGACAATTATTTACAGGGTGCAGATGTAAATGCCTGTCAACACGAACATGCATATACTGCTCTTCATTTTGCTGCTTTAAGTGGTAATGCTGAACTGTGTCACCTTTTGATGTCACATGGAGCACGTTTGACAGCGACAAACAGTGTGGGCAGAACAGCAGCTCAGATGGCAGCATTTGTGGGAAATCACAATTGTGTAGCGACTATCAATAACTTTATTCCAAAAGCTGATATAGATTATTTTATTAAACCACAGGGCTTGCAGACTGAACCCATGCTACCGCCGCATTTAGCAGATTGTTTCCATGAATTCATAATGCAAGTCAATGTAAATCCTGTACGTGTATGTATGAATTTACAGAGACTTCCTGCTCTTCTGGAAAATGCGGCAAAAGTAAGTAAGATGCAATGGGGAAGGGAAAAGAATATAATAAAATATTAAATTCAACGAATATTTTATCTTTTTGACGTATTAAAATATTTTTTTTGGTGTATACAGAAATTAATGTTTACTTTATTATCTTTTTAGATACAAAAAGTATTAGAATCTATGCGCTACAGGGAAATGACACGAGGTGCTGAAACAAATGAAGTGATGGCTTTCAAGTATCACTACCTTAGTTGCATTGTGGCCGAAGTGTTAAAATGTCAAAAGCGACAAGAAGCTATGAAGGCAGAGAAAAGCGGAAATGAGGAGAGTGAAGAAAAGAAATCTGACACTGTAGAACTTTTGGTTCGAAGATTCCTCAAGTGCAGTAAAAGTGACGGTCTACCAGAGTACCAAGAAGCATTTTTGAGAGAGGCTGTAAGAGAGTTTCCGTTTAGAGAAAGTACAATTTTTCGCCAAATGGTCGCCACGTTGGCTGGCACAGATCCGCCGTCCGCCGTTTCTGTAGTTTCCGCTGCGATAAATGGGCAACGAGGCTTTTCCGATAATGCTCAGACTTGTGTAACTTGCGGCGAAGATAAAGCTACCAAAAAGTGTAGCAAATGTAAAGCAGTGCAATATTGTGACAGGGAATGTCAAAGATTGCATTGGTTCATGCACAAAAAGGCATGCGCTAGATTGGATCCATCTTTAGCTAATAGCGGAAAGGTCACGGATATAAATAAAGAACAGATTACCAATGCTGTCAGTTCTAGATTGCAGAATCTGACTGTTAAATAAATATGTACAGATTTAATATTAGCAGTTGAAACTGTTTCTATCTGAAACGCATTATATTTCGATTAAAATGTTTATTTTTTCCTGTATATAGTACTCTACTAGAATTGTTATTCTATATAAAATTTTTTCATTCTGTATAGAATTGATGGATCTTCATATAATTGTGCCCATCATACCTATTTTTATGCAAATCATCAAAATTGCATAAGCATTTTTTTAGTTACGCATTTATGTTGACAACTTTTTGAATATCTATTCTTATTATTTTATTATTTGTAATATTATAATAAGTAATAAAACTGAATCAGATTATAAGTTTTTAGTCATGCACACACACATACACCCAAAGATATTCTGTTCAAGAGAAATATAAATGCAAATTTGAGTTGTGCTGGATTTTTTTAACTGACTGGCCTTTACGTGATTATATATATACTTCCTTGTATTCCTGACAGTAATAACTGTGGCCAAACATAAGTTGTAATATGAAGATAAGGATAAAGATTACACATATAACATAATGTGACCAAATATTCTTTTATAATATATAAATATATTCACACATTTATATATTAAATTTGCAACTTGCAAAAGATATATGCATAAAAATAATCTAAATGGCACAAAAAAGGTAAAAAAAAATTTTAAGACATCTTTAAGTCATCTTTTAGATATCTTTTGGACATGTGTGCTGTCTGCGAAATGTTTATACAAGAATATTTTGTTGTATTATATTGCCACATAATATAAATCAACACTTATTCTTATCATTTATCTATGTGTGCTCAGTTAAACATCTGTTTGTAATATTTTAAAGCTGTGTTTCAAAAAAGCTTATTGTGATGATTTATTGTGATTTATCATTGCTGAAATAAAGCATGTTTGCTTGTGATTGATGTAATAGGAGTTGTACATCCTGTCATATATTCCATCGCTAATTTTTATTGTATCGATAATTACTATATAATTTTCACTTTGCTATTTGCGTCATGAAAATGGTTAATAAAATTCAAAGAAATGATGTACGAATTATGGTTGAATCTAATGTTATTCTCTTCAATCGCATCAAAACATGAAATTTATATTGTTGATCAAATATTTTATTTGTACTTACTTTGCTCTCCATAATTGAAAATTATTTGTTCAGTTACAGTTTTCATTATCGCTTGAGCATCATCAATTGTAAAGATATACGTATATTATGTGGACATTCCTAGAAAGGTTTTCTTTATATAAATGACATGTTTTTTATATTTAACTTTGACAATTTTCATCACTTTGCTCCAAGATTCAAATTGGCGGGACTTTCTCTCTGCAGCGAGTTGACGAATATCTAGGAGATTTAAAACTTTCACTTCAAACATATCGGATCTGATCACTGCGTTTCGCGTTACGCAAATATTGCGACAGTCATTTTCGGTGGTACATACATATATATCATATCCGTAATAAGCGATCTTTTTCATAAGTATTATTTTAGCGAATTTTATTAAAATTTTCGTGAATTGTTTAATGCGTGATTTAATGTATACATATATTTGCTATTTGGTCCTCGAGCTTACCTATTATTATTTTGTTTATGTTTATTGAACCCTCTTCTTTATTTAAAAATCTCTTAAAACATTTGAAATAGATTATAAAACGTATTAATTTTACTGATGAAAATAAATACGGATTATATAAAGAAAATGACTGGTTATTATAAATGTGAAATAAAGTGTGTACTACCGAAAACCACTGTCGCAATATATATTTACATAATGCGGGACTTTACTAATGAAATGAAAAGACTTTCATTTTAAACTACTTCTGCAATTCAGAAAGTGTTGACTGATCCTCATTTCCATAGAGAAAATTTTGACTTTAAAACAAACAAAGAATATGTTTTCAAATCTTGAGTTCATTCTATTCTAGAAACTACTTACTATTTTGCTTCTAAATAATAATATGATTATAATATTAAAATAATATAAATTATTTTACAAAACAGTTATAATTATATTTATCATCAAAATTATGATACTTTAATTTCTCGCTTTAAAGAAATGTAATATCATGTCAAATCATTACTTGATTTAATAAACTTTCTCTTTTTATGAAATTATAAACTAACATAAATTTCTTGATTGCAATGCAGTTGAAATAAGAAGGTCATTTTTTCGATAATATGTAAGGCACTGATTTTGTAAACGATTACAAATTTCATAAAATATGTATGTATAACGATCCGCTGATGTCACAACTAGTAAATGTCTTTTCAATTACAAATTTTAAAACCAATTCAAAGTTATATTTTTTAAGAAAATATCAGAGGAATTAGAAGTTCCATCATTTGTTATAGATTTTTAATATGTATTAGATATTTTGATGCAATCGAGACTTTTAAATATCTTTCTTTAAACAAATAAAACTATTATTTATTTTTATATATTTTTAGGTAAATTCACATATAAAAATCTTACTTTTCGATTTTAAGTACAATATCGTATACAATATTTACAATATCATATTAATTTTTTTAAATATTGCACATATACATGCAAAACAGTTAGAAATCTATAAGTTAAATAGATGCAATATGATACCGTTATCACTTGCTATTGCGTACTTGATATATTGAATTGATTTTATGGCAAGAGGACGTGACAAGTATTGAATATTTCTTGGCAATATATATCGCAGAAAAGATGTCATCTTCGATACTTCCGCTATACACGGTGTTACTCAATTATGGAACTAATAACTGATACCATTTCTTTCATGCGATTCGGAGCTTTGAATAGCAAAGTTATCTTTACTTTCAAAATGAAATTTAGACTATAGAGATATCGTTTCGTCTACACATTTCTAACACATCAGAAACCGGATACGCGTTGTTACGTGGTTATATCACTACCCCCTCCCCCCCCCATTGTCCTTCATGTGCTTCTACTCACGTGTATTTAACATGTACGGAATAAATTTTTGGTGCTATTTCGAAATTCATTACGAAATTTCACTATAATTTGCTTCATGTATCAAACAAGCTATACAATCTATAATTTATTATATATAATAATTGCGTATATAAAATATATGTGTGTGTGTGTGTGTGTACTTTTATATGATCATCACATCCCTGATGAAAATGAATATCGGAGAGTAAGTCGAATGTAAAGAAAGTTTCGTTGTTTCAATTTATGCCTCTTAGGAGCTTTGTTTGCACTTTTGTCATTCTTTCCTTACATTCGATTTACGCTCCGATATTCATTTTCGCTACGGACGACTTGATAAGTGATTAAACTACTAGTTGCTCGATAAATAAAATCCATAATGAAGTTCTATGGTAATTGCTATATGGTAATTGCTATATTGCTATATGCTATAACCGATGTTTTATCTTCAACTATATGCGTGAATTGTATGCGAACTTGCGGGGCATGTTCCAAATTAAGAAATGAAGGTGTATGTGCTCACGAGGACATGTAAATTTATCATTCCGCTTTCGGAAGGAAAGGAAACACGGTGAGAAACATTCGATCGGATTTAACTTTTCGTTTAACTTTCACTTAACGTTTTATATATCCTAGTAGATATAAATATTTTATTATGTGTAAAATGTATTTTAAAAATTCTTTGTTAAAGAGAAATGACATAATTTAAAATTCTTCACTTTATATTTTTCAGTTATTTTTTCGTAAATTTGTTTATTCGTATGTATTATATAACACATATATAATATAATATAAATAAACAAATTTTAGATAAAATAATTGAAAAATAAAATGAGGGAAATTTGAAAACATTTTATACTATTTTATTTATTTTTATTTATATTTACAATAAAAATCATCTATAATCTGAAATTATATTTATTTAGATTGATATATTAAAATTTATTCAGTCTCTTTATGTCATATTTCATTTAGAAGAGAACTATTGTAGCGATTATTATTTCGCCTTTCTATCCTATTACGAAATCTATCGTATTGACTATATGTATTATACGTAGTTTCTATATATGAATCAATCTTGCGAAATATTTCAGGGTCAAGTTTTCGGTTAATTATACTACTAGCAAGAGATATCAGGTTTTTTAACCGATTTGCATATATGCAAAAGAGTTCCACGTGATTGTTTTCTTTTCTTGAATGAAAATGTACAGAATATCCCAAAGTTCCTATCGTATGATATATGTATTGATATAGTATATCCCATGCATCTAAAAAAAAATTTAAATTTCTTCGCACTCGAGTTTAATTGCAAAATTTTTTTAGCGAGCAAACATCTGATTTCTATCCATTTTTAAGGTATACAAAACGCATCTGTAAAAGCATGTGTAAAAAAAACACGTGTCTGATAAAAACAAAAAACCTAATATTATAAACATGACTAATAGACGCGCGATATTCGTCTGAATATGAATATTTATATTCTCCTTATACAATTTTAGATTATTTTACACGCAAATTGAAACAGGAACTGTCATATTGAGAGAAAACAAGGTCAAAAGTTCGAAGACCTCTTACATGTGCATTTTTATGCGAGAAGAGACAATTTCCATTTGATAACGAATAGAGTTGTCAACGCTTACAGAAGAATAATCCGATACTACTGACCAAAATACTTCTAGTCATCCGATGACGCGGTATCGACAGGTGGGGAAGATTCAAGGAAGGGAGACCTTTAGAGCGAAAGAGCGAGAGAAAGAAAGAAAGAGACAAAGAATGGAGGAACAAAACGGTAACCCGGGTGGCAAAATCACCGCGGATCGACCATCAGCAGGCGTCGATCATCAGTTCTCGAAACGTACGCGTCGCGAAAAGACATCCCCAAAATGCGCGCGCTCGTGCCTGTGACAATCTTCGCCGCGATCCTGGTGACATGGGGTTGCGCTCATATAATTACCTGGAGGGAGGTGCGACGAGAAGGGCCGATTCGCGATGCTATCGAGAGCGGCGCCGCCGCCGAGTACAACAAGGACGATTGCATCTGGAGGCGAGGAAACGACCGGGATGTCTGTCCCGATCCGGACGTACAAGTATATCTTTACACGCCTGGTCGATCACGAGTGATCCTGGATCCCTTGGAACAGTCTGATTGGCTGCGTCAGGATTATGAGCCCACCAGAGACAATGTGATCCTTATTCACGGATACGCAGGTGAATCTGCGCTTTCATTCAGAATATTATGGAGAAACATTCCGGAGAAAGAAGAGACATTTGAATATTTAACATAGAATATTGAAATTATTAAAAAATTGTTGAGTAAATATTTTTGGAAAAATAACATTGGCTTGAATTGATGAAGGAGAAAAATGTTGCTATTTAATTAGAATTGTTTTATAATTTATCTTATTTAATCGATTAAAAATTCTTTGATTTTCAAATACAATGACGAAAGCAATATACGGTCCGGATGATAGCAAAATGCAATAAAAAAGAAAGGCTAAAATGTATAAAAAAGAAAGGCTTTTCATCGGGGGATTTTTCATGTATGCGGTTTTTATTGCGTCTTTTTTCTGATGAGGAAGTGAGCGTTGGCCTTTTTTCAGAAAATGTAGCTTATGGTCAGACATTAGTTTTTCAACATGATAATTATGAAACGAGCGATAAGAGCCTAAAAACGCGGATGGTAATGCGTAATTTTTTTTTTTCAAACATTAATTGTTCTCGAAAAAAATTTTTTTTTAAGACGTGCACAAGGCATTTATACATATATTTTACTTGGTGTATATGCCAAGTTATAGATTCTCTTGGTTTGAGACTTCTATAACACCCTCTTTACCCCCCTGAAGAGATGTAGACAGGAAAAATATCGGGGTGAAGTAGCTGAATCGGGAATCGAATCCGAGTCTTTCGCTTGCCGGGCGACTGCTCTTACCACTGAGCTAATTGTTATACTTTTTAATTCAGGTGGTGATGATACGTTGCCGATCACGATTCTACGCGACGCTTACCTGAGAAATGGCAGCTACAACGTCTTCCTGGTCGATTGGGGTGCGTTATGCGCACGACCGTGTTATCCGGCTGCAGTGGCGAATATACGATCGGTAGCGAAGTGTCTCGCCGGCACTCTGACGATCTTGAGGAACCTTGGCTTGCAGATCGCAAAGACCACCTGCATCGGGCATTCCTTAGGCGCTCACGTCTGCGGTATCATGGCCAATTATCTGCTCTTCAGAATGTACAGGTGAATACTGTTTCGTCTTGCTTCTAATTTAATAATTAAATAATTTAATATAATTTTAATATAATATTAATATAATTTAATATAATTTGTCAATGTTTTATTTAACTGCATAATTTGATAATTGTAGTTCGATCTTGTTTAGAAAGACGAAGAGAGTATGCAAAAAATATCAAACGCATTAATATTTATATGAAGACAAAAAAGAGATAATTAAATATTTATTTCGTGTAAAATCAAGATTCGTTTGTGTTGAAAGATAGATTGTGCTCTCTATGAAAAATGTCAATATTTCTTTTTATTATGTTAATCGAATGAAAAACATGTTAATCGAATGAAAAATCTTCATCTTATTGCAATGTATTGACCTGTCAACACTTTTTTACTTGTATTCTCTTTACAATTCACTTCTCAATACTGTATAAACACAGTGCTCCCCAATTGCAAATGTAATCTTATCAAATCAATCTTGAAAAAGATAACTCAAACGCATAAATTTAATTTAATAATTACTTAATAGTCGGAATAAAAAAATGTCTATGTATGTAAAAATGTGTGAAAAAACGAATGAAATATATACTGCATGTAGGATAATCGGCTTGGATCCCGCTCGTCCGCTTCTCCGACCAGGCTTGATGAACCGTTTGGATGCCGGTGACGCTGACTTCGTCGAGGTGATACACACCAACGCCGGATATTACGGCGAGGTCGGTCGCGTCGGTCACGTGGACTTTTGTGTCAACGGCGGCAAGGTGCAACCCTTCTGCGAGGACAGGGAGATGTTCAATTTGTGCAGTCACGTGTGGTCCGTTTGCTTTATGGCGCAAAGCATAGAGGACGATGGGTCGAGTATGATGGCCGAGTCCTGCTCCAGAAGATGCCCCTCGGGTCCAAGGACCACCGCCAGGGCGGGAGAATACGTAAAAATGGGGCAACACACTCCAGTCAACATTAGAGGATCCTTCTGCTTCAACGAAATTAATCCGCCATATTGTCCGAAATATTGGAAGGGTCGCGGTGATGAGAGATGCTGCGTACCTGAATTATCGAGTAACGAAGAAATAGAAGAGAACGACGTAAAGTACGATAATATGACGGAACGTGCTAAATTTACGAAACGATTGCACTTTGAGCTTGACTTAAGACGGCCAAGATATGTTAAGTAAGAACAATTATTAAAAAGTATTAAATTATAACATAATATTATAATTAAAGTTATATATATATATATATATATATATATATATATATATATATTACTATTATTATGTTATATAAATTTAATTACATTCTAATTAAGATTATATTATTATTGATCATATTCAATTTGTTGACAGATAAATTAATGTATATAGAATCGTAGTCTCTCAATTTATATCAATAAAAATACACATATACATATATATATATATATATATATATATATATATATATATATATATGACAATTGACATAAAACAAACAAAATTTTGTAAATATTATTTAGAAAATATATTTATATGTATTTTATATTTACTGTATAATACAAAATAATATCTTACATGTGATTTGTGTCGATACATGAATGAGATGTTCGATGGACAATGATGCTTATGTACGTGCTTACGTAAATTAAGAGCTTACGGTATCGGGTGGCGTGCACCACAAAATGATCTGGGAATGCCGGAGTCACCGATTACATATTCAGATTACGTAGTACGTCGTGTTCCGGAAAAATCTTAAGTTTACAATATATCCGGCGATCCATACCGTTATATGCTCCACTAACATAATGTCGGCAAACAGTCATGACAATAACGAACGATCGAGTGAAGGTCTCGATATATTTCGTATACTATTGGAATTTCCTTAAACAAAATTTTTGCGTCTATTCTGTCAAAATTTTCTTGCAAGTTTAATTAACTGGGAGCTGCCAAAGTATTCTTATTTTCAAAATTTCAAATAACACTAAAATTTTCAAAATTTCAAATAACACTAAGAATTCTTACATTATTTCTAAGATACATTATTTATTAAAAGAATATATTATAGTAATAATTTTAAAATTAATTTTAAATTTTTCAATTAATAATTTTATAATTAATAAAGTTAAAAATAACTAATTTTCTATACCGAAATAATAAATATATATGTGCGTGGGTATTGAAAAAGAGAAATCTTAATTGATAATGAAGTTCCACTTCCAGTACCATTTCATTTTCTAATTCTTATGTAAAATATATGAGACCTAATTCTCGGCACTTCATTTGAGTAGTCGAAATTTTGTGTCCCAATCAATCGAGACGATGTCGAGTAATTGCGACTTGAGTCCGGCGCCCCGCAAGTGTCTCGAGGTTCGTGAGTCAACGAAATCATTAGGATAGGCGACAAACAGGCGAGACGTCTCCTCGACATCTTGCACTCATGCTGTGTCACAGATAGCATGTTTCAAGATTAATGTGACAGACATGGGAGGTTGTTTAGTAAAGATACGCAAAGTATTATAATAGTTATAACTTGTTATCTTACTTAGAAGGAAAAACCCTAAAAAGATACTCGAATGCTTATGCAAAACAAAAATTTAAGAAAATCGCTTAAACAGGAACAAAATATATATATACATATTAAATAAAAAAAACGATGAAGTGAAAAACAAATTCCACGAAGATACAAATAATAAATATCTAATAAAATGTTAATTACAATTAACGCATATCTAATAGAATTACATTTTTTTTTCTAAGAAAAATTACATTTAAAGAAATAGAGTAGAATATTTGTCTAAAGAAGTTTTTAAAAATCCAATAAGTAATAATGTTTTAAAAATTCATTTAATTAACAATAACAAATTAAATGACATAAATATATAAAAATTAAATGACATAAATATATAAAATAATTATGTTTCGCGATAAAAGTTTATATAATATAACTAGGCCATTTTTTAAAGCAGAAAAATGAGAATATTTTAAATAAATATGAGACCAGAAAGAGAAAGAGTTGAAAATTTGATAAAAATGATTTTATTTAATGATAATTATATGCAAAATATATATAGAAGATTTTTGAAAGGACTTTGATATATTCGAGTATCGATTTTTTAAGAATGGACAAAATATCAAACAAATAATACAACAAGTATGTTCGTTTGCTGTATTCAAATCCGATCAAAAACATTAGATCTTATTCGATTTGCCACCTCTTGCAAGGCAATGATTAATTACGGATTTAACGATTTTTATACTGCAGATCTCTTATGTCAGAAAAACTAATTAAAAGGCATGTACTGCAGGTATACGTAGATGAATTATCTTCTACAAAAAGATACAATCTAAAGCTGATGAATAAATCAAACCATGTAAGATATTTGATATCGCAGTTTACTTAAGCCATTGGAAAAAAAGGATATTAAATATAAATGCTATAGGTAGATAAGCATAGATAATCTAATTATAAAAAATAATCTTGCGTCTAATCATATATACAGAGTATACATTTCTTTGGTAATCTCTTAAGAAAATATTAAATTGTAATATATATAATTATAATGATAACATATGTATGATGCGATAAAATGAGACAGCTAAATATACGTAGATAGTTAAATATATTGAGCGAACGAACAACGAATGAGCAGCAGGTATAAATTTTTCAAAGTTAAAGATTTTTCGATATTATTTAACCGTATGCGCGAATATTTTAAACACAACAAATAAACAAAGAGTAATCAACTCACATAGCATCTATATATATGTTCAAAAAACATCCTAAAGATGTTCAATCATCCAAAAATGTCTTCGAGATATTTTCTAATGATGTTTTTGGATATGCATACTATGTGAGAAGATAATATAGATAATATGCATTCCAATATGCAATTGATTTCAATAACATCACGAGAACTGAAACAACATATTTATTTACATATATTTAATTATTTACATTCGGAACAATATTATGAAAAAATTCTTCTGTCTGTACAAATCATAATTTCCCAAATCGGAACATCGGACATTCATATTGATAACATCTCGTTAAGTTTTTTTGCACATTCACATTCATTCGTTGTTCATATCTTTATTTAATATATATGTCTATAACAAACCATGGCAATCAACACAATATCTTTCTTTGATGAATTTTAAAAGAACTTTAAAAAGAAAATGATTTTTTTATGTCTTAAATCTCTCTTATAAATATAAGATCACAAATTTTTTAATCTTCAAAATCGTTAGAATTTCTTAATAATAATTAGAAATCATTAAAATTACAATAATTCATAAAATTATTTTACAAAAATTGATAAATTATATTCGTATTATCATCATTATTGTGTCAATTGAAAGTAAATCTTAAATCCTAAATCCTAATTATATTGATATGATGAAATTTATTTTATTAATAACTAATTAATATAATATATTAATAATTAATAAATCTTAGTAATGATACGTAGGAACTATATGGACACATATGTGTATATATACTTTAATTTGTGTATATATACTAACATTGCTATAACTTTCAGAATAAAAATTATTATATCTTAATTATATAAGTAAAGTACAACTGATCGACAACATTGCGAGAAAAACAATGTTTATCTGTATAAATCACAAAGTGGACAAATGTTTAATTAACCGTACAGCACAGAATTTTATTGCAACAATATTATTAATATTATTGTAACATTGCAGCAACATTGCAATATTACCATAATATTATTGCAATGTTCTGTACTGTAAGGATATTTACATTTCGCATGCAACAATATTGCGAGAAAAATTATTTGTCCAAATCATAATTTTATGAATCAAAGAATATTGGACAGTATATTAATAACATCTCGCTAAGTTTTGTTACGCGATGAATGATGCATGCATAGATCGGAAATAATAAGGTAAGAGAAAAATCAAATCATAGGTCGCTGATAACAATAGTATGATGGCACTATCGGCATCGTTGACACCATTACAGAATAAGTATCTATTTACATACGCAACAACATTGTGAAAAAATTCCTCTATTCGTGCACGTCATTATTTTCTGAATCGAAACATAGGACATTCATATTGATAAATATCTCAAATTTTGTTGTGCAATGAATAGTATGTAAAGATAAATAATAACGTAAAGTAAGGGAAAAGTTTCCCTCAAATCGTAGGTCACCGGTAACGATAGTATTGGTGGTGCCGTAGTCATAATACAATCATAATATAATCTTTGGCTTATGATTTATATAAAATAGTTTAATTATTCTAATTATTTTAATTGTTATAAAATCCATTTTAACTCGAAATAATGACTGTAATTGATCCAGACACATATATTCCATGGATATTGATCTGAAGTCGTTTTAATTTTATTTATCTGTATTTTTCAAATAAAATACAAATTTTTGGTTTTCAATTTTAATTAATCAATATTTATTTATATACATTTAATTATTTACATCCGCAATAATATTGCGAGAAAAATTATTCGTCCGTACAAATCATAATCTTTTCGACCGGAACATCGGACAGTCATATTGATAACATCTCGCTAAATTTTGTTGCGCGATGAACGGCATATGTAAATAATAAGGTACAGAAAAAGTTTCTCTCAAATTATTGATCACCGGCAGTGACGGTATTGGTGGCATCATCGATATCGGTACCATTGGTTTACGTTTATTCGATGACGTGTCTAACCAGGGCCTATGAAAAGGAGATGGCACTTCGCTTTCATTATTGCTTTCCAGTTTTAAAGATCTTTCCTCTCCGGCCAATGGTTTGATATCATCGCAATTATCGGAATTTTTATTTTTAGATTCACTCTTCGATTTCTGCGTTAAATCTAAGCTACTTGCGCTATGATTCGACTCGGATGAATCGGAAGAAGAATTGCCCTCTTCATCGTCCACCTGACTAGCATGGGATATTTGACGATATTTACGCTTGCATCGCGATTGTCCCGTTTCGCGAAATCCCTTCGCGAATGGATTGTTGTTAATCTTCAACTTGGTGATGTTTTCGTTCTGCAAATAATGTGAAAATCAAAGTTTTTATTAAGTACAAGTTCTTCAAGAAAATGACGTGGAGATATTTTATATTTTTAGAAATAATATTACTTGATATAGGAGAAATTAAAAAGTTGAATCATATAACGCTTATATAATCTAAAATCATATGATTTTTAAAATAATCTGAAAAAAGGCTGTACTTGTACATTATTTTATTATTATAGTACCTGATATGCTGTTACAGCTATAAATTCAGTTTCCTTGAAAACAAAGGATGAGGTTGGATGAGAAAAGAGATCGATAAGATTTGTCGTATTGGCGCAATTAATTATCCAAATTTTAGGGACGTATTTATGCATTGATGTTAATACCACCTGCAAATATAAATTTTTCTATTTATTAATTATTCACAAAAAAACCCTATAACTTTAAAAAATATAGAAAATAAAATGATGATGCGATGAAATATCATAAAAATTTCGAAATAAACGGTTTTCAAATTCACTGAATTCTTTACAAAAAGTAAAATTGCGATTATTTATTATTAAATAATCGACAGTAAGGTACATTATTTTCATACAAAAACGTTGCGTTCAATTTAAAAACGATATATCTGAAAGATAAATCTGAAAATATCATATAATTTCATCAACAGCGATCTTCTTCTCAAGCGTATTCTTGAAGCGTATGCTTGAATAAAAATTTCTCTTAAAGAGTATGTATATAGACACGTTTTCTCCATTCTATTTGCAAATAATTTGCAAAATTTGCGCGTGTCTACATATTCTTTAAGAGAAATTCTTATTTTCAAGCGTGAATATGTAAAGAGAAGATCGTTGTTGTGCAGCGTACATTATTGCGAAAGATGATCCCGGAGACACGAAAGAAAAGACCCTTTCTGTTAGCCGGAGAAACACAGGGAGAACGGAACGTCGAGAATTTTATTAAATTCGTAATTAGTTTGAAGAACTGGGTAAAAGGGCGCCGCTTTTTCGAGATAAGTTGGCGCCTCACTAAAGAGGCCGCCGGTAGACGCAGACGCGATTCCCGAAAACCAGACTGGTCCTACACAACCTTCTCAGAATCATGTGCCTCTATACCACCGAGGATCTCTCATATGAATCTAGAGCGATGCATATTCACTTGAATATTTAATCCGTTATGCATTTTAAAATATAAAGCATATTAGTACATCTTGATAGCGCTATGTATCGATACTAGATACAGATACCGTATATTTTTCTAATCAATTTCTTATTTGAATTTCACCCGAAAGATTTAAATATCTATATCTTATCTGCTATACAAAAGACAAAACTGTAATGAATTTTACATACGAATAATATTTATTAAAAGATATTTTCGAAATGTTTTTCGAGATAAGAAACACGATAAGAAACACGTTTCGAGAATATCTTTTAACAAATATTATTTATAGTTTTCTGAATTTTTCAGTATTTATGTATTTATTTTCCAATATTATATATATTTATAATTAAGCTTTGTATATAAAATAAAGTCCAATTGAAATTAACTGTGAAAAGTCGTGTTGTCTACTTACTTTAAAAAAAATTCATTAAAATTCTATAATTAAGCACTGCGCTCATAATTCAAAATCTATCGGTGCTTCTGTACTTTTAATCCCTTTTCTGCTTAGATTGAACCTCTTTAGATCGGATCATATCTCGTGTATGCTCCTTTATAAAAAGGAAAAGGTGCCAAAATTGAGATAACCGCGTAACAATGTAAATATCTTACTTTGCACCGCCGTCATGCGCCTGATCCGCGGGCATTTGAAGATTAACGCGATGCGTTTTGTGCATGAATCAATTCGAATGAGAATAACAAGGTGCAAAGGGAACCGCCGCCATTCTTCCATTCTTTCGTCGCATCGACAAAAGCTGCGAGAGTCGTAAAACGGCATCTCTCTAACACCAGCGGCGACGACGGTGGCTACTCTGGCAGCGAGTTCCTGTCGGCTCGTAAACAAACCCTCTCACGTAGACCACAGTGGGAAGAAGGTATATCGATTACAGGGTGTCGTGGAGCGTGTTAATCTTCGTTTTTCATGGATGTCGGATTGACCGGTCTGCCCCACCGTTTTCGAATGGCCTAAGTTTTTCGTTAGAAAATATGTCCACCCAGCGTGCGCCGATTTTTTTCTTTCAGGGAGATTTTAATCCCCGACCCCATGGCTCTTTCGTTCGAGCCGATCTCGAGGACGAAACGCTCGCAAAAATATTATACAAATATAGCCTCCGATGATGTTCGTGTTACGTTATCAAATAAACACGGATGCGAACAAAGGGTGCATCTGATGAATAATCGTCGAATTTAATGTGTAATCTCCGAAATCACGTAAAATAATGCGGTGATGATTTTTCGATAACGGGTTGGGATAAATTTGTATACTTATATAAAGCGATTATTTATGTTAGAGCATTTTTTTTCAATTATTTTATGATCTAAAGATATGGATTATTGTATGGCAATTCTTTTTATCCATTGTTACAATAATATTCAAAAAATGAAAGAAACAGTAAATATTTTTATGAGAGAAAAAGTTACAGAAAGTCACTTTTAATATTTTAAGATAAATTGAAATTGTTGACATTTTATTTTATGATAGCAATTCATCTTACTTAAAAAGTTAAAATGTTAAAGAGAGAACAAGCAAGTAAATTTGACGAACAGATATATGATGACCTCCTGCATGCGGTATACAAATTGTAAAAGAAATACTGAAAACCGAAATACTGAAAACCGAAAATAGTAGAGATAAAAAATGAGAATGTTGGACAAATAAGACCTTAAACATTGAAGAACTAGATAAATGGGCAGTGGCTATTAAATTGTGGGTGTTTTTTTTCTTAGGATAATCTTATCATTGCTTTATAATATAGACATAAGTTGTCAAATATAAGTTGTCGTCACGCCTAATAAACTGATAATAGATAACTTGACAATAAGTAGATTCGTTCCACAATGGAAGATTTACAATATACTCATATTACTATTCTTATTAAAAATATATATATATATATAACTAAGAAAAAAAATCATATATATATATATATATATATATATATATATATATATACGACTAAGAAAAGAAACACCCACAATTCAATAGCCACTGCCTATAAATATATATATACAGGGTGTATCTGAAATGGAGCGTATTCTAGGAGCGTATTCTAAAGGTCAAAATAAGACTTTTTTTCCTATGAACATAGATCCGCAAATGAGCCCCCCTCTGAGTTAGAGGCCCTTAAAGTTTGGGAAAAAATTAAAAATTGACTGTGTTTCAGAAAAAAAAGTTTTGACGTTACCTATCACCCTCTTTTGAGAGATAAATAAATTTGCGTTGCGGGTGTTTGGTCAATTTCACATATTTTCAAATTTTAGCTTGGAGGGAAGTTTATTTGCGGACCCATATTCATAAGAAAAAAAAGTCTTATTTTGATCTCTAGAATATACTCCTAAAGTGCATCATTTCAGATATACTCTGTATATATACACATAAAATACATTTTTTAATTTATGTTTTTATTTGATAAACGATTTAAATAAACAGGAATATTATTACGTGGAGATAACATCAGTTTCTGATCACCTAATCAAATATTGCGGGAACATCGGAGGTGAAGAGGGAATGTGAAAAATACACACATACACGCACACACTGGCGGATCCTGGGGAGGGGGGAAATTTAGGGTTAAAATCTTCCTTTGCAAATTAAAAGAAATTAATTTTGCTGAATCCGCTTAAAATATATACGTAAAGAAAAATAAACGTTAAAGCAGGCCTGTCGACATGACTCGAGCGCCCATGACTCTAGCTCTCAGGGGTCCGTTCTAAAAAGCTAAGCATGAAACCAAAAATATTAAATCAATTTTGCAGAAATCCCCCCCCCCCTTATCGATGTCAGGATCCGTTAGTGCACGCACACATATATGAACATTCAGAGATATATATAGAAAATTAATTAGTGGCTGTTTCAATTAGTAATACTTTTTAAAATATTTCTTCTAACATTATATAGAGAGAAAATAATTAAAATAATATTATGTGTAGGTGTAAAAATAGAAATTAAAAATTGAAAGACAATTTCGACTCGCTTCTATTAATAAATTAATTTAAATTTATTATATAACATGCACATACTTATTATATTACATTACTTACGTTATTACGATGATCGACAATGTTGTTTGTGAGTTTCAGTTTGCTGAAGTTGATCGAGTTTTGCATCCAGTGCTCGCCTGTCGAAGGATTGTCGGGGTGAAAAAATACTCTACGAAGAAATGGCTGCTGCGGCTCAGCCGACCCAGCAATGCTCCAACCAATATTGCTTTTATTCGTGTTTTCATCGTTACCTCCACTGTTTCCGCAATATTTGTGACGGCGATCAGAAGCCGGTGCTATCTCCATAACAACGTAATAATAATCTTGTTTGTTTAAACCGTTTACCGTCAACTGGATCGATGGAAACATGCGTCTGTAATCAAACAAAAAGAATTCATTGTTGCATAATGTTGTAAAGAGAATGCTTTCGCACACCAAGAAAAAAATATAAAATTATATGGAGAAAACATAAAATTATATGTTAAATTGTATGAAGCAAAATATATAATTTTTTGACCAGAAAAGAAAATACAAAATTTTTGACTTTAAAACTTGCGACAAATATGCCAAATATAAATTATTTCGATTGATAAAATAAAATCCATATTTAGCTTATAATAAGCATATCGTTTTAACAGAAATATATCAGAGCATGAATAATTTTCATTTCCAGATATTTGAAAATACATAATTTTATCACCAAATCTTACTATATGAAAACATTTTAGACATATGAGCGACAATGATTCATGGACGATATCAAACATTGAAGACTTCATTAACCTAACGACTTGGAGATTAGGAATATATGTAATTACCCTATGAATGACTTTCTCAATCGCTATTGAAAGAAAAACTTTCTTCGTGTCAGGTAGATATATGACCCATCTTTGACAGAACAAAGGCTCTGCTGGTCATTAACGTGCCAGCGACAAGTAGGCGTCATCGTAGAATGGGCTATGCTCTTTCTTTGCAAGATTTTCATCGATGAATTTTTTTAAGCAAACACTTCAAACGTATAGCTAATTCAGCATATGCGTTTTTTGAAAAATCAAACATTAAAAAATCAGGTTGTCTTTAAATGCGGTAGTTTTATCCGCATTTTCCCGCTTTTTAAGCCTTTTCTATCGAGTGGTCGGACTAAAAGGATTTGTTTTACGCTTGTCTCGGAATATCCAAAATCCAGAAATCAGAAAAAATAAATAAAGAATCCAGAAATCAGAAAAAATAAAAAAAAATAAATATGAGTCATCGGAATAGGTACCAACAAACTATAACCGTATCAATAAGATTAAAATTTAGTTTTCGAAATAATAAAAAATTAGAAAATTATTGTAAAAAATTGGTAATTATTATTTCCATTAGAATTTTGTATATCATATATTTCCGGTCACTTTAACTATTTCGTACAATCATTTTGGCATGATATAAAAAATTTAGATTATTTTTACATCATAAGCAAGAATTGTAACACTTTTACATAAAATTATAATATCCAAATATAATATGAATAAATATAATTTTTGGAAGACTAAATATCTGACAGATACATAATGTCGAAATACTTGACTGAATCATAAGGTGAATAAGATAACTTCTTTCTATGTTCTTTATATTTCGAAAGCATATATGATTAATAAGTCGTAAGTCAAACAGACTCTCAGAAGAAATCATGCATCATGCGCCATTGTAACGGTTGCTTGTGCCGCGTGCGGTAGCTATCTGGTCTAAGAAGCCTCTTGATTTCCGGCAACGAGATAACGTTTGTAATGTTGGCATGATGTAACACGCATTACAACAAATATGGCACGAGTCTGGTCGTCATTCTGTCAATTGGGGGGGAAGGTGAAGCCGTCGTGGACTATCTCACGAAAAACATACGCGCCGGTTCTAATTTTAGAAAGATTCAACACACACACATATATATATCTTATATAATAAAATGGATAAAAAAAAGATAATAAATATATCATTATCACGTACATATTTTCGAGAGCAATAAATGACAAAAATATAGTTTTTATTTAATTATATATTTTAAAATATTTTTCAATATTAATTTTTTTATTTCTTGATATTTCACATTAGATTTATATTTTTAATATCATAAACACATGAATTTTATATCCTTCATATAAATATATTTTGTTTTAGTTAATGAATATTCTCATCTTAATTATAAATAAAAAATATATTTTTGTTTCTCTTAAATATATATAAATATCATATTAATTTTTTTGCGAATATTTAAAAGGAAATTTTATTGACGACATTCTTATATATTCAAAAGAAGATTCCTAACAAAAATCTAGAACTAATTCTTTTCGAGGGAAAGAAAGAGAAAAAGAGAGGGCAAGATTATAAAAATGCAACATGTAATTATATCTGAAAAAATTTTTTCGATTATCTAATAATATCCTTTACCTGACTTTTTATATGTTAGTCATGAAAAAATAGATTTATTAACCACGAAAACAACTTATACGCACATTTTTTTCTGTAAAAGGACAAGGATTTAAAAATAAAAAGAGGCTGTGTTATTTTAAAGGAAAAAAAGGCATAAAATAAATATAAGAAAGAATGATGGTGAGATTACGATGAACGAAAATCGTGCTGCCAAATAACGATTGTAAGAATAAATTTGCAAGGTCCGGCGCGAAAGAAAACAAAGAGCATATGATGGGCATGTGGTGCGAACGAAACGCCGGAAGAATGAATAGACAGACACCTCGGTCGTCTATTGTCGCCTGGACCGCCCAGAAATATGCATGCTGAAACATAAACATGTGTTCCGACTTCTTTTCAGAGCGTCAATCGCGTTCTCGCGATCCGTCAGCTCGTTAAAAGCACGATCGATGATCATCTTACGTTGGTCTGAAGATTTTAGAGGTGGTCCAGTTGTATCTCGTAACAAGATATATTTTGTAACGTATGGTCAGATGTGTAGACTTTTCATGAGAAATTTCGAAAAAGAAATGGAATATGCATGTAATGAATGTTTTTGAATGGACATTTATCGTATAAATAAATACGCATGAAAATGAAAAAGGATGTTAAAATAGAGTATGACAAATAGAGTATACAATGTGTAGATAACATAAATTTCAATTCTGATTTTTAAATTCAATAAAATTTTTAAACTCTTATAAATTAAAAAACTAACTATTAATATTGAGATTCAGGAAAAACTCATCAAATCTAAAATAAACAGCCAAGAAATGTCATTATACGTGGTTCTGACATATTCAATATATTATTTATCACTAATTTATCTTTGTCATATATTAGACAATATGAATATTAGATAAAAATATTGAATATTTTGTTCTTAAGTGTCATATTTTGTACATGAAATACAAACATACAATTTATACAAAAATCCCATTTCTTTCTCGAAATATTTTGAAGCAGATCATAAATCAATACGAATATTGCATTTCTTCGATAGTAAAGTATTCAGTCGATAGTATTCAGTATGTATTCAGTGAACGTTCGAAAATATCGGGGACCATTATTTATATAATAAATTTATTATCTATTTATTATCTATTTATAAAATAGTATATATAATATTTATATAATGTACTCCTTTAATGTCATAATTCTTCAATTTTTATGGTATCGAATATATCGAATATATTTTATTATTGTGTTGATCGGTCAAAAAAATCTTTTTTTATTCAGTTGCATCGTTACTTCTACACAGATATATGATACGTCATCATTATTTACTCGAATTGATAGCCGACAGATAATCAACCAAAAAAAAATGCTCTCAAGACATTTGACATTTAGACATGTTTCCTGTCTTCCGCTGCAGTTTCCACGCCCACGCGATATACACCATGAAATCTCTCGTGACATCATCGTATGGTGTTATCTGTTTAAAACCACGCAAAATTCCACGTACCCCTATCTCGAGTGATTACCGCCCCGTGTCTCATCTGAAGAGTTGTTCAATCGCTTCCGGTAAAGGATCGACGTTACCGGAAGCAGACACGATTCACCGTCCGATTGTAGAATGACGTCGGTCTTGTCTCTATAAGACGACATCCTATATATCCTATGCTATTCGACTGAAACGTCCTTTGATCCCTTAATTGGTATAAGAACTACGTTGTTACCCCATGATGTCTCTTACGACAACAATCCACGACGACCTTCTGCGAAACTAAACTCACTGCTGTCACCCTATACTATCTGTCCGTCTGCACCATTGAAAAGAAGCTTATCATCATGGGACAAAAATGCCAGAAATATGCGTCAGAATTTCGGCACTGATGATATCTCTCAGAAAACATTTCTGTCAAATGGAAGCGCGATAACAACAATCAATTATCTTTGAACACAATTCTATCTCTGTAAAACTAACATACTGCTACCAATGCCCGATTTCACCAACCGTGTTTAACTTGAATCTTAGTTTAAACTCACTTTTTATCTTTTTCTAACTCTTCCTTTAGAAAGAGACAAAGAGTGAGTTGAACTAAGGTTAAAGTTAAATGCGGTTGGTGAAATCGGGCATAAAAGTGTCAAATGAATTTCAATACTTGCATATTTAAACTTTATCAGAGAAGAACATTGAAGCAATTCGAACGAGGCAGACAATCGTAACATTCGCATATAGCGCTGATTAATTTTAATGAATTAATAAGACCTTCACAACCAACTACATCAAACATGATATGATTCTAATAATGATGAAAAATAATAATTACATAACTATATAATCGATTGAAATGTGATCTAGGATTTAAAATAATGATTAGTTCAAATAAAAATAACGAAAGCTTAATTTTCAATAATTAAAATATAAAGATGTTAAATATCTGGAAAAAAAACGAGACTTGTTGATTTTTTTTTTAAAGAAGTATTTTGTTTTTTCTTTCTCTATTTACATCTTTGCTCTCGGCTTTCTCGCGCGTCCAGCGGTTCAAATTTGCGACCAGCCAGATGCCAAGCTTCGTATTACTTTTTGGCGGAATCCCCGCGGGGAGGTCCATTGTTTCGTGAAAAAAATTGCGACCGTGCAGCAGTTTTCGAGTGCGTCAGCGCGGCGCCGACCAGTAGACAAGGGGAGTGGTTGCAACGGCGTCGTCTCTATGGTGCGCACCTCTTACAGGCGCCAAGACGAGAAGAATCTCCAAGTTGAAGCGTCAAAGGGAAATACCTCGTCTTGCTTGTTCAATTGAAAGCGCCCGGTACCTTTCGTCGCGCCGGACGCCATTTAGACGGATTAGATTGTGCAGAAACGCACAGCCATAATTGTGATTATACAATCATCCCGGGAGAGGATGATTTAACACCGTGTTGTGATTTTATCGAAGATTAACTGTTACTTTACGAAATTTTGTACCTGTGTTATTGAGAATTTTACGAAATTTTTTCTATACCATGAGAGAGAAAAAGGCAGAAAAAGTATTATAAAATCCACGACTTATCATCGAATTTTTATTTGTTTATCGAATCTAATATTGAGTCCCCTCTTTGTCTGATTGCGATTATTATATTTATTTTTAATGTGTAATAATATTGTTAAGGAATATTTGAACCAAAGCGCCTTTAGAAATAGCGTAAGCAATTTTTATATAAAACTGCTTTGCAAAAGCTATACCTGAATAATCCGTATGAATGTAATAATGCGTACTCACCGGCCCGACTTTGTAATGATCATTTCCGTGGTTTCAGCGTGAAATTGCTCCCAAAGCGTTCGATTTTGCAATTCTACGTTGACTCCGGGTAGCAACGATCGTGTCCACGTTGTGGGATATGACTTTTCATCTGTAAATTGATAGCGCATGCTTAGAATGATCAGCAAAATTTATATAGAATATCTTCTTTACTTATAATAAAATTCATTTTTAAATTTAATATCGCATGAGATATAAAAAAAATTCAGTTTTTGAATAATAAATATTTTTATAACCCAATAATAAAAGTAAAACGTCTATAAACTTGTCTATTTTCAATTATATTATAATTCGATTATAATTAATTGAATAAAACCTCGATGTTTAGAAAATTATTCACTGAAAAAAAATTTGATTGAAAATTTACCAAAGAAATATTCTGTTGTATTAACTTAATTCGTTGTACTGAACTCTCTGTTTTAATGATTTAAATAAGTTTTTTTTTACACCTTTGTTTACACCAACAAATTATTTCGGAATATTTTAGTTGTATTTATTTGAACGTATTGGACAATATATTTAGTTGGGTAAAACAAATTTTGCCTTTTTCAACCAAGTTTTTTTTCAGTGTTGAACTAGAAAAATAGCTGTAAGGCATAATATTTCATAATACATATACATATATTTAATTACATATAATTAATTTACATGTATTTAATTTTCCAATAAAAATGTATGCACGTTTAACTTCGGAAGAGAACAAGGAATGAAAATTAAGATGGAGAAAACTTTGCGCATATATAAAATCTATTTCCGCGATAAATTAGGAATATTATTAATGCCAATTTTCCTAAAAATGTGTCAGCGATTGCGGGCGATCTTCTCTAAAAACGCTATTTGAAGGTGAATAAAGAAAATGAAAGAAATGAGATAATGAATAGCAGCAGAGACTCCGTTGCCGCTGCATTGGTAGCGTTATAGACTGACACACAATTGCAAACACTCGATCTCCCGCAAAGAAGGGACAATATATTACCAGAACTATTCTATAGAAAGATAATGATTATTCACTTCAGGGAAGATCGGTACTTTTCATCTTTCAAGATTCTTGTATTATGTAGGGTGTTATAATTAACAGAATAAGTGCGATTTTGAAACCGACATTTGTGTGTCGGAATAAATAGTTTTTCTTCCAATAATGTTAACAATAGATTCGAAGATATTTAATTTTTCAATCATAAATTAGAAGAATAGTTAAAAATGCGATATACTTGTGCTTAATAATTAACACCTCTTTTATAAAACATACAGTCCAAAAAAATTATTACTTGTATTTTTGTCAATCATTAAAATATATAATGCACAGTGAATGAACTGTCTCGTTTTATTTATGCAAAGTAATTAAAAATATACTATTATATTTAATTTTTGTAATAATATATTAATATGTTAAAACTATATATCTCTTGCGTTAAAAATGTCCTTGTTATAAATTAATGGAGTTATATTAAAGATTTTCGAAATAGAAACATTAATATAAGATAACATCTTTAAATTAGTTTTGATAAAAGAGCCTGAATATAAAATTAAATGTATATGTAGATTGAAATAAAGAAAGCGAGAGCAGAAAAGGGGAATTGAATTAAATAATAAAATAAATTATTGATTATAAAATTCGCACATTGCGTTAGATCGATTCTCGACTCAGGATTCTTGATATTAAACTGTACCACAAAACTGTTGATATAATATATTTCAATAAATTTTATTTACAAAGTCGCTTCGTGACAGCAATCAGCTTCGCTAGTAGTCGCCTACAAATACATACGATTTTGAGAAACAACTTGAAATAAGAAGAATACAGGAAACCTGTCTTTTCAAGAATAATACAACAAACCTGTCCTATGATCTGTCCTATGAGCAATCTGTTGCGACGCGAAATGTAGCTGCCGGTTTTGCAATTGCATTTGCAAATCCATGGGAATCAGCACGTTAACATTCGTGTCTTGAAGAGGCACTTGAAAAGACATCATTGAAAGTTGAGTATTTCGGAGCTATTTCGGTCACTGTCGATGCAACTACGTAATAAGGAGAACACGAAGAACTACGTAACGTCAACGCTATTGCAGTCGAATGTCAACTAAAGAGATCCCAATTCCGACCAGAAGACGAAACCAGTGCAACATCTACCGCGCAGATCATCGACAATGTCAACTCGTGTCTTCATTGGTGAACGTGACTGCCTTCATAAATATTGTACCGCCTACACGAACTCTATTGGCCATGGTTCTACCACAAGTGGGATTTGAAACCCAAACAAGTGTCTGCAGAGACGACAGAGAAGGGCAAGGGAACAAAAGAGAGAGAGGGGGGAGAACGAGGGATGAAAACGCAGTGTGTCACGCAATTGCATTTTCATCCCCTACATTCTCGATGTCCAACTTGTTGAAGACTCAATTGAAAATCATTCATTCTCTTCCTATTTCTTTTTATTTAAAATGTTTGAGTATATCATTGAACAATTTGTTAAAGTTAAAAGATATCTTAATCACTTAGTTAAAAAATTTTGGATTATTTAATCCTTTTTTATTTCTTAAATTTATACAAATATATATTTACTTAACTTTAATATACATATATAAGATGCAAGTTGGAACCTTTATCTTTGAATTTGCTATTAATAACTCAATTATAATTAAAATAAAATAATTTTAAAATAAAATAATTAAATCTTAAGTTACATATTCTAAATTTTTAATTGACACACACGGATGAATGTTTAATTGTGTGTAAAATATTCTACATATATGTAGAATGTTTGACATATATTTTCTAAAAAAAATTAAAATTAAAATTAAAAAATGAAAATATCATATAAAAAATAAATAAAAATCACAAATAGAGAGATAAATATGTTTTCATTAGACGTGTTCTATTTGATGATAAAAACAATATCAGAATCAATTCCACGCGTCAATTGCGTTATGCGTGTAATCGTTGCGTTGTGAAGAATTGACAAGTGCATTTGATGAGCGCGTCGCAGATCGTTATCGCCATTTCCACCAGTGACACCGACCCTGCACAGATTTGTATCGCGTGTTCCCGCGAGTCTCGTCGTAACGTTCCCATTACAAGCGTCGTATATGAGTCGGAACACGGAATTGTCATCACAAATTACCGGAATCCGGCGGGTAGACAGAGTTAATAGTTTGTTCTCGAGTCAAGAGACGAAAGAGAAGAAGATAAAATCTCAACAACGGACACGCATTGCGTCGCCGGAATCTTTCACCGGGTATCGCATACACGACGTTTTCTCGAGAAACTATCAAAAGCTAAATATTTTCATTCGATTGGAAAACACAAAATAACAAGATATTCCTGATTACCAATCTCTTAATTTTAATAATAATAATAATTTCCTTCATTAATTTGAAATCGATTTTCTGACAAATACACACACACACACGGTACTCTGAATATTATATTACCATTACACTATATAAGTATTTTTTATGGATTTTTAATTTTTGATGGAGAAATTCTTTTCAGTAATCCTTTTAAGTATATTAATTGTTTTTTTATAAACTAATAATTATTTCAAAGAATTGAATCATTAAAAATATCAGATTTTCTAGTCTTATTAACGTATTGCAAGTTTTCTAATCTTCATAGGTATCTATGCATTTTGGAGTAACTCCAATGTAACAATTTGTGGCGTATCATATAATTCATGGCTTATCATTTTGTTTCGCTTTTCATTGTTTGTTTAGGTTTTTTCCCTCATATTTATTTATTCATGTTTAACCGACACATTCTTTACACATTCTTTACACACATATGCACATATACAATTTTTCACAATTATTATCGTTAGAATGCGATAACTTAAGCAATATCCGATTATAAAAGCATGTACTTTTTCAAAGCACATATTTTAAAAATAGAAATTATTACCTGAATTTATTATGTATAAAAACAAATAAAGACTTGTGTTTGATAATAAAAGATATAAAATTGTATGAATAATTTAAACAGAATAATAAAGATAATTTTATTATCATAAAGTTAATAGAGAAAAGGAATGCGTGTGTATACTATCACTTATATCTTTTAATGTCAAATTGTGATATAATGATCTCAAGCGTAAATTATGAAGGGAGTTTTTTTAATGCTTTTTATGAAAAAAGAAAGCAAAAGGGAGAAGAAAAAGCTTCAATTAAATTAATTTTACTTTATATTAATTTTGCGTTACGTAATCAATAACTTTATGACAAAATATAGATAGGGGAAGCTAGGGAAAAGGGATGCAATGATGAGACAAAGAGAAAAAATGAAATAAAAGGCCCTGACAAATGCATCCTATGACTCGCTTCCTGTTCGTCATACGCACGCGACAATTTCCTGCACGGTGATAATTGCAACGGTTATTTTTCACAACACGGCAGAAACTGTAGTCGATTAAATAAGAGATTTAAATGCAAGACATGTAACTTCCAGAAACATGTCGCATTGAATGCAATTTATCTACAGATTAAATGAATAAATTATATCAATTATTTTGTCCCAAGTAATAGCTAATCTGTAATCAGAGTTTGGACTTGAATAATATCTAATAATATTTTGTCGTTTTTAAAAAATTATTTTCAGAGAGCAACATTTTGAGATACAATTGAATCATTGAAATTACTATTAATTCATTAAATCATTGAAATAAATGGAATTTTACAAAACTTTCGTCAATTAGTTTTTAAATTCCTCATCCAATAACTTTAAAATCTTAGTCTGTAAACCTACTCTATCAGTTTCAAGATTTAACAGTTACTCATCAGAGTGTGGATTAGAAAAATGTTATCTTATGATGCGAATTTATTTGAGTTGATTTCAAAGAGCGACATTTTGCATTGTTATTGAATATTATCGTCTTTCGATAATATTCAATAACAATGCAAAATGTCGAATGAATTTTCCGACAAAAATTAGTTCGTATCTTGCCAGATAGCACACATGTTCAAAAAACGTCTTACGAGACGTCTTAAAGTTTTCTAAACGTTTTGAAAACTTCTTTTGGTACTTCTGTGGTATCGGGGTTTCTCAAATTTCTTATCTAAAATCATTTCAAATCTCAGATTATTTCATCTTATCAGAATCCTCAATTTAATACATTTCGATACATATGTTTGTATTTCAAACTTGAAACATAAATCTTTTAAATTTTATATTATTCGATCGAATTATAATTACAAAGCGTTAAAATATTACGAAAAAAAATGAGCGACTGGTATAGGTATGTCTGATGCTTAAATAAGGGGTAATCGCGCGTGCCGCAATGTCTCGCGATCGCGAGATGGGCGTGCAAACTAATTTTACACGCATTTGTCACGAGGCCCAGAGTCCAGGATGTTTATTTTTCTCTCAAATAGAAGATCTTGAGAAAGCAGTGACATTCTACCGGGCGGGCACTTGTAGAGACGTTTCCTCGTGGCGCATCCACGAGCGTAACAACTGTGGAAGCGCCAGTCGAGATTAAAGTGTAAACAGGCAAGAAGAAACACAAGTACGAAACCATTCCCTCTCGTAGCACAAAACGGTATAGACGAATGGACTTTGTTTCGGAGTGGCCACTTCGTCTCGACTGTTTGTACATTCGAACGGAAGTTTTGTCAAATCACTCCCGTATCTCTGTATCGTTGAATGAAATGATTTTTCCCAGCTTGAAAGAGACCTTGAGCTCGTAGACCTTGAGTTAACTTCTGTTGAACTACATTTTCCTCGATTTGCCTTTTGTTCGATATGCATGTGCATAAAAATTATATAACGTCAATAATATTGTCAAATATATTAATTGCAAATAACTGATATTATATTTTTATTTAAAATTTATTTTGTTCAAAAATCTATCGAAGAAACTGTAATCAAATTAAACTCGAGAATTATATGATTAGAATCATTTGTAACAAAAAACAGAATGTAAATATGTCCATTGACATTAATCTGAATGTAATATTTCATTCTATATACGATATGAAATAAAATAATAGTAGCAATAGCAAGACAAATGCGACGAAAAAATAATGTATTCTACAAATTATGCATCATACAATTACATTATACACTTGCAATCACAATGTGTGATTCATTGATTTTTCGAAAACTCTATTCATACAATTAACTATTGAATCGTTTAATTTATCATTAGCTAGCATCTAGTTAGATAAGTTTGATAAGGAAGTTAAAAAATATACTTATTATTTATCTTAAACCTTGAACTATATATTAAAACTTAATTATTTATCTTACTTGTTTTAATATCAATTTATAATATCATCGATTTGCTCGATTAGCGTTCTCATTAGCGACAGAAATATCTCAACAAATTTCTTCGTTGAATTTATTGTAAGAGAGCTCAAAATTAAACAATTTTAATATCACGAAAAATATTCTTAACGAAAAAGAAATTAAATTACATTATGACAGTTATATAAATATTATATATAGAAAAATTTTTAACCATTAAATGCATAATATGGGCATTCTTAAATATAGATCGCAGCTCTCTCATTAAACAAACTGACATAAGCAGGCGATTATCAATAGCAAAAATACTTTGTATTTTTTAAAAATACTTTATATTTTTCAATGGAAAAAATACTTTATATTTTTAGTTTTTATTTCAGGATAAACCAAATTTAAAAATGTTTAAATCTTTGACATTTATATTAGTATGAAGCGAGAACACATTCAAACCATTTGATTGAGTTTACATCGTTAAATTTTTGCTGAAAAGAAAAATGGCTTTTCGTGTACTTATTAATGCAATTTAATATAAAACGTAATTATATTAAATGATTGCCGATATTTACATTTAACTGATTCTGGATGCCCAAATAAATATTTATAAATATTCGCTTTGACATTTTTCTCACTAGTGCGAAGTAACTTTCCTTTAAGATTTGGTGCAAATATTTTTTCTTTTCAAACGATTCTGACAACTTTAAAATTATTGGAAATTGACTCTAAAAAATTTACAAAAATAAATTTTATATTTATAGTAAAGATGGAAAAAAATAGGAACAAAAAGTATTTACATACATATTTTCAAAAAGAATAAAATCATACAGAATTAACAGAATTTGCATGAACATCTATGAGATATGAAAGAAAAAATTATCCAAATTCTGATTCTATTTATAAAATCTTTGCTATTCTGTGACAGAATAACGGATTCATATACACATATGTGAATAGTTATACAAAACTACGTATTATCAAAAATTCAGCTGGCGGAAAGCATAGTATATTTTTTCAAGCCGAGAACGTTATCTGTTCTATGAAAACAATTGATTTTTACTAAACACGTCGGAACAGCCTTTTCTTTTCTTTTCGAAAACAATCTAGAAATAATAACAGTAATAACATTATATATACATATCTCAATTAAGTTCTATTAAAATTTCTTTAAAACGAAATTAATGAAAAAATACAATTTTGATAATATCTGATAATTTTGATGATTTATATATTCTGAAATTTTTTATTTCTCATATAATTTAAAATAGATCTTGAATCTTGCGGTACGCAAAGAAAAATGATAAGAGATGAAGTAAGATATACATATAATGCAATGCGATATACAGGGCAATCTCTTTTCAAAAAAGAAGTTCTTGTAGTTACCTCGAGAATTTTTCAAAACACTATAATAAAGTATTTTTTCATCGAGTACTTTTCGAGTTACGATGCTTGAAATAATTTTTTAATTTTACATAAGTCATAAAATATATCTAGTAAACTATTCATTTTTCGATTATCTTACATTAATATTTTTACAAAATAATGAGAGGAATCGGTTGGTGTAAAGAAAATACATAATTGTTTCGAAAAAAGAATATGTAATTTACGATTAACAATTACATATTTTTTCTTCGTAACAATTGTGTTTTCTTTACATCAATTGATTCCTCTCATTATTTTGTATAAAAATATTAAGGTAAGATAATCGAAAAATGAATAGTTTACTAGATATATTTAATTTCTGTAAAATTAAAAAATTATTTCAAGCCTCATAACTCGAAAAGTACTTGATGAAAAAATACTTTATTTATAGTGTTTTGAAAAACTCTCGAGGTAAGCTACAAGAGTTTTTTTTGGGAAGAGATTGACCTGATACCCTGTATATATAACAGCTACATCTCCAGAATTTTTTTCCATGCGCTTTCGAAATGACAATAATTTTTATCGTGACTGCCTAATCGTGAAAGAACGTACGAGCGTGGGGAGCATCCGAGCCGAGAGGGAAAGAGAGAATCAAATTCTTTAATATTCCTTTGAGATCGCACACGCAGGGGGATCGTAAAGCGTCGCTTCCGGACATAGTAAAGCGAGTTTTCGCGCGTGGGCGACGGCGTGCTTTGAAGTGCAACGGCGGAACTGCATAACCGTTGCAGCTGCGCGCTCGTCCCTGTATCTTCGCGCGCGTTGCTTCCCTTTCTCTTTTCCTTTTTTTATGGCAAACGATTGCGCCGCGCAAGATTCCTCGTTGGACGTCGACGGGGTGCCGGGCCGCTGTTTCCGGCATGCGATTGTCGATCTCCGCGCGATTTCAAGAGAAATTCCCCTCCGTACCCTCGCAATTGCAACATGTGCATCGCGCTCGACTTTTCAAAGATAAGCGAGAACTCGTTGCGTTATCATTTAGCTCACTTTCATCTATATATAAAAGAATTGACAGTGTGTATTATTAATTAATTAATTGTGTTAATATTATTAATTAATTTGTATTATCAATAGCATAAGAATTATATAAAGATTCATATCGCGTTGCGTAATTTGGAGAAATATAAGAGTATTTTATTGATGAACATGATTCGATTGCAATATTTAATAAAATTTTTAAGGAAAGAGATAAAATAAAATGATAAAATATAAATTTTATATAAAGATATGAATATATGAATATATTATACACGTAGCGATAGAAATAAAGATGTTTCCAATAATTAATTCGAACATATCATGAGAAATTGGAATCAGTTCGAATATTATTTGAATTTAGTCTTAAAAGTTTTTGGCCTCGAAGATCTTAAGTATCTTGAAAAGACTTGAATGTACTTAAATGAACTTTAGAGAGAGAAATAAAAAGTAAAAGTATTATGTATTACAATAAAAAAGTATTGGAATATATTATAAATAAATATATATCAAATTTTATTTAAACAGTGACTATTTATAAATTACGCGGAATCATTTTTATCGATACTTATGATAGATCATTCAAGACTTTCCAGACTAATCGAAACAGAGTAGTTTTAATAAAAATTTATAAGAGATATAATTAAAAATATCCACTAGTTACATGTAAAATATCACTAGTTATATGTAATAAAAATTTACAATTAATAATTTTGAATAATTGAATTTAAAAAATAAAGAATATTACACATATTGTGTCAATCTATGCGCATAATATTCATCTTTTAAATTTTTATAAATTAATTTTAATAATTAATTTTTATACCTTTTACATGTATATGCTTCACTTTAAAATTTGAGAAAATAGATAACTATTATATTTATGTAAATATAACTAGCAAGTTTGTTCTTTTCATGACAAAGGAGGATTATTAAAAAGAGCAGACATAATATATTGGTTTTATATGTAATTTATCGGTCGAGCATTGCAAACATTTTTGCACAGGTAATTATTATGGATGCAGGTAGTTATTATGGAACATACTAACCGGCACGAATAATAGAATATATTTAGAAAGAAAGATTGATACTATGTGAATATTTTTAAAACTGAATAATATAATATAACAATAATATAAATCTGTATATCTTAGATTAAAGAAGAGGAATAAATTTTACTCTGTGACAAATTCTTTGGATTTTTCGAAATAATCTAAAGTTGATCTTTTCTTCGTAAAAATGAGTTGAAAAATTAATTTTTGAAAATTATTAATTGATGAAAATAAAGGGATTTCTGCAAACTAATTTTTAAGATTAGAAAGAGACAAAACGATTTGATTACAAATATCATATATATAATATAAAAATTTATAAATCTACCATTTGCCTCTTTTATATAAATGATTCTTATGTATATGAAAAATCGATTGCATGATTAATCCGCAAGAATCTGTCATAAAGATTTAACTCGTTTATTCTAAAAAATTTGAAAAAGACTGAAAAAAAATTAAACCAAGATTAATATCAATACAACTATACTTAATACATATTCGCAATTTCATAAAATTATCATTTAATGAAACCGAACTCGGAATGTATTTTTATGAAAATTCCGAGTAGTAAAAAATTAAAGCAAAATACACGAGTATATTTCACTTGAAAACGACAACAACAAAGTGTTATTTCTGGTTCATCACTGCTTCCATTCTTTCTTGTTAAAAGGTGTTGTAAAGTTCTTTTATCATCATAGGAAAAGAACATTTTAATGTGAAAATGTGTGTGTCATGTAAGTAAACTTTGATAAATCGTTAAAAATCATATAAAAGTATAAAATCCTGTTCGACACATACATTCTAAAATATTGTGATTGCAAGATCGCAATGGCAGCGTAGATTCAAGTGAATTGTGAAAATCTGAGATAAATGAGATGTGATTTGGGATGCCGGTTATTCTGTTTAAAGACATTTCAACCGAGCCAAGAGTATCACGACATTACACGGAGCAGCTCGAGCCGACTTAACAACCTCTATACATATATAGGCAGATCCTCAATTTGATCAAATCCAATCGCGATCAAATATTCCAGCTGGATAGAGATCTGAATATCCGGATTTGTCCATATCCGGGATCTGTCTCGACAACATCTATATTTTACTCTGAAATATAATCTACGTCATTATACACATAGATACGAAACAATATATAACAGTGATAAAAAAAAAAGCAATTATTATTTTCTCATGGATTTTGTTTCACTTACACTTTCATTTTCTGCACTACAAAGTAATGAGTTTTTTCTGAACTATAGAAATGATCTAAAATTAAATTGTAATTTAATAGCTCGAACAACAAAAATACAAATTGTCAAATTAAAACTCATTAAACTGATCTGAATTTTATTATAGTGCTAATTCTTTTATATTTGAAGAATGACGCTTGTATAAATACTATTAATTAATATTTTTTTCTTCTAATTAAAAGACTATGTTTCTTGGCGAATGTCGTTTTTTTTATTTGTATAAATAATAAATAAAAAGAAAAAAATATGTATGTGTGTATGTTAAAGAATAAGGAATTAAAGATAATTTACGAAAATTTATCTTTAGCCAAAATTAATATATTTAAAAAAATTAATTAAAAAGATTTCTTATATAATCGGTTATTTCTTCAACTTTCTCGACTCTTCTCGATTATGTTGAATTAATATCGAGTGTAAAATATATTGATAGCAATATAACATATTCATAAATAAATGGTAAGTTATTGCATCATTTCCAATAACGCGAAGGAGTATCATATATTATAATATATTTAATGCAAAAAAGTATGGAAAGTGTAAGCAAAACCTGATAAAATCTAATTATAAATATAATCGCTTTTATATCGCCTATTATGTTTCTTATAAATCATTCAATAGTTTTAACATTCTTCGAATCAACTATTTTTTGCGAGGTATTATTTTCTTACAGTGAATAAAAAGCTTTATTTTTGATGCAGCATGTGTATAATATAATCATTGGATATGTAAAAAATCCATAATGTAACTATTTAATATGATTACAAACAAAAAATGATTTAAAATAATAAATTTTTCGTTTCAACGAAATAAATTTTTCAGAATATCACCTATATTTTAAATGTGAAAATTTCCGTGCGAATCGAAGTAGTGCGATTATCGACCTTAGAATCGTCAGATGTCAAATGGTCGATATATACATATGAATAATAAGAAACATCTCTCTAGTCAAAATATATACAATCCTAGTTTGAATCACGTAATGTTGCTCGGGACATTTTAGTTTAAGTAACTTGAATACCATCGAGCGACTTTTCCGTTTTACGCTCTTTAATTGCTTATCGAGATACAATGTTGAACGAATTAGTTTGTTCATAATGTAACTGATACATGAACGATAAATCTCTTTTTTATAGAAATCGGGCGAATAATGACGAGTAATACGATTATTGGAACGTGTATAGTGCGTAATAAGCCCCGGAAAGTACAATTTCTCTCACGTAAGTAACGTATCATCTAATTCTTCTATTTTGCCTTCTGGTTGAGAAAGGACTTTACGCAACACTTTGCTGACCACATCAGATAGAGACTCCTTTGCGCCAATATCCAAGAAAGCCATGCAACGCTAGAAGATGAAAACAAAATTGTTACCATTAGATTTTTATGTGGAAAGAAAAATAAAATTATGTGAAAAAGAAAGAGATATAATCATTTTGCACAAAAATTGAATATAAGTTTAAAAATAATTATAGGCAGTAATTGAGAACTAACCTGATGTTCATCTTCACCTTGCCTTAATCGAAGCACCGCAATAAGCGCGAGCTCACTGTTCGCTTTGACATATCCATTCTTTTCCTTCGTTCCATTTACCAGCATCGGTAGAAGCGCTCTGAGCAGTTCGGTCGACATATTTTCAGATGGGATGTTGCGTGCAAGATGTATGCAAACTCGAGCAAGTAGTTGCTTCACATCATTACTATTATTATTCATGGACTAAAATTTAATTTATTAGATGTTAAAAATATTTACATTACACGTTAATATTATAAAATATTATCATATTTCATTCAACACATATATTTCATGTTGCATTTTTTTCTATCATCAGCAATCGATTCGTCGATTTTCGGATAAAGATACACGATAAATATATTCTTGTAAATAAACTTACTCTCACGAAAGGCGACAAAATTTGCTGGGGTATAGGTAGCGATTCATTCATGAGATACTGAAATAGATATCCGCACGCTCGTACGCCGTTCATGACTATTTGCACTCTGTCCGCAGCCAAATATGAAAGTATCACTGCACAAACGCGATCCTTGTCTTTAGGATTATACACTGTAACGGATGATTCCTTCAGCACTACAAAAAGAGCGGCCGAACGTCCATGTCTGAGCATCCAGTCGACATTAACATCGTTACCTAATCAAATATCATAAATACATTGTTATTTCTTGAAAATGTACATTTAAATTACACACATTCTTTACGCGCTTACATAAGAGATGGTCGTTCAATGCAATTGCTAATTGTTCTGGATTTAACCATCGTAAAAGTGCGCCAAAACAACCAGCGACTGCGTTTCTTGTAACATCTTCTGGATGACTAAGCATGCTGCTGAGTGTTGCGAATACTTGTTTTTTCATAGGGTCAGTCATTTTGTCACCAGCAGGAGTCAATACGCCTCTGAGAGCTTGCAACATCGTTTCCCTGCATGATAATTAAATTCTTATAAAATATTCAAAAACATGAAAAAAAAGAATATATTTGTAGGTTTATCCATCAAAATTACCTTATAGCTGGATCATCTCCTGTCTTAATACCAGTGTGAAGTTCAGTAAATAAAGGATCGACACGTGTATGAATAACAATCAGGTTGCTAAGAGCATAAGCAGCTTTTAATCTAACTTGTCGATTACTATCATTCAAGGCTCTCAAGAAAGTAGTTTGCAGTTGTGGCAAAAATTGTTTTAACATGACGCCAACCTGTTGAAAGAGATAAACAAGATATATTAATTATTTTCGAAACAATTATTATTATAACGTCATTTTGTGACTTGGAACATGCTGAGGTTAATATTTAAATAATTATTTTCAACTCACATAATATAAATTGTGAATTCTTATTTTAACAAAAATTATTTGTTAATTTTGTACAAACCTTTCCAAGTAATATCGCAAGTGTTTCCAATACAGCTGCTTTAACGCTCCAGTTGAAACGATCACCGAGGATTCGAATAAGAGGACCGGTAATGTGTACAACGCTTGGCTGCAATGCATCCGCGCTGGACAACCTTATGACTTCTCCCAATCCTTGAGCCGCGTGTTCTTTCGCTTCTGGCAAACCATTCAATATAGCCTCTCTAAAGATTGGTAATATTGGCGTGATTCCCTTAGGAAGACAAAATCCGGGTAACAATTCTTGACCTTTTAAATCAGACACTGCGAATCGAACGGCTTGCCTGATATCCTGTACGTGTGCTATTTGCTGCTCAGATGACAGAGTCTACCAGAAATTAAAGAAATTTAGTTAGTAATTCTGTTCAAATTATTGTGCATTATTTCCATCTGAATACATTTATACCTTTGTAACAGCCGTGAGCGCCTCCCAACTCATCTGTAATACATCTCTGTCTTCATCGGTGAACAAATGGATCAAACCTCTGAGTAATTGCGGCACATATTGGCTGTAATCAGCGCGAGTATCGCGACAAAACGCGCATAGTAACGTTGCGGCGCTTCGTCGTTTCGAGAGATCTTCTGCTCTTGTAGCTTCCATCAGCTGATCCATGACGGTTCTAACGCCTACCTCGTCGGTAACGGAAAGAACGACAGCTTGACAATATTCTAATTCCTGCAACTCATTCGCCGTTCCTTGCGCACTAGAAAGAGCAGTAAGCAGCGCTGGCAAGATCCTGTGAAGGAATCTCGTCAGTGCTTCGCCTGCTACACTGGCTAGTATTGACAGTGCTTTCGTGTTAACTGGAGGAGAGGCTAATTGTGGGACTAGATATGGTAATACTACACGCGATTTAATCGCCATCACTTGACGTAAACCGTCCAACGTATTCTCCGCTTCCGCAGGATCAGGGGAGTTCAGTTGAGTTAACATCGCCGGTAATATATCGTCGAGCGCGCGAACGCCCACCGTGGAATGCAAACCATCGAAAGTCTTGGCCGCAGCCTGTCGAACCTCTGGCAACGGATCACAAAGCGCTTTTCTGAAAAAAATTGCTTCATCTAAACATTTGTACTATAATCATTATCGTTCTATTAGTTATCTCATCTCAAATGTTCTTGTAGTTATAGAACTGTTATCACACTCACCTAACTGTTGGGACAAGACTAATAACGAAGGTCAGCACCATGTCTTTGTTGGTGCTCGCCATAATTTCCGACAGACCTATGCACACTCCCTGGCGTTGATCGGCTTGATCACTTTGCAAACCTTTCTCCAAGATCGGTATGATTTCCGGCAGCACTCGTTCTCCCAATTTTCGCACGAGATCACCCAACGTTCGTGCTGCCACTTGTCTCTTGTCATAACTCGTACTTGCCAAACAACCCAATAGAAGAGTGAATAAGGTCGGTAATATCTCTCGCAGTGTCCTCGGTGTATTCGTTACCACTACCTTCCAAACGTGAAGAGCCGCCTGGCGTACCATCAAAGCTACGTCCGATCGACCCATGTAGAGACCGGCTAACACGCGATTTCGTCTCTCTGCGCCTAAAGCGTTTATAATAGCGTAGTGCGATTGTTCTGTACCGAAATTATCGTCTTCGCTGGCGGTTTCGGTCGACATCTTGCCCGATACGCCAGAAATCCTGTACAATAAATCGCCCAATAGTTGCACGGACGAGTATCGAATACGCCAGTTGTCGTCGAAAAGGCCCTTCTCCAATTCCGGTAATAGCAACATTATTGCCGAGTCAGCATAAAGCGTAACGATACGTTGCCCTGCTCTAAGCGCGGTTTCCCGCACGTATTCATTCTCGTCGGCCAAAGCTTTCAGAATCGGATTAATGATCTGCCCTATGTATGGTGTGAATTCCGTAGTAAATGCACTCGGCATGTATATAAACATCATAATGTATCCATCTTTCACGTGAGGAGCAATGTCGGTTCTCTCAGCGGTGCTGATGATCTCAGGCATGAGCTTGTGGAGTTTCTCGACGCCCAATCCGCGTACCACTTCGGAGAGACCTTGTGCGGCGCCGGATCGGTCGACGCTACTGGTTTCAGAAGTTAACGTTTGCATCAGCCATGGTAATAGATCCTCGAAACTAGATTCACCCATTCCGCGTACCATCGCGCCCAGTGCTCTCGCCGATACGCTGCGCACTTCAGGCACGGGATCGAGAAGACTCGTTTTTAGACCCGGTATAATAGTCGGCAGATACGGGGTTAGATCCTTTTGATCCGTTAAGGAGTACATGTTGCCGATGATCTGCGCGGCCATTTTTCTAGTCTCTGTCGAACGATCGAGGAACGCACGCTGCACGACAGGCATAATTAAGGCTAGAGAGGGAGCGTCGATAAAATGTACGAATTGTGTATCTAGCAAGGTTTGTAGGCAAGTAGCGGTCTTGTGCGAGGGATCTTGCAATGCTTTCAACAATACTGGCACAATCGCTTGAATTTCCGGATTCCGAATGACACTTCCGATGACTTTGAGCGCCTCCGCACCAGCTTCCTGCACTTTTGTATGGGAATCACTGAGTACTTCTATCAACTTAGGAACAATACTTGGCAAACAGCTGCTCAACTGTTTTGGTGCACAATATGCCATAGCGCCAAGTAATTCGACAGATCCTATAAAAATGAATTTTAAATATTAAGCTTAATATGTTTTATTTTACTATCGAGATGAATAGTAATAATATAATCATGTATTAAAGCAACTTTGAATTTTAAATTTAATTAAACCAAATAACAGTCACTAGCCTCATATATCAAAAATAATACATGGAAAGTCAATAAAATTTAATTAGCGAGATTAAAATCAGTAGACAAATTATTTGCCAAAAAAATTAATGCAATTTATACCTGTTTTCGTTCTCCACGAATCTTCTTCCAGAGCCGCTAACAAACTCGGTAGGACAAGCTTAACGCCATGAGCGGAAAGTTTACTCATCACTACCCTGGCAGTATCGTCAGTGGCAGTTCTTACATATTGACTCGAATCGCCAAAGCACAGCAGCAAGTGTGGCAGAACGTGCACGATATAAGGCTCGAATAATCTGCCAAGCATTGTACACAACATCTCGAAAGCAAACAGCGCTCCCTCGCGATGTCGATAGTTCTTCTTGTCTTGAATAGCGTTGGTCAGTTTGCTCATAATATCCAATTGCTTCAATGCAAGAATTCCCATCCCTTTGATGAGACCTGCCAGTCCGTATGCTGCACCCTTACGTTCACCGTATTTGTCTGATTTAAGCAGCTGATCCATCAGATTGTCCACGATTTTCGGCGCATCTTCTTTAATGGAGTCCGTCAGATGTGGCAAACAATTGGCCACGGCCTCTTGTACCTGTTGCGAAGGCGTAGAGAGTGCCGCGATGAGACGCATGACAATCGGCTTAATTCGCGGATCGTTCTTGTCTAAGTGTCTTGCGAGTGATCCCATGAGAATTACTACCGATTGCTTGATCGAGTCAAAGCTACCGATTTTCGGTGCTTTATCCATGAAATTCTCAAAGACCGGAAGCAGTGAAGTTATGTTCGCGCTGCCGTGAAGATCAACCGCCGCGACGGCAGCTGTCAGCATCTCGGTGCGTACGAATTGGTTTCTATCACCGAGTCCGGTTAATACGAAAAACTGGATGAGCCGGTGTACTGTATCGGCGGTGAGAAGGGGCGCTATCTGAGCTAGGGCGAGCGCTACCCCGCGCCGTGGACCCCACGTATCGATCGGCTGTTCGACGACACGACCAAAGTCATTCAATTTCGGTGGAATCATGGCCAACTTTTCCTGATACAATTGTAACAAATTGTCCAACACGGACGGTGTTAAATGGGGTACGCTGGCCAAGCTTTCCGCTAACGCGTGAGCGGCCGCTTGTTGCACTGGCTCGACCGGATGGGCGATATCTTGGATCAGTTCCTCGCAAAGGACTTCCGCATGCGCGGTAAAGTCGGCCGCATTCCACAGTTCGCTGGCAAGAATTTTATTTTCGTCATTTACGTCAAATCGAGCTATCCATACTCTTCTGGTTAGCCTGTCAAGTTGATCTCGATCCTCTTTTTGGGATGGGAAAGCTTGTCGTATTACGGTCAATCCTCTAAGAGCCGCATCTCTCACAGTAGATAGCGAATTTTGCAACGCACCAATCAAAGAATCTATATCTTCACTGGTAGCGATTGCTGTACCTGGTTGACCACTACCGGATTGCGCGACGTCTAGCAAGGTCGCCACCGCATGTGACTGCACTCGACCTGTCGTGGTCTCCATAAGTTCGATAAGCAGATCGAACATCTGTTTACGTGGCAAAAGTCTAGGATGCCTAATGTCCTTCAAATCAGTAGTGCTGCCGCCTCTCTGCTTGGCATGTTCCTGAATCAACTGCAATCCTTGCACAATCATGCCGTCATCCTTATACGATAGCAAAGTCTTTCTTATAAAGGGGAAAACATAACAAAATGCAGGCGCCGTGAATAATTCCTTCCTTTTAATCGTTATCGTGTGTATAAGATTCAATGTTCTTTTGACAGCCGTATCAAGATTCTCTTCTTCCCAGGCTTGATCTAAATCGCACTGTGGTTGCAATTGCCGCAATGTAACATGAGCGATAAGATCACCTAAAATTATGCTATTATCCATTGTCACTGTTTGACGAAGAGATATATATAGCTCTGACATTTCAGGAGCTGCCAACGGAGAACCCAAGTTTTTTAAAATGGGCGGTAAAAGATCCTTCAAATACAAGGACAATTCCTGCTGATTACCGCGTATCGAGCATGTTACTAAAGATACGGTATTATCTATCTTGGCTTTCAATTCAGTTAATCTTTTACGAATACCATTTTCTTTTGCAATCTGCGCCTTCAAAGTCTCTTCTTGTTTAGGTGTTAATTTTGGTTCCTTTATCTTGCCTTCACGTTTTCGTTTCTCGTATAATTCGCGTCTCAGTTGAAGTTCTTCTTGTTGTTCCTTAAATGAGTAAACTTTACTTTCTCGTTTCATATTCATGGAATTGAGAATATCGTTCTCGTCATTGACGGGTAACACGCTCTTATCATAAAGCTCTCCTTCAGGAGTGAGATACGTAAAATATTCATCTTTGGTAACTCTTAAAATTTCTGAATCATCGAGCTTACTTGTAACATTCGATACTAATGCAGGTAAAAAGGCGTCTGGTGCGAGTGATACGATTCTTACAAGTGCATTTTCGTAATTTGGTGCCGGTTTATAATTCTGAATCAACATTTTTCTCACTTCATTGCTGTAGCTACGTAAGAAGTCCTTTGGTACAAGATTATAATTCTTAGCGATCTTGAACCATAAATTTGGTACGGCTTTGAGTAATGCCGGATGATGAGATGGAAGTAAAGCATCTCTTGTCATTTGATAAGTAGGTACTTCGAATAAAAAAGAACCCGAACATATAGCGAATAATCCATCTGCGAGACATCTGCCAGTAATTTCTCCCATTGAAGATTCGTCTTTGCTTTCTTTATCCGATTCTGATTTAATTTTAACGTTTTCCAAAAATTTATTAAATTCTGTTAGTAGAGCCTGTGCAGGCGCATACGTACTCAAACCAGTCATAATCTTCTTGACTAACGGGAAACATCGTTGTCGCGTCGTGGAATTTGAGGCGGTAGCGCAAGATACAACTGCTCGATGAATTCCGGTTAGAGCTTTTTCATTCAGTCTGTCGAAGAATTCGGTAATCAATCGTTCGCATAGTAACATAAGATGATATAAGACATCATCGCCACATGTCGACAGAAATTTTTCCGAAAAAAATATTTGTTCGTCGATCGCGTTCCATAATACATTTTGTTTATCATTTTCTATTTGATCGGCTAATACAAATTTCAATAAGATATATGAAGCGACCAAACCTTCGGTTACTGCTGCTGGTTGTGTGCATTGTTGCATAGTTCGTGTTATCGCTTGCGCGAGTATCGGCGCTATTATTGTAGAGTAAGCAGCAGTTGGAGTCGAGAAAAATAATTTGATATAAGCGGTACGCACAGCGGCGGTGGATGTTTTCGCCGCCATACCTTTCTTGAAAGCATCTACTACGATTTTCGGTAGAGTAGACGAAAATTTCTTCGACCATAATGCCATCATTTCGAGAGCCTGAATCAGTGTCTTCTCGTGAACTTCAGTCTCGAGCACTTTGACGAAATGCTCGCACGCTGTTTCGGCTAATTTCTGCACACTACTGCCTGAAGCTACGTTATAGCTAAGATTCCCAGCTCCTTGCAACACGGAAATCTTATGAGTCGCGACCGTAAGCTTGCCTTCTGATCCGTGAAACACTGCAAATACGGACGATAGCAGTGTCTCCAGAGCCGTCGTATCGGAACATTGTAAAGCAAGTTTGCGACATGCCCCAACTGCTTCATCTCTCACCAGATCCTCCTTAGAATGTAAATTAGCAAATAATCCTTTACTTATCTCTTGGCTATATTGGCTCAAATCAAGACTTAGTCCGCTTAAAATATGACCGACTGATTCAATTATAATTTCCGGATTTCTCAACATAGCTTTTTGTAATGCAGGAAGTAATTGGGTTTTGAATTCTTCGTGAGTTACTCTCCGAAGAAGTGGCACAGCTACATCCACCACATATAAATCTGGCTTCTTCTTACAACTAATTGTCACTTTTATAAAAATGTCTATCATGTTTACCTGAAATATACAAAAATATAATATAATACAATATACATTATAATTATAAATGTAATTATAATATTCTAAATAATATATTATTCATGTATTTACCTTCAATTGTTCTACCAAATCATGTCTTTTTGCGGCAACTAAATATTTCATAAGTAAGCTGGCTAAGATAATTACACCATTACCAAGTTCCAATTTTGTTAAATTTTCCATATAAATAACTTCTATATTCTTAATGGCTGCCCATTCATGTGCAAATAATGTGTATACCTTATTTGCAAGCTTTTTATTTACAGATGCCAAAGCAGCAGAAGATAAATTTGCCTGTGCTTCAATGAGTTTTGCCAAAAACTCATTTTTCTCGACATTATCCAATTCATTATATCCATGAAGAATAACTAAGTTTGACCATTTCAATGCAGTATATGCAGTTAGAGAAGTATTCAAACTATAAAAAATATAGAAAAATATCATTACACATCAACATATATAAGAATCAATTAATTTTTTATTTTAGACTTACGTTGCAACTACATTCTTATGCCAAGTAGCTTGCTCTGAAATTACAGTTGTCATATGTTTGATAGTAGCTTCTGGTTGTTTTTTAAGAAGCTCTATAATTAGATTTCTCACATAGGACCGAGAAGCACTGTCTTTATATCTATGTAAGGTAAGCGATACCACCTTACATATTCCATTAACAATTTTATCATTAATGCCTATAAACAAGTTCATAAATCATATACACATTATTATCTCAATTTGAGACGTATTATAATAAATATTATTTTGAATCACTAAGATAAGCTTATTTTTAAATAAAATTATTTTGCAATAGTCTTTCGATCAAATCATATATACAAAATATATTAGTGGATGAAACTCATTTCAAAATTTTTCAGTATTAAGGATAAAAAGAACCAATTAAAAAAATTTATATTAATATATGAGTTATTTTTATGATTCTCATAATTATTATTATGATATTCAAAATTTATACATCAATAATAATCACATGATTTTATATGTCATATGTAATTTATTGATTACTTCTTGAATATTATTATATTATATATAAATAAGAATTATTTAATTGGCCCTACACATCTTACTAAGAAATTCTTATTTAATTTTTTAAAATAATGATAGCTAAATAATATGATAATATAAAATTTGATATTAAAATATTAATATTATTAAATTATATGAGTCAATTAATCAATTACATGTTATAGTGTTTGATATATTTGATTAATATATATGATTTTTGTAAAAATATATTCAACATTTTCAATTATATCCAATATAAAAACTAGAAAGTTATCATTCATATATCTATTTCAACAATAATCAATATATATGCACTGATAATTTTTTTACATTTGGCTAGGTTTTTCTAATTAGAATACATTGGAATCACAAGTATATGTATACACACACACATACATATATGTATATGTGTATATAAAACAATTACAAGACAATATTGTAAATTACTCTACTTTATATTTCCATATAAACAAGTATATACTACAAATTTGTCTCGAAAGCACACATAAATTATACCGTGCAATAACAATTATCCGCGATCTTTTTTCGTATTTTCGTATCATCTTCAAAATGTAGATGAAAATCACTTATCTCTCTCTTATCAAAAAGTAATACGTTTCCCTAACGATTCTTACCGGGATTTGATAATACGTTGACGACATTTTGCAGAATTTCACGCCGCTCTTTTTTGCTGGCGGTCTGAACTCGATTCGGTAAATCCTTCAAAGCTTTTGCTAGCTGCAACAAATTACACGCAAATTATAATGACGTAGCAACAAAGATAATATAATATATTTTCTCGTGTTCCACGTGACTCGCTCACCTCAACATCCGCCATATTTCTTCAAAAACCGGACTGATTCTAAAGCGCCGCTCTTCGCGAGAGCATGTAGTTTGCACGAATATGATGAGAATCGAAACGCATGCGGCTTCGCGTCACTTGTCACGTCCAAAAGAAGTTTCGAATGCGCATAAATCTAAAAATAATCAAATACCTTTATATCCCATTTTTATTCCCTATTACTATATATTGTCTATCAAATACTCATTTCTGTGCAAATTGCTATAATATAATAATAAAAATAAAATATGAAAATATATACAGGAGAAAGTATATCAATGAAGTATATATATTTTAATTTAGTTAAAGATTGTATTAGATAATTTTATTTTTTATTAAAAAAAAAACTTATATCGGGCAACTCAGTACATATTTATTTCGCGCATGCACTCTTCATTTTATAGCAACAGAAAATCGAGTGATGTTGCGTTACTTCACATCACTGTATATGCTGTGGTTATCATGCGGATGTGGTTGGTTTGTTTCTGACGTGTTGTGTCAATTAACCTGAAATAGATTTGTGAACAGGAAAAGAAAATAGCGTTACTGTCTTATAGTAGACGAGAATCTAATTAGGAAGTATATGATGATACTGTTGAGAAAAATGAAATATTTTTAACAATTTGAAAGAGAAAGACAAAAACAAAATAATGGATAAAGTTTTTAAATCAATTTATGCAAGCCGACCGGCGTTGTATAAAACTCTAACGAATGAGCAGTGCGTAGTAATTTACACTTCATTATATAAACATTTATATTTTGTTCTACTCTATATGTCTTTCTGCTGAATTTTATTTTCATTTTTTTCAGAGTATCGAATAAACTATCTATAAAACGATGTGTACCTACAGTCAATAGAATGTTAGCAACACAAGAATATTTCACGTAAGACTTGTCATTTTGTTGCCTTTTTTGTATATACATTAAATTTAATACATACTACAATCACATGCATATTCTTTTGGATAAAACAATATGTTTATAAGTACATAAACTTTTTAGGACTTTTTCTGCTGGTTCCAGGCACTGGTACGGTGACAGTGAAACAATTTCTATACTATCTTCTAAACATAGTCCTTCTAGCCAACAAAGACGTAACATGTTTATTCAGACACAAGATACACCAAATCCAAATAGTTTAAAATTTATCCCAGGAGTACCAGTATTAGGAGAAGGCTGTACAAAAGATTTTCCAAGTGCAAAAGATGCATATTGCTCGTCACTTGCTAAAATGTTATTTCGTATTGAGGGAGTGAAAGCAATATTTTTTGGGCCTGATTTTATCACAGTTACAAAACTTGATGAGGATGTAGAATGGAAATTATTGAAGCCAGAGATATTTGCAACTATAATGGATTTCTTTGCGAGTGGATTACCAATCATGAATGAGACTTCTCAACCTGCTACAGACACACGTAGAATTAATATAATTTGACTTTTATATAAAAGTATTCGAGAAAGAATAAAATATCTAATTATTATTAATTTTTATAGAAATTAATGCAGATGACGACGAAATTGTTCAAATGATAAAGGAATTGTTAGAAACACGAATACGGCCTACAGTGCAAGAAGATGGTGGTGACATTGTATTTATGGCAAGTATTCTGTTCAAATTTATAACAAAAAAAAATTTAAATACACACTTGCATCTTAATTCATTTAAACATCTTCTTTCTTATTCAAATAGGGATTTGAGGAAGGTATTGTAAAGTTAAAGATGCAAGGATCTTGTACAAATTGTCCAAGTTCAGCAGTAACATTAAGAAATGGTGTTCAAAATATGATGAGATTTTATATACCCGAAGTACTTGGAGTTGTACAAGTAGAAGACGAAACAGACAAGATAGCAGAAAAAGAATTCAAAAAATTTGAGCAAAAAATAGAAGAAAAGAATCGAGATATATAAAATAGATATAATCATAGTTGTTGGCGATCTATAGACGACGATGCATCTATACCTTATCATTATGTAAATTTATATATATTCTAGATGTTCACATTGTATGTTGGAGTTAAAATATATAAAGTGTTATAAATCATATGTTGATATTTGGTTTTAAACTTTTATTACAAAGTATTTATCTGCTAGTCACAGAAACTTGCCAGACACGAATAGTATTGTCGGAATACCCTGCAAATAGTGTCTGACCATCAGTGGACCATGCAAGAGATAAGCACAGAGGAGGCTCTGCTTTACTAGTCGCCGATACAACCTCAGGTTTTAATTCCTCGACCATTTCTTTAGTCTCAAGATCCCAGATCTTGATCCATGGTCCAAATGCAGCGCACAGCCAATAACGATTCGGACTGAAACACAATGCTGTGATAATATCATTGTGATCCAAAGTATGGAGATGCTTGCCGTCATTCAAGTCCCATAGCATGGCTTTGCAATCCTATAAATAGAATAACATAAGTTTTTCGGCATATTTCATGGCAAAATATAAATTAAAAATATATATATATACTTTGCCACCAGATGCGCAGAGTGATCCATCAGGTGATACCGTAACAGTATTCAGATATCCTGTATGACCGCTATGATTGATCTTTAGTCTGCAATTTGTCAAATTCCACACCTGTAAATAAATTGTTAAATTAGTAACAAATATATTGTATAATCATAGAAAGATATATGAGATATATATACATATATCAGTCCCATATCCGTATACACTCATAGTAACATCGTGCATATTATAAAAATATCCATCATTTTTATTAAAAAAAAAATTTTTCCTATATTCAATCTTCTAAATAAAAGCTTTATTCTTACTTTAACAATACGGTCCCAGCCTGCCGAAACAATGATAGGGTTTGCATGATTAGGAGAGAAGCGTACACAGCTGACCCAGTCTGTATGTCCATCATCTTGAATGGTATATTTACATTCGGCTAATGTATTCCACAATTTAATTGTTTTGTCTCGTGAACCAGAGACTATTTGACGATTGTCCACAGAGAAAGCAACACTCAACACATCCTATCGATAGAAACAAACTCAAAATAATTAATAAACTATTATTAAATTAGTTTTATCATATCAATATCAATACTTACGATACCACTGATTTAATCAGTGCTTATTTCTTCTACTTTCAATATAAAAAAAAATATATAAAAAAAATGCTTCAGTATATTTTATATTTTCCGTTGAATTACTCTCTCTCATAAGGATAAATGAAAAAAAATTCTTTATATTAAAACAATACTTTGTAATATAAAGGATTATTCTTTTCTTTTCTCCTTATTACGAAATAAGTAAATCCATATGAATGCGTCGCGGAAGAGCGAGGAATCACACCTTGGTATGGTCTTCAAATCTTCTGGTCGTACGACCTACTGCCAGATCCCAAAGACGCAAGGTTTTATCCCACGAACCGGATAATGCGTAGTTACCATCAGATGAAAGAACCACATCACTTATGAAATGCGAATGACCGTAAAGACGTTTCTGTGGTATACCATAGTTAGCTTCGTCGCGTGTCAATTTCCATACTATCAAGGTCTTGTCTAGAATGGGAAAAAAATAATAGCAAGTTAATATCTTTATTTTCATTTTCAAGAATAGAATTTTTAAACAATGCAAACAGATGGAATATTATAAATAAGTTGTATTGTGCATCTGTATTTAGCATTAATTAAAATTACGATATGAATGCGACAATTAAATTGTATTAGCAATTACAATAGCAGGAAGAAGAGCCATGAAAAAAAAAGAAGGGTGGCGTCCGAGCCCGAGAATGATTTCCGAGCGGCATTACTTACCACGTGAAGAAGACAGAATCATGTCCGGATATTTCGGATTCGTGGCGATTTGCGTGACCCAGCCATTGTGGCCGCGAAGCGTGCCCCTTAATTGCAGAGTTTCCGTCATTTTGACTTGTTCTCGAACACGTTATATTGCGGATGAAAACGGATTCTTTCGTGTCAACCGCGTTCAGTGAAACATTGAACGAAAAAGAGCGAACGGCACGTCGCTATCGTCGGCCAACGTAGGTCAATGTTCACGGATACATCAGCATATATTGATGTGCCACTTGCTGTGAAAATGACGCGCTGTCTTTCTTTCACCTTTAGGGTAGGTTTTCATTTTCACACTCATGCCCAGTTCCACAATCCAGTTAATCCGAGTTTAAGTAGTGAATGGACCAATCAGTGGACCCAGTATTAAACTCGGATTAACTCGAGTTGTGGAACCGTGCCTCAATGCTCATTTTTCAGTGACAAGAAACATCACGTAACTAAAAAGTCTCTATTTGGGGCGTGTTCCAAAATTCACTGCCAGCGCTGAAAATCTATAGTTCACGTTACGTATATTATATATTTTCAGCGCTGGCAGTGAATTTTGGAACATAGGCTTGAAAATCTACTTTTAAGCTCGTATCACAACGTCGTATCACGCTACGCATTAAAAATTGAAAATTGAAATTTGACTAAGCAAAAAAAGAAGTTAAAATTTCTTTCCTCTAGCTAATCAAATTTCAATTTTCAATTTTGCATGCACTATTTTATATCTATGTATATTTTATATTTATAGGATTTTATATCTATAATGAATTTTTGTTAGCTTAATATTTATACATCTGTATAATCTATTTAATATTATTAATTTTTTCAATATTATTAATTTTTTCAATTTATTATATATACTGATCGTTATATATAAAATAACGTCAAATAGAGCGGATTTAGGATGGAGTATGGTGTTCACAATTCCGAGTTTCAATTCGTCATGTCCGATACTAGGTCCAGATTGTCCAGTTATGTGTATAGGGATCAGATGATTATTCATTTAATATTTTTTCCTAAAAAAAGAAAAAAAGGAAAATTACGAACATGGAAATTATAGTTGAAAGAAAAAAATATATATATATTTCATTGATTCAGATTAATTAGTATGCATTGTCAGATTCAACTGATCGGATAAAATATTTTGTACGATGTGTGTGTATAAGATGGTGTGTAGATAGTTGATTTGCGTGGTGTGAACGCTATCATTGAGTAGTACGCCAGTTTACATTTACGTTTATGGTATATGTAATATACGTCAATGATCCATCTCATCAACTCGATAGACGTCAGAATAATCGGTGACAAATCGAAGCGAAAGTCCAAAGATTCCTCGCAGTGAGCAGCGCGTCATTGTCGGGTCACGAATAAATGATTCAGTAATCATTCGCGTTAGGTATGATTTCACTCAATAGAGTATATTAATGTGGACGAACTCATCTGACGTTGACAATTTGAATGTCTTGACATTTTGGGCGTGATGGGTACAAGGAGATTTGCATATGTGTTACTTCCTCGTGGTAATTTTCGGATCGTGATATGATTAAAGAGAGAAAAAGATCTCCCATTTCTTTTTAATATATACGTATATACATTTGAAAGGTATATAAAAATAATTATTAAATTGAAGAATAATATAAAACTAATGCATTATAATACAAAGTTACAATGATTAATGCATACTTTAATTTGCTCGTGTGATTTTGAAAGTTACTTTGAAAATTGTTGAGTATATATTTTTTTCTATTCATAAATAAGTAAATATTAATTCTGATAAAATTTGTAAATATTTGTATATACATAGTGGAATTGTTAATGTATACTTTAAAAGAAATTTATATATCGATAACACACATTTCTAATTTATTTAGCAATGGCTGCAGGAGGTAGCAGCTTCATAAGTAAACCAGCCAGAGGTTGGTTACATCCAGATCATCTAGTAAGTAAGGAAGGAATTACTTATACAGTAAAGGTATGTCATTTATAATCTTGTTAAAGATATTCATATATTAACTAAATTCTTACTTTCTTTCCTATTAACTTTTGGAATCAATGTATATCAATAGGATAATATAATCCTGTTTCATGATAATTTTTCTGTTTATAAGTCTCATTTTTATTACATGCTTTTTTAGTATTTGTGTATTGTTGTATTTGAGTATCATAATAAAATAATAAATAGATCAAAGTGTATCAAATGTAAAAAAATTAAAGAACAATAATATAAAAATATAGTACTGTTTAAAGTGTTTAAGTTGACACAATTTTTGGGAGAGTTTGTATTATTTTTTTTTTGTTTTTTCTCCTTAATATAAATATCTGTATCGTACTCAGCAAACATGATGATAAAGATGTCTTAATAACATTTTAATGATGTATAAACATGATGATGTATAAAAATATCTTAATGACATATTAATGATGATAAATCATTAATATGTCATTAAGATGTTTTTAAACATCATCATGTTTGCCGAGTTAGTAATAAAAGATAAAAGATTTTAATAGAGCAAAAATTTGAGAAAAGAAAATATTTTGATGTAACTTAAATTGTATTAATTTTTTTTAACATTAAAAATATTCTAATTTTTCTTATAAAAATTACAGTATATTGGATGTCTTGAAGTATATACATCTATGAAAAGCTTAGATTTTGAAACACGTTCGTGTGTAGCTAAGTAAGTCGTCATCTAGTATAGTTATAGTTTTTATTATTAGACTATATTGCGTTATTCAGACTCAGATATATTTTTAAACATCAATAAACATCTTTTCTTTTATTTCTAGAGAATGTATAAACAGAGTTTGTGAAGCTGCTGGATTAAAATCTGCTGACAAAAAGAGAAGGGTACTATATCATTCAAAGATATATATTTACAGATATTTATAAATCTATATATAATTTTCTCTTCATTCTCTTCATTTCAGGTTGATAGAAAAGTGTTAAGAGCAATAGCAGATAAACCTCGTATGGAACACACTGCTGCTACTGTTAATTTAACTATTAGCAGTTGTAGTTTATCTTTAACAAATATTGAAAATGGACATATTATTGCTAAACATGACATGCCACGTATATCTTTTGCTTCAGGTGGTGATACGGTAAATTACAAACATTTGTTTTGTGTATTTTATATACTTTAATCTGTGGCAGACATTCCAGACTGGTATAAATATTAGTTATTATATTTCTTGCTTTTATCTCTTATTAGAATTGAATCTTATAATGTATAATAGGAAATACTGGATTTTGTTGCATATGTGGCTAAAAATATGCAAGAGTGGCGAGCGTGTTATGTGCTTGAATGTGCAGGTGGTTTAGCACAGGATGTTATATCCACTATTGGACAAGCATTCGAGCTTAGGTTCAAAGAATTTCTTACAAAACCAAGTTCTTTGCAGTAAGTTTCTGTAAATGCATTAACATAAGGTTACAATAATTTTCACTTGTTTAATTATTTTATGTATCTGTTTATAGTCCTGTACTAAATGGTGTTCGAGAAGCAGATAGAGATTATTACAATGATCTACCAGGCAAAGTACCACCTGACATTGGCCCACCACCGGTACCACCTTTACCTACTACTACATCTACACTGCCTAATCTAAAGCATCATCCAAATCATACATCACGCATTCATGCACAAAATACCGCAATGGATTTATTTTCCTCTGCCACTGATAGACAGCACCAGGAGTGGGCAGGTAATATTTTTTATAAAATAATTTTTTGATATAGAAATTACTACAAATTATATATTTATATAGAATTTAATTTTTATATAATTTTCTTTTATATAATATTTAATCTTCTATTTTAATCGTTTTGATCACAGAAACTGGGAATCTAATTGATTTGAACTCAGATGGTACTATATCCTCTGCAACAAATCTAAATACAATGCCTGAACACAATTATGTTAATGATAGTGTCATAGCTGCAAACAGAGATAATCACCGTGATCCAGCATCACTTTTTGATGTTTTTGATATGCGTAAGAATTTGTATTATCTTGTGCTTTTAATGAAGATTTATAATTTATTACCAATTTATAAAATTCTCTCAAAATAATACTGACCCACAGATCTTTTTTTCTTTTTTTTTTTTTTTTTTACATATGTCACATATAAAGATTTTAAATATGTGTTTTATGAAAAGATTTCTAATTTTATATGCAAAATTTCTGCTTTTAATCTCGTTTTATATTTGTTCACAATTTTTATTTATGATAAACTTTTTATTTATAAATTTCAGAGCCCTTCAGTTCTGCAATATCGGATATGAATAGACTAAGTCCTCGATCACAAAAACAACAATTAAAACAAGAAATATGGTTTCATGGAAGTGTTAGTCGATCCGAAGCGGAATCTATGCTTACTAGAGTAAATATATTTATTGTGTGTGTGTGTGTGCATGTGTATAAATATTATATTATTTAATATAAATTATTATCTTTGCAATTGCTTCATATTTTATTTTTTAAGGATGGTGATTTTCTGGTTCGAGAATCACAAGGTTCCCCTGGTCAATATGTTTTGACTGGTATGAATAATGGTACTCCAAAACATTTATTATTAATTGATCCTGAAGGTGTTGTAAGTATGGCATAAAATAAAATTTATATATAATAAGATTTGTGTTTATGTAAATAAGAGGTTATATGTGATTAGCAGTAGTTTCTAAAATATTTTTCAATTATGTAAGTCTTGATTTATTTAAATATTTTGATATCTATCTCCCTTTAAATATATGGTTTAATAAAATATTAATAAATAATGAGCATACAAAAAAAATAGTACAAATTTTTACTTACAGGTTCGCACAAAAGACCGTGTATTTGATAGTGTAAGTCATCTAGTGAATCATCACTGTGACAATGTGTTGCCTATCATATCTGCTGATAGTGTTTTAGTACTGCGTTATCCTATTCCCAGGCATACAAATTACTAATTTTTGTAATAATGACGAATATTAAACATAGATTTAGCAAAGATTTTCTAAATAGTTATTTTGCATGTCTGCATGTGAAAATCTTTGGTAAATCTAGTTTCCGTGATATTTTTAAAATCAGTCACTTCATACAAAAACATATATGTATATTGTTTGTAGTATCTTTTTATTGTATATGAATAGATGATTTATGAATATTTGTCTCTCTGTGAATCCTTATAAAATGTGCCAATCCAGCCAAAGTAATTAATAGTATTTAATTTCTGTAATTCTCTCTCTCTCTCTCTCTTATGAGAATCAAGCACATTCCGATTTTTTAAAATATTTTGCTTTTTTGTAATATATTTTCAATTTACATAAGAGCTATATATATTTATAAAATTTTATATAATCTAATGATATTTTAAATGTGTATCATACAATATGCTTTTTATATTGAACATATTGTTGTGTGTAGCATTTTATCATGCAAAAATAGTTACAATAAATATAATTTCATGCAGTACACTCATTGGTTTCTATTTCATTAATTAAAATTTTTGTTAAAAAGGTATACATATACTAAGAGAAACTTATTAGTATTTTTTTGTAATTGCATAAAACAGATGTATATTTTACTATAAGCTTATATTAAGAATTTGTATTCTTTATGCACATATTGCAAAAACAATATTTTAGATATCTAAAGATTTTTTATATTTTTAAAAAATGCAAAAGAGTTTACTTATATTTAATAAAATATTTATATCTTAAAATTATTTTAATATTTTAATAATACCTAATCATAAATAAGATAAATTATATCGTTAAAACAATTTATTTACAATAACGGTCAGCTTTCATCTTACTTCTTCTATCTAACAAAGTTTCATGTAAATTTCCTTCTACTTTTGCTTTTTCTAATTCAGAATGATCAGACTTATTTATTCTTAATTTCTTATCTTGAAACTTTTGAAACTTTCGTCTGGAAAATAAAAAATCGTTAAATATTAAAATTAAATATTGAAAAAATAATTTAAATTGATAATATTAAAAAAATAATTTAAATCGATAATATTAAATATAATTTCAAATGTTTTGTTATAAATAGAATAAAAGAGATGATAGTGAATAATATAACAATGATGCATACTATGAGAATACTAATTAAAAAGTTGAATTTAAATAATTATATATTATCATACAATAAAAATTTTATATTTACACATAATTTATTTCAATATCTGCAAGTGAGCCTTGTTCTTCCTTTGGAATATCTTTACTAGGACTTTGAGAACGTTGTATGATACTTCTTATAACAACAAATTCTGAGGGCCCAGCTGTTCTATTCTGACAAATTATATCATCATCATTTGTAACTGATATGAAACATCCTGTATTATTTAATATAGCGAGTTTGTCATCCTAAAAAACAATGCAATTAATATTCTTCAAAATCAAAATCTATATAAATATCATTATATATTTAGTAAATGTTTTATATAAATAAATCCATTTGTATTTTTTATTTTTTGTATATTATTAAATTTAAAAAAATCGCTAAAATTATATAAATATACTATATTAAAACTCAAAATAGATTTTAATTTTCTAATTAATAAACAATATACAGAATGGATATAGTCAAAAATGACAAAAACTAAACTAAATAATTTCTTAGATGTATGCAAAAAAATATGAAAAAACAAAATAATTAGTTTGTATAAATAATTTACATTTAAATAGTTTGTATAAATATTAATGTTTAATATGTGTATGTATGTATATGTGTGTGCATATATATATATATATATATAATTACTTGGAAAATTGGTTCCCACTGCTCAATCGAACCTACTGCATCATTTCGTCCAATAACAGTGCCTTTTTTATCGACACCAAGATATTTGCCATAACCTGATTTCAAAGCAATCTTAGTCTCGCTTATGGGAAATGCTGTTAAGATTTCTTCTGGTGATGGGCCTTCTCCTTCATCATGCGGTGCACCAAGAGTGAACAATCCATTATCAAGTGCTTTCATATAAGTTTGATTTCCAATTTCTATAGCTACTGTTCCTGTGACCTCAGATATATTCTTAACCTTCCACCATCCTCCTACGACATAAATTATCAATTATATAAGCAAATGCTTTTCATTTTTTGTTCGTTATCATATAATAAAAAAATTAAATAATTAAACACCATGAATGATAGTGTCTTGATTCTCTATTGTTACTTCCCGTTCTTTTTCTTGTGTCTTAGACTTCCGCTTTTTTGATCTGAAATGGAGAAAGATATATTTAACAAAATGAGAAAAAGAAAAAAAGAGAGATATGTACTTCAAATAAGTTCCTCTTATATAAAAAGGAAAGATATAAATTTTTAAATATAATACCTTGATTTTTCCCCTTTCAATTTTAATTTTCCTGTCCGTACTTTTTCATATTCTGACATTTTACTAACTTCCAAATTTCTATTGTTGTGATACTAATTGCACATATAACTCAAAGAACAAATAAAAATAAACGCGAATAAAGTGTACATAGAGCACGCGTTTTTCGTTCTAAATGAACTAGAATACGTTACTGAAGAAGTATGAAAACATAGGCTGCGTTCTTTTTAACGCTTCAATAGGTGATTTCCATTTAGTGACACAAGTCGACACAAGCATCATTCTATCTTTTTTCAATGAATACAATAAACAAAGATAGAATGACACTTGTGTCGACTTGTGTCGCTAAATGGAAAGCACCCAGTAGTGAAAGCATCGTTCTCTCTTCGTTTGATATTCAATGTGCAATAAAGACAGAATGATGCTCACAAGGCGTGAGCGTGCAAAGCGAACGCTGCCATAGGTAAACGCAATTGCACGTAATTGGTTATTGAATAGAGAATTTTTATAGAGAAAGTCTCTAAAAAAGGTTTCTATTCGACAACCAATTGCAATTGTGACATTATAGCTACGATCGGGAAGACACTGTGGATGCTTTGAAGTGTTTGACTGACCAATCAGATTAAAAAATTCTTTACTCCATTTGTCGTGATTGGTCAATCAAACTCTTCAAAGCATCTAGAACGTCTTCTCGATCTATGTGTACTCTTATCACAGTAACTCTTTTATATATGCTGAAAAACGCCTTGTAAATGCATCATACATAATAAAATATTACTAATTACTGACAAATTTAAAAAAAAAGAAAAATAATTAGCTTATATATGAGCTAGAATTGCGAAAATCTACATTGGATAGAATAATTGATTACCAGAAATAAAAGAATCTTAGATCTCAGAATCAAAATCGATTATTTTCACATATTAATAATTAGGATTAAATTATGTAAATGGGGTAAAAAAGATATTGCCATATAAAAAAAATTAATACTTTTAATGCTATATAAAAAATTTATACTTTTAATTATTATTATTAGTATAAAATTATATTAAAATATATCACTCTTTCTCTTTCTCTCTCTCTCTTGTTATGACTTTTAATTAGGAAATCCAAAGAGTTAACTTAAAGAGTATCGTCATTTAATAAGTTATTTATATCATCTTTAGTTTCAATCTCCTCCTGCAATAAAGTACATAATACAAACAAAATATTTAGAGTAATAACTATAATGTTAAATAAACTAGTATAACTATATAATGTTAAATAAACTAGTATATCCAAACAATATTACCTGTAGTACTTCAATTAATGTTTTTGTCTCATCTAACATCTCTTTATATTCACGATTTTCTTCTTTTAATTTTTCAATGCATTGTCTTAATGTTTTATTTTCTCCTAAAGTATCTGCAAGGGCCACTCTTCGTCTTTCAGCCAAAAGTTGCCAATAGTTTTCACTAGGATTGGCTAAGTCAAATAAAATAAATATTTTAATAACCCTTTCATACAATATTTTTACAATTTGCATGAGAAATATGCAATAGATTGAGACAAATATTTTCAACACACCTATGGATGTTAAATCCTCAGATTCAATCATTAACTCTTCCTCTCTTACAGTCTGGATAGCTTTGTTCTCAGTTGTTACTTTTTTGCTTTTAGCATCTTTTTTTGTTTTCGCCATATTTCTAATATATAAATAAGTCAGTATCAATTCCCATAAAATATTTGTTCATATAATGTTTTTAAAGTAACTCACCCTTTTGTCTTTTCTTTTAATTGTTTCTGTTTAGTTGATCTAAAAACTTTATCACCGCCAACTAATATTTTCTTGTCAGTTGCTGCTGGTTGCAATATTTGTAAAGGTTTCCGGGTCTCCTATTTTATTAAAAAAAGAATTATAAGAGAGTATAAATATTCTTCTAGACAAACTTATGGTATTTTCTATTTATATTTTATTTGCATTAATATCATTACTTCTCTCTTTTCTTACTTTTCATATATTGATATGTATATTACTTTTAATTTCCTTGAAACATTGTATATGAATATACATCATATATAATATTTTCTCTCAATAAATTTATTATTATCAAATAATCTTTAAACAAATAATTTTATGAAACTACTTATGTAAAGCTTATTATCACATTTCTTAAATTTCTAAAATATAAAAAGGAAATATATGCTAACTTTATGGGCGATGATCTCGATGTTAGTGATTGGTTCCATTCTTATCCAATTTCAATAATCCAACAGAAAATCTGAAAAGATATCACGTTTATCAATACAAAAAACTAAGGTCAAATGCGTTGTTTTATTTATGACTTTATGGATTATATAACAATACAACAGTCAGATGAGTCGTTTGAACAAATTCTTAATTGAAAATAATCACACGATCGAGATTAAACGCTTACGTATTGTATACTTCTATTATTTTCTCAAGCTCAAATCGTATTTGTTCATTGATTCACGTACCTACACATGACCTGTTGACGAAAATCAGCGGGAATAACGAAGTGAAACAACTACACGCATGCGCAGCGAAAACTTAACCATTGGCCGCATTCAGCGGACTCAACAGTTGGGCAACATTTCTAGATTTTCCGATGTAACTCGACGCTGATTGGTCGGACCTGAAAGTAGAAATCAATCATTCGATTGCTACTTAGCGGTTGAGTCCGCTGAATGCGGCCATTGATAATACAAATATGATAAATGATTGCATCAAAAGTGAATATTTATTACCCCAAATTGGATAAAAGGAGCCAAGATTTTTACTTACAATTAATGTTTTTTTTCACTATATTAAGCGCGATTGACCCATGAATTGACCGATCAATAGATTTTATATGAAATTAGACTCATATCCTTGGTTTTCATGGGTGACACTCGATTGACTACGTCGCTAATTGGCCAATTCAAAATAAGACTCTCTGATTGGTCAATCATTGCTGGTTACCCTAGGCACAGGTCGATATAATTGGCTGTGGTCAATCGCAACATGGTCAAACGAAGCACTCCCGTTTTCATTTTTGCGATTAGTCCTAGTCTAGTCATTTTTTACATCCATGGTAACAATTCGTGAAAGTTCACACCTCTACGAGGATCACCAACATACCTAACTTCAGATGTGACGCTGAGTGTAGGTGTAGGTAGAGTTGTGAAACATTTTTATATAAATATAGTATTATCCGTGTTTATATCTTTGATTAATTGAATTAAAAAAATAAATACATCTTATTTAGAATGGCACAGGAAGTGCTGAGGGAATTGGAAGCCGCGGCGCAAGTCGTTTTGGTGAGTCGAGTTATCAAATTTTCTCTCTTCATTTTTTCTTTCTTTTTCTTAAATAGATTATTATAACCCTACAGGAATTTATTTTTTTGAGAAATATAAACAACTTTTGGGATCAATAGAAATCGATAATGAATATAAAAGTAATATTTTTGAGAAAAAGAAGCAAAAATATTCTCGTTAAACATTTTATAGAAACATTTTATAGATAAACGAAAGAAAGAACATGTTGCTTGTTGGTTTTTATAAAATTTATAACGAATATTATAATAAATACAAATTTATAACATTAAATATCAATGCAAATTTATAATATTATCACAAATCAAATTACAATTCATTAACAAAAAGCATTACTCTGTCTCTGTATTTTTCTCATATTCAAAGTTATTTATATTTACAAAATATTATTTGAGGGTTAAGATTTTTGTGTCATGTAATCCACTTTTTAGAGATTTTCTAATAGAAGAGAAAAACAAAGCAAAATGATGATTAAAAGCTTTTCAAAATTCAATAAATAATGCATGTATATGTCATGTGCAGCAAAGCAAAACAACTGTTCCAATAGTATTTGATTGTCATGTTATGTAATTTCTTGTACATTTATCATTTCAAAGAAGCATAATCTATCCTATAAAAAAAGAACTTATTAATTATTAAAGCAATACATAATATTAAATTTTCTTTAACTCGATAACATTCATAGTTGTCATACATATGTAATAAATAGAACAGTAGTAAGTAAAAAGTATTAGCAAATAGTAAGCAAAAATAAATCGTTTCTCAAACAAAAGCTGTAGAAATTTAATAAGTTATGTATTAAAGTTATATAAATATATTTTAATGTATATAAATTTTTTATGTATATGTATATAATTATCTCTTAAATATACAAATTGCTTTTAATATTTATAATATTTTATATAAGCTCTCTATGCTGGACAGATTTTTTAAATCTAATTATATATGTGTGATGTAGCCATATGTTACAAATTTCACAAAAATTATGAGAAAAACTCTTATATTTGCAATATTTCGTAACATTGATATAATTAAATATATTAACCAGCTTGTTTAATGTTTCTGTGTTACATTTGTTCTTTTTACATGTTATTTTTATATATGTTTTTATATAATTATATATATGCTTTACTTTTAGGCACCTCCAAATTTAATTTCAACAGAGCAACGTCAATCTGCAGAAGCTGTCTTTTTAAATTTTCGTAAAACAAGGTTACCTTATCAGCTGTGTCGTCAAATTTTAGAATTAAGTACTGTAGATTATGTATTATTTGAAACAGCTGGTTTGATAAAGACAGCTCTGATACAAGAATGGCCTACTCTAATAGAATCGGACATTTCTTCATTGAGACAATATTTGTTACACTATGTCATAAACAAACCTACTTTAGCGCCATATGTTAGAGCAAGAATACTTCAAGTTATTGCAATAATAATCAAGAGAGGCAGTGTGGATGACTTTGGGCAAGAGAGAAGAAGAATATTGAATGAAGTAGAATCTTTAATTAGAAATGAAGATTTATCAAAGGTAAATATATTGAAATAAATACAGAAAAAATAAAATTGATTGCTTGTATAGCATGTAAAAGAGAAAAGAAAAAGTAAAGGGGACTAATTTCTTATTTATATTTACAGCAAATTTTAGGGTGCAATATTTTATCTACAATATTGCAAGAATATGCAACAACTGTTAAATCATCCAATATAGGTCTCACATGGGAGGTTCATTTTAAAGAGAAGAAACAGTTTGAACTAAGCGATATGAAAAAAATTTTTAAGCTATGTATTGAAGTACTCAATGAATTAATCAAAAAAGACTTTGAAGAATCGACATTAACTTTTGTAAAGCATTTACTTTCAATTGTGGAAAGTATACTTGTTTGGGGATTTGTTGATGGAAATTATATCCTTTTTATTAATCTATTTACAATTAATATAATGTAATAGAAAGAGAGAGATATTGAAAAAGTTAGATATTATATTTTAATTGACTTATATTTAATGTTTAATATTAATATTAATATAGTCTAGAAATTATGTAATTAATTAATAATTGATGCTAGTACAGTCACTGTCAAATGTGAGACACACAGACTAATTATTTATATTTCTTAACTCCATTGCACTACCCAGAAGATTACTGAATGTATGTGAAATTTATGATTTCGGAAATAATCCACCATTGAGGTTACATACACAATGGCAAGATATAATACTAGATCCAGCAGTATTAGATCTACTGTTTACATTGTATTGGAAAGTACGCAACAATCCACAATTAGCTCATCATGCTATGAATTGTCTGGTGCAATTGTCAAGCTTAAGTAGAATTTTCACTACAGAGCAAACAGAACTGCAATATCTTACAAATTATATGCAACGATTCTTGAAGCTTGTATCAAATATTAATATTATCGATCAAGAGGCAAATGGAATTACCAATATTATAAAAAAGATTAATTGTTTCTTTCAAAGTTCATTAAATTCTCTTCCTGAAGATTTATTGAAATCATTTATGGAACAAATGACAAGGCTAACATGCCTGTTCATAGAAGGTGCCACACGAGAAGAATTGGTAATTTTATTATTGCATTATTATTATTATTACATAGAGTAAGATTTCGAATTTTTAGTGGTTGAGCAATTGAAATGATTTGAAGTTTATAAGTTTAAATAGTTTGGATTTTTTATACATTAAGATATTTGAGGAGAGTTTGTAAATTTGAATATAGGTAAAATAATGTAGAAAATGTTTTGTATGTGCGATGAATACTATTTTTTTGCTTGAATTTTCCTCAATATTTAAATAGCTCCGATGTTTTGGATAAATTGAATTGTAAATCAATTAAATATTTTTACTATTGATCTCGTCAACTGTTGAACTTTAAAAATTTCTTCATATTTCAAATTGTTTGACCACTATTTAATTCATTCAAATCGGAGTCTGAATTATTTAATTTAAAAAATTGCTTTTGTTATTGCCTATACAAAAAATAATAAAAATACTTATGTATCATTTGTATGTAGTTATGTGAATATATCATAACTACATGAAAAAAAATATACATTATATATATTAAACATTATACATATTGAAAAAAAAAGTTATTATTGTATTGTTTGTAGATGTGTGCTGATGATTGCTTGTATATGGAGGCTGTGGAACGTATATTTGAGACATGGATATGTATTTTATCTACAACATATATATTTCCACCAGAATTTTGTAAGCAAAGTTCTATTCAAATATTTAACACATATCTGCGATGCCACTTGTCACCTCCAGATGGTGTGAAAGGTGTCACTAGTAAAAATATTAATGAAGAAATAGTAGATATGGAAGAAAATGATAAAGTTAAATTTAAGGAACAGTTACAAATAGTTGGTAAGTATTCTTGCAAATTATTTGTATTACACAAATCTGTGTTAATTAAAACATATTTTATTATGCGGATTTGCAATAACATGTCTAATATAATTGTAGGAAACTTTGGTAGACAAGTGCCAAATCACTCTTTACTTTTATTAGCGCAATTACTCGAAAATCGAATACTTAAATTACGCGATAATATAAATGTACTGATAGCACAAAATGGAGCTGTATCCGAACCCGCCGCTATGAATGATTTGTACGAAGATTTGCATTGGCTCGTTTTAATAGCGGGTCATGTCCTTTGTATGGAATCGGAAGGTGAAGCTGCATTAATACCTCTGGAAATTAGGCGATGCAGTATGGATCAGGTTTGTAAAAAAATTTTTTTCTGAATTAGGACATAGTGTAATGTATCCCCCTTCTGTCTTTTTCAGTCTCGAGAGGGAAATGTCGATGTGAATCATACATTAGAGTTTTTAGTGTCTTCGCAAAATATTCAGTCGGATATAAGCAGTCCTGCGGCCTCGATCGATCGAGTTATTCGATTAATCACATGCGTTTTTCGCTTATGCGCCTTGGAGAAAACCGTTATATCGATACATGCGGAGAATGTACTCAGTCCTGAATTGAGCAGCACGATAATATGGTTTTTACATATATGGTCGCAGAGCTACCTTTTGCCGACAGAAGTTTATTATTCCGAGATAAGCACCACAATCTTGCAAGCTTTTGGTGAAGATAGTCCAGGCGCATTATGGACAATGAATTTTCTTCTGGATAAAGTAATTTGCAATATTAACACCTTTAAAAGTGAACCAGCTGTAATTAAGGAAACTATAAAATTATTAATAACTCTTGTTGAGTCGCAAACGAAGTAAGTATAACGTATCTGTAAAACGCATTTGTACAATAATCGTATTAATAATTTGTTTAGGGACAACGATACTCTTTTTTATACAAATTAATAATTAACAAATTAAATTCTTAATGGAATTTAACTGGAATGGAAAACCTTCCAGATGGAATCCAGATGGATTTTGGATTTCGCTAAGATTTTTGCTGAATGATATTTTGTGAAAAAAAATATGGGGCACTTGTTTTTTCTGGTAGGTGCAACATATATTTGCTCACGCGCGGCAGAAATTGATTATAAATTATGAATACATAAAAATAATAATATTAAATAATAATATTAAACTTGTTTTATGTTGAATGAAAATATATTGACAAAAGATATATACCAGGTGCATCATAAGATCTGCATACACATTAAAATTTAGCAGTATATAATTTGATGAATTACTATTTTCTTTAAAAATTGCGTTAAAGATTATTCCATATTCTCCACAATTATGAAATTTCTATTTTAGATTTATCAGAAACTAACTTTTCAAAATTCACATGTAATTAATTTGAAAATTAATTATTTCAATTAACTTGAGAATTAATTTTATATATATATGTATATATATATATAATTAATAATTATTTATTATTATTTATATTGTTATTTAAAATTAAATAAAATTCATTTTGCTAGAAGCCAAAAAATATTTAATGTAAAATAAATACATATATATTTAATGTTAAACAAATTCATAATATATATTTTGATTATGGTGGATAGTCTTAAATTTCATCAAATAATATCTCTGAGGTATAATGCAAATCTTATAAATATACCTTGTATTTTATTCATTACATTGTATATTTGAAGACGATACATTTAAGATTGAAATGTGTACATTTTGACGTCAATCTATTTAGATCTATTTATATCTATTTAGATTATATTAATATATACAACAGAAATTAGTGAATTTTCTTGAAGCAATTAATTAGATCATCTGATCATCTTTTCATTTATTACGTTATTGCTTCCTGTTATCGACTAGCGCTTTTAAATTTTATAAATTATTCAATTCTACAAATCAGATTTATAATTATTTTTTAATATCAATACGAATATATTTGATACGAGTACATACAATCTTTACATATCACAGAAATAATACCACCTTAAAAAATTTGATAAATTTCTATATTTATAAAATAATCTTTTTAAAATCAAATTTATTAACAAGTTTTTTTTAACTTTCTATTCTACTCTCCTATTACCATTTTTGAATCAATATGAAATGATTATACATACTTTGTATTCACAAAAATAAAGTGCCCTAGACAAATTATCGTGCAATTTAAACGCATCACGTTTTTTTACGATTGCTTTAACAAAATCAATATTCTTTATGCAATCTTACATTTCGGAATTTTTATTCCTTTAAAGTTTATGTATATAATTGTGTTTGCAAATAATATACCATATAATATGCTGTGTACAATTTGCATAGAGATATATAAAGACATTTGCTATATCTTGCAAAAAATTTAACGAGCTAAATGTATGTTAAAGTATGTTAAAGTGATCGTTGTAATGTCGGTATTTTTGAAAAGAAATAATCTAAATATAAAATTAATTATTTCAGAGCCTCTTGCGTATTGAAATCTGAACAGTTCAATTACATAATTGAGTTAGCTACGAGAGGACAATACGATTTTCCGCAAATTATTAAGAGAGGTTTGATGCACGCAGTAGTACAGGCCGGTACAGTGGTGCAAAATACAAGTACAGAACAGTACTATTGGTCACAAACTATAGAATCTTTGCAAAACAGATGTACACAGTTAATTTCTAGTGATAATTTTATGTCGTCTTATCATCAAGAGGAGATTAAGATACAAATCATAGATATATTGGAATCCTTTATAGGTAATTTATTATATTGATTATGAAATATTTGTGTTTATATATATATAAATTTTTAAATAATTAATGATATTTTGGATTTATATATAAAGTTGGATGCCTTTAAATGTCATGTTATTTAAATAGGCATAGTACATGGTGTGCAAGGTCCGACAACAGAACCCGTATATCGATATACCTGTCCTATATTAGTCGAACTTCCAAAATTATTATCCTTGTATCATAATTATCAGAATATAGTTCAATTGATATTAGAGCTGCTCTGTGAATATACAAGGAGTATTCTATTTTATTTATCAGAGGTAAGTTGCGTGCATTGATATTTATTTATATAAGCTATCGATATAATTAACTCTTTTACTGGGGTAGTTATAATCTTAATCTATGATATTTTTCATTTTAGGCTGATAGTACACGTGTGTATGAGACTTGTTTGCAAACGATACAGACATACGCTCGCTGTAATAGTAATCGGCTTACTGTAGATTCGACCGCGGAGGAAGATAGTTTCCAAGATATTTTGTTACTTATGCAATTATTAACTAATTTACTAAGCAAAGACATACTTAATTTTAATCATACTGAGCAAAATCAGCCTCCATCTACCATGCCTGCCGATGTTTTCTTTTACGGCTTAAATATAATCATGCCTATCATGACAATAGATTTGTTAAAATTTCCTTCGCTATGTATACAGTAAGTAAAACTAACTTATACACAACATATGCGATGTAAGAAATATTATAGCAAGAAAGAAATATATGCATGTATTAAAGTTTTTTAAAAATTTTACTAAGAAACTCGAGTATATTATTTAAGAAATTTCAAACTTGGAATCAATTTACCATACTCATTTTGTGACATTTCTATTTTTATTACATTAGCATATATTTGTATTAGCATATATTATTAGTTGGTTTTTTTTAAACAGGTATTTCAAAATGATAGCTTTTGTATGCGACATATGTCCTGAGAAAGTTTGCGGCCTATCTATCAAACTGTTGCAGCAGCTTTTAGCATCGGTGGAATTAGGTTTATATTCATTTGGCCATGAAGTAGCTGTCCTATGCTGTGATACTATTCAAGTCTTAGCCAAGCATATTTATACGGAAACTACGAAAGGGCAACCGCGCAATGACATAATGGCACCTTTTATGAATGTAAGTTTTTTAAATTAATTGAATATAAATCTTGTATCTTTTTTAAGATTTTGAAATATGAAATTTTACTTTTCAGTTATTGATAAGTCTCATTTTATCACATCAAATGGATTCAGATTTGATAACGAACGCCAGTATACCTCTTTATTATCTTATATGTTGCTATCAAGAGCAATATCAGCAACTTGTACAAAATATTTTATCCACCCAAACAGATCAACAAGTAGCACAGAGATTAGCAAACGCATTCACGGCATTAACCGCGAATGTAGCATTAAATACTGAACGTATTCAAAAAGTGAAGTTTAAGGATAATTTCGAAAAATTTATCATAAATGTACAAGGATTCTTAATGATTAAATAAAATAAAACTTAAAGATGTAAATATAAAAAATAAAAAAATCTATTTAAACAATATACATATATATTTAGACATTACCGAGATATTAACTCGTATTTTCGTCATACGTTTAACTAGCCTTTCATTATTTTTATTTGAATTAAAAGACCTGTCGTAAATATAAATAAAACCAATTTGACTAAAAAATGATTAATTTCGAAAAATTGTTTTTTTTTTCAAGTATATATAAAAAATACAAGTTTCTTGAATTATTTAACAAAATGTCTCAAGAAAAATGAAGAAATTCGCATTTGTGACAGATCTTTTGTCAGTTTATTTTTATCCCCACCGTAAACGTGTAACGAAAGTGTTTAATACTCTCAGAATGGATGATATATTGTGAAAAGGACTTATATTAAGCATATAAGCTTTTTATTGACCGATTTATTACACGTTACCACTTACAGTGAGCCTCTAGCGAAAAATTCGAGTAACTATAATAATATATAATATATTTATAATAAATACTAGTTACAGCGTCGATGCACGTTTCCAATAGCAAACGATTAAACGAAAACATTTTTGTAATGTGAATGTTTAGTGGTATTACCTTACAAACCAAATACATGAACTTACATACTTGGTACAGATCCACATCATCGTTAGCCTTCTCATACATCTGACGATGATGATTCTCAACGTTTCACGAAATGCTTAAATTAACATTAAATTTATTTATATATATTTATATAATTTAGTTTGTATATTATGTATATATATAAGCGAACGTGTGTCCTTTCGCGCGCTCTTTTACATATTTTCCCTTTCGCACATCTACATCTTCTCTTTTTTTCTGCCCACTTAGGGTTCTATCTCTTTCTTTCTTTCTCTTTCTCTCTGTGGATCTCACTTTCTTTCAATCTCTCATACATACTCTCATTCTCACCTTATCGTTCTTTTCTCTTATATTTTGTCTACTATATAATAATAACAATAATTATTAATCTCTCCAACGACTTAAATATGATGTAAACTCCTTCGTAATATGCATTTCCGCTCCTTTTTTCTCTTTTTTTCTCCTTTTGTCGTGTGTATCACTTTCTTTTCGGCGTAGTCGATAGAGAGTCTATTATGTTCAACTTATATAATTACGAGTTTATGTTTAAAATACATTACGGTGTGTCGTTAACAAAATAAAACTATCAAGTACTACAACAGTCAGCAAGCGAAAACGATAATAGTGAGGGGCATTACATTCGCGTAAGCCACGATTTGAGAATTGTCGATTCGGGGAGAGAGATCGAGGGAAAAATAAAAAAAATCGGCCTCGAAATTGAGCGCGTAAGACTAGAATCAAGCGAGTTAAGATTTTTATAATCGTCTTCCGTCAAAATGCGGAGACCCCGAAATCGGGAAATCTTGTCCTTCGAGAGATATATCAAGGTACACGAAATCGATAAACCACTTCGATAGAATTTAGATTTATAATAAGGGGTAACATTTTAAAAACTGTTTTTTTTTTCCACATGTAGTAGAATCCGGAGATAAAGTTCCTTTATACCAATATATTAATAATATTTAGATGATAACCGAGGAATATACGTTGATTTTAATAATGACGTGTGACAATAATTGAATTTATGTACTTGAGTCGCGCTTCCAAGGTAGCACTTTGTCGGAATCCTGTGTCACACACAGCTCTCGAGAGAAGTGTTAAAGAGAGCTCTCTCGGTATGATTAATAAAATATTTCCGATTGTGATACATGGGTATTTGATAGAGAGAGGGAACGTACTCTCGACGGTGGTACGGGGGTGAAGTCGAATAAATCGGAGTCCTGCTGCGCACCCCGAGTGTGCGTCAAATGTCAATATATTTTATAATATATTGCCGCGAAAAATGCGCTATTATATATCTACGTAATACGACACACATCGAATGCCCATCTTTGAATATATTTCGAACTTGGACATCTCACGCGCATCGTCAATTAATATCAAAGATGTTGAGTTCTCCCAAGTGAGAGGTGCACAATAGAGACATGTATGTATTTATATAACATTGCACCCCTGTTATCCAAGTTGTCATACATAATTAGTAAGAACCTCGGTGAACAACGTAATCGACTATGTCTATCGTCTCATTACGAGGAAATTATCAATCTCGGATCGTTGAATTCTACGACAAACGTTCGCTCGTCTTTAGGTTCTTTGAAAAGAAAAAGCCAGCGGCATGTGAATCTCTTTCTTTTCGAAAAAAATCAGATCGAACGGATGAGCACATGGCACACGAATCTTATTTTCTATCGCTTTTACGTAATTTTTTTACATTTCTCCAAATTTCCAACGAATAAGAATTTCCTCGTTAGATAGAATTATCGATTATGTTTGTCGGCTCGAGGGTGTGTATTATCGTGCTCGCGTGGCGAACGAATTTTCGAGGAGAATTCGCTTAAATTCTAAGTAGACATGAAAACACGATGCGTCAGAATGTGGCGTCTATATCTCCATATATTAACGTAATTTTATTTATTTATATCGCACGTATATCTTTGCGAGATACGATATACTTTGACGATGGTTTCGTCGTAACTTACATCGCATCAAAACGCGATCGCGTTATAAATGGAAAATTTCTTACATCGCATTAAGAGACACGTCTTGTTTTCTTGCCGATTTCTTCTCGCATTCATTCGTGTTTCGAAGAAGTTTGCAATAATATTTTTCCATTTACTGCGGAATATATGAAAATTTTCCTCACATTTTTTTCAAACGGAGATCTTTAGAAACAGAAAGAGTACTCTTCATTTTCTTCTTCTTATTATTTGTATTTCTTTCTTTGCTATACATATATTAAGAGTTCATAATTTATTTATATAATTTAAATTTATAATTATTTATATAATTAAAAGTATATATATTAAAAGATAATATACAGGTACAGGCAGGGATTTTAAAATATATTTTAAAACAAGATGAAATTACTCTATATTAAAGATAAAAGAACACAGAAAATATTCTATAAATGTTATGCTTCAAGAAATTGCAATTCTCTCTTTCTCTCTCTCTCTCTTTTTCTGTCCTTGCTTTCTGATTAGCTTTTCACATTTTAGATGATATTCAAATCTCTTTTCATTCCGATGCAAAATCCCATTTTATTAGATATATCACAATTAAAGCTATTTAAGAATTTTCAATTCGGAAGTCGAAATTCTTCATCGAGCGACGGTCAATCGATTGCGTGTACAATAATAGTACAACTTTTCACATTGTCAAAATTGGATGCTCAGCATCGTCTAGATCTGATTCGCTTATCGAATAAATAAAGAAAAACATGAAAAGAGAATGGGAATGTAATTCTCATAGAAAATTGTATATTAATATTTTTTTTCCTTCGTCGTAGATACTTTTTCGAGTAGAGTACTAAGTGATCGTCAAGCTTGCGAATGAAATTATCAATACCCAAATCTCTTTGTTTCGTTCTCTTTTTTTTTTCTCTTTATTATTTCCTTTCTCTCCCTCTCTTTCTTGCCTTTTCCTCGCATACTTCTTTTATCAGATATATCTATAACGTGTATACCTTACCTCGTTTTCAATGATCATCTTAAGAATACGTTTATTAGGCATAAATGCATTTCTATCCTTCTCACACGTTGCATGCGTAAAGGGGTATATCACGATAGGTTACGTCAACGCGTCGTAGAAATAAAAGTTTCAACGGAAATATTCGCGCGTACGAATCTCTGATTTCGTCTCGTCAACGTGAAAAGCATTTCGAATATGAATTCGAAATGTACGGAGAGACGTGGAAACGAATTTTCCGATGTAATACAGTAATGTATTAATAGCAATTGCTTTTGTACGCGCGTTTGTAACTTCTTCGAAAGACGAGCATCTCCTTTTTCACCCTAAACGTGCTAAGGAAACGCTGCGTAAAGTAAAACGTCGATATTACCGTGCTGTCGATCGTGGATTAAATCTCAACAGCGCTCAGCCTCCACTCAAGGATTAATCAAAGACTAACGAAAATCGAAAGTTACACAAGTCTTGGGACTCTAAGGCCGAGTGCGACCAGCACAGCATTTTTTCCGACGCTTTTGCTATTGCACTCGTTACCCCGGCCATAGTATCGACCACTCACTTGGTCTGATTGCACGGTTGCTCCAGAGTCGGTGTCAGGCCGATTGGCGCGCCGTTGCTTAAATTCGATGCAGCCGGACCTTTGCGTGCGAGTTTTGACCTACAAAACCGTATTAAGCATAGTCTCTTCGTTTCCATGTAATTCATGCATATAAAATAATGTACTGTACTGTACTGTGTATTTTTTTTTAATTCTCAATAATTAAAATAATTCTAATAATATTTCTAATAATTAAAATAATTCTCAATAATTAAAATAAAAACGAGAAAGGACAAAATAAGTTTACGCTTGTTGCACGTACCTAATTTGACCAGCTAGGAGAGGATTAATTGCGTACAGCCAATCGTAGACCTCCTTATCGCCTAAAGTCTGCAGCAAGTATCCTCTGTGCTTGGTAACAACACTATAATAAATAAAAACAGATATTTTAGAAAGTTACACAATTGCATATATATTTATCTTTTTAAATTTTTTCGCAAAGAGTTTACCTGAATGTATTCGGCACTTTCACCATGGCCAGCTGATCCTCGGAGTATTCAACTTGAGCTGTAGCTAAATTAATTAGCGCTCTTTCAACGGGATCCTTTTCCTCTCGGAAAATAAGAACATATGGTCGACGAACAGCCTGAAGCAAAGGAAAAATATAATATTAGATCTTGATATTACACAGATACACGCATATATAGGCAAGGAAACGTAGGTTTAATGATGACGAACGCACCACCCAGCGTTTCTTCCAACCGTTGGTCTTGTGTTCGAGAACGTTCAAGTAGCCTTTCCGCGCAATGACCGGGCTAATACGAATTTCCTCCACCTCCGGTACATACAACACCAAGTTCTCCTTCGACGGTGAAGATGAGCCCAACGGTGGCGGTGCGACTGTGCAAGTTTGATTGGCCGACTCACTTGCCAATATACTCTCTTGGAGCTCTTGCAATCTAGCCCTCTCCGGTGAGCTTAACCTAAGGAGGCACGACTTAGACCTGCTCCATACTATTATATCAGCAGCCTGCAAGTAACACTCCAGCATAACCCTGAGCCAATCATGCTGGCGGTTGTCAATCTCGGTACGTCGAGACGAGTCGAGCGTCTCATTGCCACGCGTTGAAACGAATGCGAAAGCATAAATATTTTAGAAGCTGTATCGTTTTAAAGAAGCGCGATATAATATGTAGCGAACTAAATTAATGTGTTGTGAATCGCCGCGGTAGGCAATAATAAAAATGTGAATGTTGTTTTTTGTTGCTTTTTTTTAATCGCTTCGAAACAATCGATGCTTTCATTCATATTTCATGTAAAATTTATCGGGTAAATATTGTAAAATTAGTAATGAATGAATATTGTTTTGTTTCAACTTCCAAGGATATCATATTGCTTATGTTGTTCTAAAGAGGAACGATGAAGCAAAGCGTGGACAACCGCTACTAGCAGGAGCACTCATGAGGCATGCAGGGAGGGTTACCTGCTTCAAGAAATCGCTAGCTCTCGCATATACTGACTCTTGAGACGAGGACGATATGACCGAGGACATCATAGACGCGGATAGATCGGTTATGGTATCCTCTCCGGGTGAAACATCAGCAAGTAGTATCGGTTCTTTGCTTGGGATTCTTCCTTGGATAAGTTTAATATATTTGGTCGCCAATTCACGCTCCCTCTCGGTCATTTCCCAGGGTTCGTACACATCTTTACTGGTTGAGCGTTTCAGCTTCACCGGGCTGGCATGTGGTTCGTTCGTGGCTTTTGCCACCATGTTACATACATCCTAAGACATATCAGAAAAATATGCATATATTATTGTATATCACGCGTATATCACATATATTTTAATAAATGTAGAATATGTACAACTACCTTTTCACTCTTCGTGAAATCGTGCAAAGGTTTATTGCAGAATGATAGTTTGTCGATACCGAGTTTTTCCCGCAACAATAATGTGTGCCGCACTCTCTCCACTTCCTCTAGCCTCGTCAACTTCTCGAGCTCCCATTGATGATCAAATATGAGACTGTCTCCGCGCGGTCTCCATCCATGCAGATTCTCTTCACCCCTGACATACGTGGAACTCGTATCCAAGACGCGACGTTGACGTCTTTGAACTCCTACAAATAAATAGGGAAGGAAAAGGGATGGGTATCGAGTGAAAGAGAAAAGAAAGAATCCAAAATATGAGAAAATATAAAACATCTATTGCGTTTACAAAAAAAATATTTTAAGGAACTTTGTTATATCGAAAGATGGTAAGAAATTTATAATATGTTAATTAAATGAATATCTTATAGAATTAGAATAATCAATGTGTATAATTATAATATTGGAATATTGCTATTTTTTTTCTCAAACTGGAGAATGATATCTAAATCACGTTTTAATCCTTGAAATCCATCAAACACCATATCCGATATTTTTTATAGATATATACAATTAGATAAACATACAAATGTTTTCCAGAGAAAATGAAATATATAATTTGAGGTGGGAATTCCATCTTAATGTGCGATATTAAATGAAACACGGGACTACACTATGGTTAGACATGACAAACCTGGGCTACCTGCTTCCGAAGAACGGCGTAGCACTAGTTCGTAGACGCCGCTGAGTCGATTCGCTTCTTGATTGCGATAACTGCCGCTAAATAAGTGTTTAAGCGAACGCGGGCCGACTCTTGCGTCCCTTCCATAGATGATCATGCTCAGGTCCTTCGTGATGATAGCAGGTCTTCCACAGTTCTCCAGCTAATTGATACAAGTAAAAGATAATACTTTACAAAATGTTTCTAAAAGTGATTTAAATATATTTCTGATATGTACCTCAAGATACGCTGAAATGGTCATAAAGATTTGCTCTCCATAAGACGTGACTCGATTAAGCAGAGCCGAATTGTGCAGGGAGCTGTCCCAAGCTGCTTCGAATCTAAACATAGTGCGATCGTCACCGGGAATCTCAAGATATTCGCCAGGGAATAGGCCTAAGGAGAGTACAGATGAGTCGTTATCCTCTTCCTCGGGTTCCGGGGTATTTCGGATACGGCCAACCACGAGTTCGCGCACATCCTTCCATCTCAATTCAGAAGCCGGTTCGTGCACAATGGTGATTCGTATACGTCGCTGTATACCTTGATGAAGCAAAAACAATCCGCGACACGGCAGATCATCGCTATGATCTACCACCGACGGTACGTACTCCCCGTTCGGTGCCAATTCGCAAATTTCGAACCACACCAATACATCGTACTTGGCATGTACGTGAGACGTGCTGGGAGACGGTAGAACGCTGCCGAATTTCGGCGAACGAACTGGTTGGCTGATCGGTATGGAAGGCGGAAGCATCCTCTTCGGTGGTTGTCGTACGCTGCTATGTAAACACACAAATGTGTCTTGTATGAAAAAAGTTCTTACAAGTAAAATACAATAAAATAGAATTAAAGCATTTATCGATTAACACTCACTATTCCAGCTTCGCATCCTTGTGTAACGGATGTTGTTGATAATGACCAAACACTTCAAAGACGATAGGTTGTGTCTTCAAATACTCTAAGAAGGATTTGGTAACCGTGACCGTAATCTGTATATTGATAAAAAATATTACCCATAATCTAATTCGGATAAAGCTCTTTCTATTAATTTGAAACATGATTATTTTCGATAACACTTACATTTTGTACGTGATAAAATCCTGGTGGATTGCCCTTGCCTGTGTTCTTCACCGGTTCTGTCGAGAAAGCTTCGTCATGTCGATGTAGGAAGCTGCAAAAATAATTACATTGCAATGTGTTTACATTTAAAATATCACGTTTAAAATATACTGAAATATAGGCGTACTTACTTGAATTGACAGAAAATGTCAGCGTATTCTGTAGAAATACCCATAGCTTGTAGGACCGTTACCCTAAAAGTGAATTCCGCGCCAGATTGCAAATGATCCGGCAAATCCTCCTCCTTCATGTCACTCGAAACCGAGCTATCGCCTCTGCCACTGTCAGCGTCTCCTATATCATCCTCGTCTTTCATGTCTTTCTGATTAATTTCGTTATGTCCCTCGACAACGCGTTCCTCGTGCAATACGATTTGTCGATTCTTCTCCAAAGTTTGAGCCAAAAGTGTGTTCCGTTTGTTATGCTTGTGCCCGCCAAATAGATCATCCTCAAAAGAGATTCGTGCTGATTGTCTGACGCCGCTTGAGTATTCGCTATTTTCCTCTTCTGGAAGAAGGATTCCTTATGTATGTCCTATATGTATATGATATATGAAATAAAACGACAGTATGGCTACGGATTACGTACCGACTACGGCTTGTACAGCGACCCGCAAGTAACCCTTAACATCGCCCTTCTCATTCACAATCGCTACTTTGTGAATCAACGGCACTGGATACATGAGATTGCTCAGATACACGAAGGCTCTAAAATTAGATTTAAAATCATATTAGTATAAAATAATATTAGTATTATGGCGATATATTAAAAAAAACATAAAAAAGCAGAAAGGAATTATAGTATTACATACTAATGAAGATTGGAAGTAATACAAATTTCATCTATAACGAAAAACTTCAATATATTTAGTTTTCATCATCGCTTTCATTATATTTTAGTATCAAAAATATTTAAAATATATAAATTTTATGTTTTATATTGTATATGAGTTTTGTAATAATGTTAAAGAAATAGAAATTAATACATCATATTTTGAATAGCAGTAACAATTACTTATATAAAGTAAATTTAATTAAAATTCCGATACTAATTGTTCGTTTACCTGCCGACCATGCGGAACCACGGGAATCTATCGTAAAACGGATCGCCACCTGTGATAGATTCGATATTGAAATCTGGAGATGTAGGCGAGAGTTCGGCCTCATTGTGATACATCTCGCGCATCAGCTCCAACCTTTGTCTGAAGAACAAAAAAGATTATTATCTACTACGAGTTCTACATAAGATATAGTTATGTAAATGTGATCGTAATTGGTGTGTTAAATCATCAAAACGTGTTCAAAACTTGATCAAAAATTTCTTCAGCTGAACTTCTTCAAGAATTTTTTCATCTTCAAAATTCAAAGATCTTTTTGATCTTTTCATACGTATTTATATCGATATTTTATTGTTACAATCAGAATAATAATCGCATAGATGCAATTATTTCATTCAATTTTTCTCATCCAGAAATTTTGTTCTCACAATATGAAGTGTATTATTTAACAATCATAAGTGAATGTTATATAATTGATAAAAAAATATTTGAAATAAATAGACACACGTTTATTATAAAATGTAAAATTTTTGAATTTCTTTTTACGTCTAATATTTGTTTTTCCATCGTTTCCATCTTAATCGAGTTGTGTCACAATCTCGGATATACACGTGCATGTTAAATTGAAAAGCGAGATAGTGAGGACACGAGCTCAGCGGGAGATAATAAAGAAGATGTGTTAGTGTTTGAGATAGACGTGCATAGAATGTGAAGAGACACACTTCTCACATTCAGACAGCATAGAAATATTCTTTACAGCAGCAGAAGCGGTGCTGCGTTTAATAAACGCGATGGCGTAAATTTTTGCGAGAAAGAGGAGGAGGAGGGAGCTCAATCTATTCGATCCGATTTGTCACGTTACGCTATGAACTGAAAACAAACCATGCAGAATCGTCGAAAACGTTCGCGAGTTCCAAGTGCAAAGCTCGATTTCGTTTCTTGTACCGGCGAGCATCGCGTTGCCATATCGAGAAAGCCTCTCACAAAACAGAAAGAGCGAAAAAACGACAAAAAACACGCACGGCGATAAAACGCACGACTGTTGCGGCCAGTAATGAAAAGTTCTTCGAGGCCGGGCGTAAAGCGTGTTAACATGGCGATAAGAGGAGAGCCTCGCGCACCAACCTCGAAGGCAAAAGATTTGCGAGCGAGAACTTCGGATTAGAGTAGATCGTAAGGCATTGGAAAATATCCTCTTTGGCCTCCGGAGTGCTAGGGCTCGAGTCCTCGTTGTACACGTGTCGCATCAGCTCCAAGCGCTGTCTACAAGTCAACATGTATTACTTCGCTGTGCGTCCTTTTGTATGCGCTCTCTATCCGAATGTCGATTCAATCTAACATAGATAAGCCGCGATTTTGCTTGAGTAGCAAATGCAAACTTTCAATATCTTTGATGCGCGATGCGCCTGGGAGAATTTTTGATCACTTCGCGATATAAATATTATTACAAAATTGTTTAGTTTCCGTATTAATATTATAGTTTCCGACACACACGAGCAGGTAATCTTTAAAACATAATTTTCATTAAGCACGCAACAAGTGCATTCGTGCATTAGTAACGAAATAAAAGAGACTATTAAACGCGTTGCATGAACAAATTTTATTTCGTTTATAGAAATAAATAATTGCACGGTAATATTGTAGAACATGCTGGATGTACAATTTTAGTTATATATATATATATATATATATATATATATATATATATATATATAATGCAATTATAATTTAATTACAAAATTACTTAATAGAATATCGTTAACTTCTTCAAAAGATGATTAATTATGATATTAATTATGATATCTTATATTTTTTAGAAATATAAGATATGTGCATTTCATTTATACTTCTCTTTCCCTCAGCACGGATGGAAACTATAATAAAATATGAAATAAATATAAAGCAAACCTTAGTTTATCTAATGTCCAGTAATGCGTAGCACCATTTTTCGTATCCTGGACTTCAACAGCAACGATCGTGCGTGGAAACGGCCTCTCATCCTCATCTTCGTCATCCATGACAGGTAAAAGATCAGGTGGTAGTGGCGAATAAAGAGTATCCGTGAGTAAAGTAAATTGGAATTGAACCTAAAAGAGAGAAAATTAATGCAACAAAATCCATTATGGCAAGGAAAGTTTTTTTTTATAGGTTTTTTTGAAAACTATAAATTCTTAATAATATCAAATAATGCTATTTTTGTAAAATGTATGATATTTCTGTAAAAAAATATCGCAATAAAAAAGATGTACATATACGCAAATCATACAAGTAAACGTAATTTTTATTATTTATCGAAAATATGCGAAAAAAGTTCATATCCAAAAGTATACAAGGACGCATTAGTGCAAAAGTCAGAAAAGTGTGCTAAAGTTTTTCATTATAAATTCACGACTGTACCTTCTTTTTTAATTCAACAGATATGGCATTAGCCTCTTTAAGGAATATCGCGTTGCCCCAAAGATCGTCCCGTAAACTCGTAAATTGATGATATTTCCACTTGCGGAAGGCCCAAGCGGCCAGTTGAAACTCTCTCTCGGTCCAGTTGCTCTCTGCGTCAAACAATGGGTTGACTGAAATGCAAGCCATTACCAGGCAAAACAGTCAGAGAAAAGCCAAGCATTTTATAAAATAATACCGAGTTTACTTTACGAGAATATGCTATGTCCTATCAACAAGTGTGAATATGCTCCATTGCATGCAATAAACTTTCATAAGTCAATAGTGTGGTAACTTATGAAAAAAAAAAACATTCGGAGTGTTACACGTGTTAGATAAGAGAATGCCCAATTGATCGGGCATAGCTATACCAAAATATATTAGACATTCGAAGAGCGATTATATTTTCCACACTCACCGAAAATATCTTCCTCGATATTGTTGAAATCTTCTGGCGTATAACTGCTGTACATAGACATTGTCATACTTTGTTCTTCCACCTGTCTCTGCAATGCGTCTATCCGTGCTTCGTAGCTCTATTCATAGGAACAATTATCAATTGCAATAATGTATATATGAATTTAGAGATCATATATGTATTTGTACACGTACCTTTCGTTGCTCCTCAAACAGTTGATCAGCTTCTTCCTTTTCTTTACGGAACTGTTCCTCCAACACAAGTAATCTCTTCTCCATTTCAACCTTCAGATCGATGCCCTGTTTTTCTAACAGCTCAACCTGTGCAAAGTCCCAGTCCGCGACTGGTTCAATGTTGCCAGGAGTTTCCGCTGGTGATCCATTTGCTATTCGTTCGCGTACTGAATGATTGAACAACAAGAAATATACAGTATTTATATATTCTCTCTAGTAAATATCTATAACATCGTAAATCACATACATATCAAATATTAAAGATGCTTTATAGTACCTTGATCAGGATGATTAAATCGGAAAACATGACTTTTTCCCAGGATAACACGCGAACCAGTCGTCAGAATAAGCGATTCGGTCACTTCGCGACCATTGACATAGATCAAAGCTCCTTTCTTCGGTATAAGAGTTATGATGCCCTCATGATTTTCGAAAACACAATGTTCGCTTAGTATATGCGGGCCGCACAGCTGAATATCCTGGGGTATAATAGCTTCAGCGCTACCGATGCGCGTAAATCCGTCCTTGATATAATAGATCAGACATTCCGACATGAGAGGATCCTCGTTTAGATTTACTAAATGCGGTGTCTTTTTCGGTGAGAATACACCCACTGTGACACCATCTTCTTTCACAGCGACTCCCATTTCGGCGAATACCGCTTCGCGTTGCAGACGAATCGATTCCGTTCGTTTCAGCTTCTCTTCCCACGTTTCGTTCAATTCTGAAACAGAAGTAGAATTAGTTAAAATAGATAATTTATTAAACATTAGTTAAAATACGACATTTATTAAAAATTATAAAAATGTACATTGTTAAAATAATTCCAGTTACCTGCGATCAATTTTTCAGATGCTTGCAATTGATCAACTGCTTCTTCGGCGATAGTAGATGTAGTATGGGAGGGGATTCTCGGCCGTGTCTCCTTGGTATCCTCTTCATTTCGCTTGTTCGTTCTGATAATTTCATCCCCTGTAAAATAAGAATGGTCAAGAGTCGAGAAAATGCAGTCATATGTTAGAATGGCAAGCCTGCGTCGGAGTCGGTATCATGTGTGTCGTAATGTAAACATCAAAAGCCATAATTAAAGCAGTGGCGTAGATGAAGAGACATATGTCAGAAGCTGAAAAGAGTTTATATATTGTGTTGCTAATTAATTAATCAATCCTTTTCAAACTTCAAAGATATAATTCGAATAAGTTGTGATGTATTTAGAGCACCAACATAATTTAAATATGTATAATTATGATATAATGTATATCACCATTCGATATGTATTATATGAATTTTCGATTATAAATTTAATTAATTTTTTTAACATCCTTATATATTATCTTCATATATTTTTTATCTTCTATAATGTAACACATTTATTCCATAATTTATTCAATAATTTACACATTCTTGTTCTTGCAAACAATAGAAGCATAATGGATCATCAATTTACACAGCATTGATTAAATTAATTTCACTTAAATTTTAATGAAAAAAAAAATTATTGCGAGATGTTAACTACATCAGATATAAAGGAGGGAAGCGCAATCGCGATAAATATTAACAGGACAGACGTACATTAAATGAAGACAAAAGAAAATTCGTGAAGCAAACGTATAAAAGAAGAAATTTATATATATATATATATATATGTATCACTGATAAATATATTTTGCGCTTGACAATAAAATATAAGCGCATAAATGAAAGAAAAATAATAAAATATCTACGACAGAGGCGTAAGAGATGGACGATGCCTGTCTTGACTGTATTCTTTGCTGTTATATGGATTGTTAGCATTTTTACTTACTAGATTCTTTCTTTTCGTACGTAACTTTGCCATCTGGCCCTATATCGAGCGCAAGGGGAAACAAAGAAAAAAATACTATGTGAATGAATTGCCTCTATCGCGCGCTGTGCAATAGCAATTAATTTATAATCAAGAATTTAGATTTTTTATGGCACGTATGTGTTAATTCCTACATGACAACAATATTATTATGTAAACTATATTTAAATCGTAGAAAAGACGATCAACAATTAGCATAATATATAAAATAAGAATCATATATTTACAACGATATTAATTATATGTAAAGCACATGTGAATTTATTAACAGAGTCTAATTAGGAGATTATTTATATTTGTATTTAATTACTGATCAAGTTTTATTCAGTCTGTCTTCGTCTCGTATGCTTTCAAGAATAAAGAGCTTTTTATATATATATAATCCAATTCTTTTATATTAATTTTTAAAAGCTTACTGAAAGAAATGATACCTTTACCTTCTTGAACATCGATGCCTTCCTGTTTTAGAAGTTCCCGTAGTTTCTGTATTTCTTCTTTGAGTTCTCTGATAAGTCTGGCATTTGCATCTTCATTGACAACGGCCTTGCAAACGATCTGTTTCGCTCTGTCTGCATATCTATCAATAAAACCAAAATCTTTTAAATCTAAAATAATTAACGCTTCAATATACATATTTTAATTCAAATTTTAATTTATTTCAGAAACTCTAATTTTAATATATTTCAATAATTAAAAAATATATATAACAAACAATGAAAATCTCTTACCGTAAAGTCGAGAGTGTCTCATCGTAATTGATGTCGGCAGGACTAATTGCTGCAATCATAGCAGTTTTTGAATTTCCACCCAAGTTCTCCCGTAATAACCATGTTAAAACTGAGTCTCTGTATGGTATGAAATCGGCCTTTTTCTTCTTTTTTGTTGCCTATAAAGAAACAAAAATTGACAAAAAAAAAAAATTATATATTACTTGTATAATTAATTTATTTCGAAAATTCTAATTTTAATTTCAATAAACTTACCGCCTAACAATCCGCGATAAAGCAGCAAACAAACGCGTAATAATATGATATATTTCAATATAATATCAATATGATATATTCGGTATTTAATGTAACGTAAAAATTTGAGCAAGATACTTACAATTTCGGCTAGGGCACTAATAACCTTTCCGAGAGTTGTCAGACTCTTGTTAATATTAGCTCCTTCCTTCAATCGTGTACCTTTAGCACCTGTCGAATCGGCTCTCTCGGATCCAGCTAAATCAACCAGCGATATTTTACTAACTTTCTCTGTCATCAAACCGGTGGCGCAGTCCTGCTGCTGTTGTGTAAAGAATATAGTGAAAACAGCGTGCGATCTACTGGATGTTTCGTTCATATTTGTTGCTGCGACAGTTCTAGAATGATTACAATATGATTCTCAACAATGTATTAAACATGTTACGAAAAGAATTTATATAAATAATTAGTATGTGGTATTTAAACTAACCTGGCCTTGTTACCCTCGTCTATAAGATCGTGAATATCTTGGTACGACAGTACAGCCAATTTGGAAAGATCTTCTACGTAAGGTCCATAAAGAGGGTGCTCCCTTACTCGAAGATTCCCCCTATTTTTTGGATTCAACAAGTCGCGCACTCTCTCGCAATAGATTTCCATATAACTCACTTCTACCGAATACTTCAATCGTTCATTAGACGTATAGCTAATTTTCCTAAACAGATCCTTGCATATTTGCGGTATTATTCCTTCCTGTCCATCTTCTTGCTTACCCATCATGGTGTAAGATTTACCGGCGCCAGTTTGACCGTATGCGAAAATGCAAACATTATAGCCTGTATCGCAAAACAAAATAAATTATATAACGTCTATAGTAAAATGTACAAATTAATTTTGATTAATTTTTTTGAAAAATAATATATTACGTAAATAATATATTGGTTTCAATAAATTTTATTTAAAAGATAACTTTAATAGTTGATAATGTGTGACTATATTTACAGTTATTTCTTGTACAAGAGCTATTACATTATTCGTATGGTTTTAAATACGAATTTGTTTAGTTATTTTTTAACGAGTCGTTAAAAAAAGATTTAAAAAAACACGTAATCTGTTAACTAATATCTACCTTCAAAAGCGTGTATCAACATTTCTTCGCCGATATCTTTGTAAACCATGAGTTGAGATGAATAGTTCTCATCATTTGGCTGCACAAATATGAAAATTCACCATAAAATAAATATAATAATATTATCTCTTAATATTTTTCATTAAAATAAAAAACAGATACACTTACGTCCATAGAAAAGTAGGAATAATCATAATTGAAGCTTTTGACAGCGTCTTTGCTTCCCGGTGTGGCCTTAGGATTCACTATGGCTATAATGTAAAAATAACAGGTATAGCATAGATTATGCAGCGTAAGTTTATGCATTGTTGGTTTAAATTATGAGTTAAAGAAACTTACAAGTAGTGTTCCCTGTCATATCTATGATACATTGTGCCTGACGAGTGATTTCGCGATGGTTGAAGGGTCGTACCCTCACCGCCACCTTAACCGACGACATTTTTCTTGTTTTTTTTTAACTTAGCGTCGGATAAAGCCGGCGGCGGTGCTGGTGATAACTTCCTCTCTATTAAACTCTCTACAACAAAATTTTATTTCAATTGTTATAATGTCGTCGTCGAATTTATTAATTACTTTATATTATTAATAGTATATTATTAATTGTTATTTATATTAATATACAATACATAATAATGATTTATATTATTAATATTAATAATAAATATTAATTATTTATATTTTTAATAATATAATCGATAAATTTCTTAAGTCAAAGTTCATCGTTCAGACAGAAGAAAATTTTCTTGTAAGTAAAAATAAAAGATCAATATTAGAAATTCATTAATATTTAATCTCAATTGCGACGTCTGAATTCTCTACTCTCAAGAATTCATATATTTTATAATCTTTCTACAATCTTAATTTATGCAAATGTGTGTTTTACATTATGTTCAAGGATGCTATTAGATCAAGTGAATCAATAAGAAATTAGTAAATTTTTTTTAATGTATTTGATTGTAAATATTTAAAACTTGAAAATATTAAACAATTAAATTCCTACTTACAAATCATAGAGTGAAAAGGATTAGATAAAATCTGATCGATACAGTAATAAATTAGTAAAATAAAATAATTTACACTTACAAATGTCGTTGAAGCATAGTACGGGTCATTGATCCGTACAGAAATACGTAGATTTTATCAAAGAATAATTAATTAATATTCGCGCGCGCGCATGATCTATTCGTGAAAAGCTAGAGAAGTCATATCATATGCGGAAAATGAAATTACGACTAACTTGTGAATATTTGAAGAAAGTAGATATAAATACTTTGAGAAAACGAAAGAATAATTTACACAAAATCCATTTTCCAAATGTCAAATTATTCTCTTCCACAAATAAACCTCGCAAATGTTGTTATGTAAAAAGGAATAAAAGTATAGAGAACATATGTGTATAATTATGTAAATGAGTTATCTCTGTAATGTGAGTTATATTTTCTTAAAATCTGATTAAGAATTTTCTTAAAAATTATCATAAATTAAATATGATCGACGAGTAGAGCTTTCAAATAATTAACATTTGCCCTATTCATGAAAATCAATCCTCTTATGCATTATTTTTTATCTTATTTCGTTATTTAAAAAAAAAAAAAATATAGATTTATCTTTCGATAAAATTCTCATAAATATTTAAAACGTCCTACATTTTCATACTAAATTAAGATTTGTCAAAAAGATTATTTAACGATGTAATCGAGAAAAAATTGCAAGGAAAAACAAATGTTTTAATTACTAAAAAATTAATTAATAAAGAAAAAAAAGAAGTGTATGTCATATGAAATAATTGATGTGTATGTCATCTGAAATAATTGAATAGTTAATATATTTACAAGGCATATTCTTCAGTGCACAGTGAAAAATATTAAATAAGAGTTAAAGAAATTGATTTTTTTTTCAATTAACAGCGTCTACCTTTCGCGACTTTATAGAACCCCTTAAATCATAGATGTAAATTCGTCAGGATGTGAGAGGCTCGAAGGTGTACGATACGCGTGGAGAAGAACCATAGGAACGTTGGACGTCATCACATTTCAAGAAGATATCCCTTCTGCGAGGCCACCTTCGTAATTGACGTACAAAACACCATCACGGCAGCGGTGTGATCGATACGACGGCGTCCGAGTACTGTTCGCGGAGGAAGGTCCGGAAGGGGCGGAGGCGAGGAACAGCGTATATGTGGATTTTTACGATCGATCGTCCACACGTTCGAAGGATACGTGGTCGGGTCTTACCTTCGGGGAGCGCCGTTCGTCTCTAGGCGAGAAGAAAAAGATGCGGACTGTGATGAGAGGAGCCTCGCGAATGAAATGACCTCACGAGGAAAGGTGACTCTCTCCAGAGGAAGATCAAGAGTCGCGGCGCGATGCTTCACGTCGACTCACTATACGTCACTACGTCGGCCATCCGCTGGACGATCCGCGATCCACGAAACCCCCGTAAGCGGACATTATAGCGCGTTTACCCACGTAACACTCACGCGTATACACCCGCGCACGCACATACCCCTGTGCGAATTACAGCCTGCCTGCTTGTCCGTCTGTCTACCTGTCTGCCAAGCGGACTTCGGCGAATTCGCTTCTCCGCTCTTGCAATGCCACCCCCGTTGTTATCCCGTCGTTGTAGCGAGTACTGACGACGTATACCGCGGGCGCCTGCGTGATGCTCCGTCGTCGTCGGGGACACAGACTCGTGTCTAGAGTAGGGATACTTAAGTTTAGTAGGGTACTGATACTTCTCTACCTCTTTGATATCGAATCAGTATGAGTATCGATATTTCTCTCGTTGTTTCCAGGAAAAACATTCTTTTTTGCGTTATTTTAATTAATAGCAACAGAAGCAATTGATATTATTTCGTCTTTTCTGCTGTCTTTCTCTGAGATACGATAATATTATTTTCCTGTGATATTGACGTTTTATGATATTCACGCAAAGAGATGCTATTCTTAAAAGACAAATCATTATTATGAAATGAGTCTCTAACTAAATTGAATTAAAAAGCGTCTTTTTTCATTTATATTACTTTTTGTATCTTACAGTTGCACGAATAAATATATTCTCCTTCTTTTATTATATAATTATTTTATTTTAAAACTGTCAAATATAATTATGATAAACAAATCATTTAATTTTATCATTTATATTTACTGCTCCATTTTCAATTTATTGTCTCCAATTATCGTTATTTATTTATGTCTTTTTTGAAAAAATGCCTTAAAAGAACGCATGTGTAAAAATGATATCGTTGGCTAATTGTTAAATTTATGTTTAAAATCAGATTGGGAGATAAAGTGAGAGTTGTTTATCGCTATCAAATGTTTTATTTCCCATATATAATATTCGTGGATAAAAAAATAAAAATGTCCATATCCTATTAAATTAAAGTATCCCTAGTCACAGCCTGTGTCTCGAGTTACCGTGCCGTATTTTAACCACTAAAGGGAGAAGAGAGAAGAGGGAGAGCACAGAGTAGGTAGCTACAAACCACGCGCGAATGCCTTGTAAGGCGGTCGTAAGGGTTGTAATATTCGCTTCCTGCCACGCGCGCAACTCATGATTTCCTCGCTGGATGGTACGAAGAACAAAGTACCCGAGAACGCAAATATCTTCCACTAAGTAACTCCGACTTGAAGGCTGAAGGTGAAAAGATACAGCGAGTTAATTAGAACGCAGTTATCAGAATTTATTAAATTATTTTGACGTATACGACATTCGTATTAATTAGTTTGCAAGAGCTGTTTTTCATTCGAAAATAAACTTGTATCGTCTATTCTTTGACAAAAAGGCAGAGTGTGTGCACGCGTGCATATATATAAGGGAGAGAAGGGTAGACTCGACACCTGAGTACACCAGGTGCACATTGATCTAATTACGCTGAATAGCAGATATTTCAGATATTATCGCGCAGATTATAAGAGCTACCTGTAGATATTAAAATCTTTTAAAACTTTAATTTGTTATATATCTAGGTCGCGAATGACAACAAGGCATGATAAATGTGAGTTTAAATCTCGACAAGATTACAAGGTAATCAACTTTAATGAATGTTTAGAGAGAGGGTGCGTTTATAGATTAATTATTTAATGTGACGGAAAAAGAAGAAATTATTCATTATATAATTGAAATCACGACAGACTCCAACATTAAGAAATCAGTAAAAATTTAATACGCATTTGTGTTAAGAAATCTTATTAAATCATACAGAAATTAAATATTATATAGGATAAAAAATGTCTATGTAATTAATAATAGTAGTTTATTGTCTATATTCGAAAAGTAAATTTGTCAAACCCGAAGTCAATCGAATGCTATTCGGGTCTTTTTACGTTTGGCTGTGAAACTAATAATAATAATATCGTTATATGAAGAAATCAATCGGTTATTTTTATTTAGCACAATTAATAAATTGTTGACACACGTAAACATTTATTAAAATTTTCGTATGAGTTGATTTATAAATGATAGACGTCAAACTTGGCAAAAAATGTAGATCAAAAGATAAAATAAATCCAATTTATAAATAAAAACTGAAATAATTAAATAAATTTTTGATTAAATATCCGATTCTCATCAAGATCGTACAAGAAAAAGCTTTTTACTTAATTCTTACTTAATTAGCTTATTTCACTTGTCGTACAGTCGATATCAAAAATAAATTTGAAAAGTTGTGTTAAAAACGCGTTAAATATTCCGCAAATTTATCGCGAGTTTATAATTTTAATGAATTTTTTAAACAGAGCAAATATTTTTTTCAAGGTATATTGAACAAGACCAATAATATCTCAGATATTTTTGACGTCCTTTAGATATCCTTGCGCGCTTTTACGTGACTTTATATTGTATAATACACAAACAATTCATTGTGTCGTCGAATGAATACATTAAACATGTCATTGTATATAAGAGATACATTGATTATTAATACTTTTCAGCTTTTATAATATAGCATATACATTTTATATACGTTTAAAGTGAAGATGTATATCAAGCATGGATATCAATGCGTTCTAAATATGAGTTTTTGTAATAAAAATCAGACGATGATTTGATTATTGTATTTGAAATGTAATATTAATTAAAAAATAATATCAGACTTATTGTAATCTCAGAAATCCGGAGAATTTTCGAATTCAGTTTAGATCGGGTATAGAAATGCTTTTACTTATGCGATGAGAATCATTTCTCAACTCTACAAAATTTTTGGAAAATTTTAAAATGATTCACAATGTTCAAATTGAATGTTCTATCCATGGAAAATGTTTAAATGACCTTCGCATTGAGATGCATGAGCATTATTTATCGGAGATGGAAGGATGAAGAGAGACCATTCTTACGCGAGCTACCCTCATGTTATGATAAAAGTTCCATACAGACATACTGTATATATACTGTATGTAACTCATATACGTTATATACCTATAAAGAAAAAAATTCTCTGACATGGCTGTTATCAAGAAACAAAATAGTGTTTCGCGTCAAGTCTATGATCGACTATTGATCGACTATTGATCGATTTTGCATGTATTACATGCATACACACACACGATAAATTAATTATATATATTCAGGATATTTACTTAAATTTTGTAAAAAATTTCTCTAAAAATTCCCTGATCTTATAGATATTTTTCTTTGAATTTCAGGTAAAAAGAATATTTAAAAAATTTTTTAATGCAAATTTATAAATAATTTTTTTACTGTGCGTTTTCTAATGCATTTCATTCATATTAAGGAAAAATACAGAGCCGTTTAAGTTTAAATGTTACATTTGCAAATATACTGAAAAAAAATTAATAGCTTTCATAAGATAAACATTTTTCACTTGTATAATATTTTTCTCGTTTTATTATAATTAAAATAATAAAAATATATATATTGCATTTACGTATTCAATTTTGTTAAGATATTGAATATGTAAACAAAAATAAATATATATTTATAAAAGAATTTTTTATAAAAAATTTTTTTAGTCCCAATAAAATTCTATGGGAATTCTGCAAGTATAAAAAACCCCTGAGCATTCCAGATTTTCTTAAGAAAAAAAAATATTTATATATATTAATATTATATAAAATTAAAAAATTGGTATTGGACAATCTCGTCGAAATTACATAAAATTCAAAGGCATTCGATATCACTTCGGTGAATTTCATTCACGTCCCCGGGCGTAAGTCATCTCGCGGCATTCTAGCGGGAAATCTCATTTTGCGAAATGAAGGAATTCTTTAGAAGTCATCCCCTCGCTAGGGGGGGAAAGGTAGCGGCATGTAGATTCACCGATGTGCGCAATCGGCCATCAAGCTGCGGATGAGTCCGGGACATTACGAGACCGATTAATCGTTCATCCGTTCGACGCCGCCTTTACCTCCAGGGGACGAGGGTGAAAACGTCGTGTCACCCTCCGCGTTCTCCGAATATGATTCGATGACGGTTTACGCCCCCGGAACGCATTTCCATCTACGTTCTTCCCACGAATCTCTCGAGTGGCATCGCGATACCGGCATAGCACTAGGGGTGGTGGATGGAATCAACGTGGCCGCCCACATACCCGCGCCCGAGTTTACACGTGTACACTCATACACATGTATACATGTATATACATACACAACTAAACACACACACACAGATGAATTACATCGATGTGAGACGGGTGGAGAGTTGCGCGCGTCGATCGACAACACCGTGGTGGTCCAGGGCCGTTTTCTCTGGCCGCTTTCTCGGTTTATGGACCAATCGCGTCGCACCTAGAGGGAGAAAATCAATAGCTCGCGGAGGCACACCAAGTGACGTCAGCTTGCAACCCCGACGATCGACCGATGCGACGCAGGCGGCGCCGGCCAATTTTCACAGAGCGCAATCAATAAGTAAAAGATATCCACGACATCGCCGATGGTACCGCGCGCGCAAAACACACACGCCTACATACGCTCGTACGCCCGCGCGCGCTTTCTCTCTCTTTCTCTTTTGCTTCGACATCAACGTCGATTAACTATACAAAAATCATCCCCTTTTCGTCACCGACACGCCGTCCCGAGAGCGAATTATTAACATGTAACGTGTCCGCCGCGCGACGCGACGCGACGCCCGGCGTCGTCGCGTCGGTCGTCTCGAGGAACGCGACATTTCCGAGAAGGAAATTTCGGGTTATACGGAAAATTTAACGAGTCGAGTCGAATTAACGAGCGAGTCTCGTAAAATTTGTTGACGTGCTTGTTCTATAGAACAAGACTGTTGCATAAGATGATATAGAATGACTCATAACTTTCGCTTGCACTTTCTTATATGGATTCTATGATCAATTTCGAGACAATATTTCTTTGTAAAAAAAAGGAATTTTTCTCTAATTAATTTTCAGCATTCTAGGTTGCTAAAAAAATTTGCAAATTTTATTATTTATTTTATAATCCCATGACATTTTTTGTTAAAGAGAACACGCGAAAAATATACTTTCGCATGTTTAATATATCCAAAAGAATTATATATAAATTGTAGAGAAAATTTATTTTCGTGAAACATCAACCTTTGAAATCTCTTTGATTTTACAAAACAAATTCTTATTGATTTTTCTTCATCCATTTCGCTTTATTTAATATAGCACAAATATATGTGCATGTAAAATAACATAAAGTAAAGTTATGAAGATATTCATTTTTGAAAAAAAGCTATTTTTAATTATTTGATGGATGTTTTCGAAAACTGGAACAGTCATAATTTTAACTACATATAAATTCATACAATATAAAGTGATGTCAATTTCTGAGAATATTGGATGTCATTTATTTTCACGACATCTGTATTTTTAATAAGACGTCACAGATACTGAAATTTTATAAAATTCAAGCTTTTTTCTAATAGCTCTTTTTTAAAAAGTCAATTTAAAATATTCATAATATATATTTCTTATTTATTTATTTTCCACCCACATATTTTTCTATTTTAATTTATTCGTTTGAATAATTTAATTTGGTCAGAAGCAATTTAAATGTTTAATTTAGTGACATGTTTGTTAACAAAAATGATTTCAGAATATAATAAATGATTTCTAATTGAAAAAATAACAGTTTTAAAATATATATCCAATGTTTATTGTTTCTTTCATTCTCAAATAAAAAAATAATGTCGTTTATTCTGATTTCAATGTATCGATATATGCTGATAAAAAGCAATTATCTAAAAGATATTAAGAATTTTAATGTTATCAATATTATCAGAATAATTTTTTTCTTTCTTGCGTAAGATTAATTTTTTCTTTCTTACTTAAAGAAGAAAATTAAAAGTGAGAAAATTAAAATTAACAATTGAATTTTCACTTTCGAAATACAAACGCGCTCTAATCGAAGAGTGAATCGATGAATAATCCCATAACGTTACAGAAGATTAAAAATTATATATGTGTCATCCAAAATATCGAGTTGTTAACGAATTCGCAATTAGTAGTCACAATACTCGAAACATCGATTATTGCTGACCTACCTTAGCCCTTTGCACTTCGTTTATATCACGAAATGTTGCCTATGGTCTGTCGTAACTCTCGAGCCCTTCAGTTCTCTTTGTACTCCCGCCCCTGTCAAATCGTTACCCTCATGCCATTTCAGTCAATCTGGAGGTACTCACTATCTATAACGATCTGTGACGGGAACGAAAGGGTCAAAATGTAACGAGAATGATGGGACAAATTGATCGAAGATTGATGTCATGAAACAAATTTGAAGTTAATTCTTCTTTAACAAAAAAAAGTTGAAGTTACTTTCTCATCTCTAAATTAAATTAAAAAAATAATTTTTTTTAAAATAAAAATCAAGGGCTTGTGTGAGTAAATAATAAAATATTATAAGGCATAATCGCTAAATTAAAATGACCATATAATCAATTTTAATATTTATCGAATGGTAAAAATCGTAATTAATATACCAATTATCAATTCAAGTACAAAATTTAATCTTCGACCCAATGAACATTATTTTATATATAACTATCTATGTTGTATTTTGTTTTTCGCCAATTGAAAACGTCAATCAAATTTTCAATTAATTGATTATATCTCAAAATTCACAGAATTATATGTAAGCTTACATGTAATATTAACATTCAATTCAAAAATAATCCCTTTATATCGAATATTAATTAAATATTCGATATAAAGAGATTAACATTCAAAATTATTATTTTTAAAGAATTTAATGAAAAATACGCGAAAGAATGACGTTTAAAATTCTCGATATAGGATAGACATATTTAATAATAAATGAACAAAAAAAACAATACAGACCGATAGCTACGAAGATACACGAAGTATATCAACCTGGATAACACACGAGTATAAATAAAAGGGATGATATAGTTATAACAATGGAGAAACGATAAATAAGAGATAGCGTTTTTCACTTTTTTTATAAATATCGAATTGTTGATTTCTTTTTTGCACCGTTCAATAAAAGTAATACCATGTCGCTTTTTTAATTTTTTCTGTCCCCTCTTCGTTCTATTTCGACTATTGATTTCACGTCTACCGCAGAATATGCAAAATATACCAACATTACAAGTAACTAAAAATAAAGAATATCTCCAATTTACACTGAAATAATGCGCCATTTATCGTAAAAATTCATTTCTTATTCCATCCCTCATCCCTGTGTTTTAACCCTCAACATGCAACGTGTGAATCGCTCAGGATATAAGTCAGGACATAACATGAAAATTCAATCAACCACCTTGTATCATTAATCGCAAAACTGTGATGGCTTCCAACGACAGAAATCATTTTCGCAAATAAATATAATGCAGAAAATCTGAGATACTAAACAGATTTCATCTTGTCCTTTCGATAATTTCGATTGCCAAGTGCTCCAGAATGACATTTTCTTCAAAATTCTTACGTGTAATTTATTCATATATGTATATATGTAACTTATTATTTTTCAATTTCGAGAATTTTAATATACGCAAGTTTAAAATCCTGAAAGATCGGATAAAATCGAAGATGTATAATTACCTTGAAATATGAAGAACGACGCGATCCGTTTCCGATATATCCCGACATAAAATGACAGGTGAAAGGGCTCATTTTTGACGTTTACTTCAAAATGACAAACAAAGACGATTCGATCGTCCCGGTACTCGGAAGCACTCGATGCCCTCGCTCGGTCTCGTCGATAAAACGCCGTTTAAATAAATAATTATCACGTCGCGTTCACACAATGTTGCGCTCGCGAAACCTTACTTTACCCTTGCTTTGTAACGACGATTGACGACGAGAGCAGCGATCACGACGACGGCGTGCAAAGTGAAAATCGCGCGAGTAGCGTAATCCGTGGCGCGAAACACGAGCGAGATATACTCACCAGATATGTAGGCAGTGACGTGAAAACAGCTGAGCTCCTACGGCCATACTGGCTCCTGGCGGTGTTCCTCGTTCCTCGGCGGCAGCGAGCGCGTCGCGTCGTACACGCTACGCGTCGTGGACCGACTTCCCCGTGTCGTGGCGAACGATCGATTATCACGCGATGTTACGAGAGAACGCTAGCCCTTTTCCCCTGCGTCTACTCTCCTACTTCGCGTTCTGCGAACGGCGCCCCGTTCCGTGCGTTCCTCTTCAATTTGCCACAACTCGCGCGGTTCACGGGCTTGCGCTCTCGTCTCTCGTCGAGTCCGCTCTCTCTTCGTAAAGATCACGCGCGCGCATGCAGATTATTTTTCTCGAGTGACACTCGGGTGATTCATACAAGTTTACCACTGATTCCCGAACATAACCTTGTTTTTTTTCTTTGTCGGGGGATAGTCGAGAAATTTTGCACGACGTCTCCTCCGATCCATGCTCTATATGCGCGGGAATCTTTAAAGTGTTAAATTCAAATTTGTCATTTCTCTAGTAATTTGTATTTATATTTTTACATGGATATCAGGAAATTTGATTATGCACAAATTAAATTATAAAATTTAATAATCTACTTAATTGAAAAAATCAATTTAACTAATTTCTGCTATTAGTACTAATTTGGGCTGATAAATTATAAGGAAATATCTTTTACCCCATAATTTATTCATGAATCAACACACAAAATTATTTGGAAAAATATATCTGTGAATATCTGTTATGTATGCTTTTCAAGTATTCAGCTAATCAGAAACAAGATATAATACTTAAATATTTCATATTTTTTATAATCAGTATTCAATATATTGAATATATTTTCATGATTTAAAAGAAATAAATATTGTTTTATTTGATAAATGCACTTTTTACATGGAACAAAAAAACAATGTATTTAAGAAATTGCATTTGAGAAATATTCCCAAAATAAAAGCTACATTTAGTTTCATTCTAAGGATAAGATATTATCTAAGGATAAATAAATGTTGCTCATACTTTTTACATTTGTTTTACTTATCACTTGTTCATAATTACACAAATCTTGTTAGATATAGTCTGGAAAAGAAGAAAAGCATACAGAGAAAATCACAGGCATATCATTGGATATGTGACGAAAATTCGTGATAATACAAACCCTAAAAAGTGTCATTTTAAATGACATATTTAAAACGGATTCAAATGCACTAAATGTCTACATCGATTCTTCAGCAGCCGGCAGCGGTTTTGAAACGCGCGTTCACGTCCTTCCAATTGACAATGTCAAAGATTGCTTTCACATAGTCGGGACGTACATTCTTGTATTGCAAATAATAAGCATGTTCCCATACATCGATACCAAAGAGAGGTATAAGACCAGTTGTGGCTTGCAGCGGATCCTGATTCGCACAGGTCGCTATTCTGAGCGACTTCGCTTTTTGATCATATCCAAGCCAACCCCAGCCAGAGCCCTGAATTGCCACAGTTGTTTCAGATAAACGTTTTTTCAATTCTTCCAAACTGCCAAAATCCTTCTCAATCTGTTTCACCAAGGTGGCTAGGACAATTAATAGATATATCAATATATTACAGTTTTAAAAAGGCAATTTTAAAATTCTCTGATACATATATTAATATTTAAATTTGATGTATTTTTCCCTATTTTTTATCTTTAAGAAAAATAAAATTTCACAATTTTTAAATATCATATTTATTTGAAAGAATCTTTTACAGAGCTATTTCTTTAATTTCATATATTATTTGAAAAAATTTTTTAAAACTTAAAATCTTAAAGTCAACATTAACTATATATTAGAGACTAATTATGATTATACACTATAAAATTTAATTAACTGAGAATTACAAATATCATCATTTAAATCATTAAAAGGTAAAATGTGATAGATTGAATCTTACAGCTTCAATCTAATACAAACTTTAAAAAGAGAGAACTCTGCAAAGATACACATTTTTAAAAATTACTTCCTATTTTCATATGAAACAAATTTAATTCACTTAGTATTTCTTTTCTATATATGTGTCCAAAAATTAATTAATTGATTATATTCATTTTTCTCATTATTACCATCTGGATCACCACCACAGGGTGAAAGATTACACCAGAAGATCGAATGATTGATATGACCACCACCATTAAACTTGATGGCTGGGGCTAGAGCGATTTGTGTATTGACGTCACCTTTTGCAGCTGCTTCCTTCAACTTCTCTTCAGCAATATTCAAGTTATTGACATATGTTGCGTGATGTTTGGAATGATGAAGCTGCATTATTTCTGCACTTATGATGGGCTCTAGAGCTTTATAATCATACGGTAAATCTGGAAGCGAGTGCTTTGATCTCACAAATATGTCCTTGCTGTAAATTGCATTAACCACTGTTAATATTGAATTATATTGTTTATAAGAAATGTAAGATATATAGAAAACATTTAGTATGTAAAAAATAGATACACATAATAAATGCGTTTTTTAATTTTCAAATGTTCATTATTTCTCATTACAATTATAATATAATTTGCAATTTATCGAAGATGTAATTATCAAAAAACTATACTTAAGAATGCACATAAAAAATTGATTACAAGCTCTAGATAGACAGTTTAATTATATATCGATAAGCGAATATAAAATTTATTTTTTGAAACATTGTATTGTTCGTTTGTTTGAAAAACGGAACATTTCTTTAAATAAATCATACATAAATTTTTGCCGGTCGTGAATAAATGCACAAGAAAGACATCTAGAATCTAAAAGTAAATTATTTTTTGTTTGCATGATTATTCATTGCGCATCTTGTTTGTCAATCTTATTTCATATAAATTGCTGACATACATATCATTCTACATAAATTATTAACGATTCACACACAAATGAAAGCTCGATGCAGATAAGAAATATATCGGTGCAAAAATATTGAGGTTATATATTAGGTTAGAAATATTACATAATACGAAAACAAGATCGAATGTTAAGCGATATTGGTATATTTACATTGTATTGGAGACGAGAATACGCCTTACTGCAAACATGATGGAAAAAATAGAAAAGTGGACTTTATTTTTGAAAAATAATTCAATGATTCCTCTTGACAGATCTATTTGGTTAGTCTTGGTTTTTATTACAAACTGTTTGCGTACACGAAGTATACCACGCTAGTAGCGCAAACTACTGGCAAACTACTTGCCGAATACTTGCGATACCGACTTTTGCAATATCGCATTATCCATAAATGCGACCAACGTAGAATGGTAGAAAGATTGTGAATCGTGAAGCAAATTCTACCGCGCGCGCGGGAGACGGGAGACTCACATGCATGCGTAATGTCACTGTCATGTGATCGATATAAGCAGGCTCGTATCTAGATATAATTGCACCGTATAAAGGATCATAAATTCTCTATTGTTTTTTTTAATATAAAATATTTTATATAAACATAAACTTATATCGAGTAAATAATTTAAATAATTAATGATGACTTTATGTGATTTAACCATATAAATATATTTTTAATATATATATATTTAATGATTTAATGATATAATTTAATGATTAATAATGATTTTAAAAAAAGAAGGCACCATAATTACAAAATATTGCATACGAAAAAATTTTATTTTCAGTGTATAATTAGAAGTTATTATTATATTTTGTAGTAGATTCTTAAAAGAAAAATAATGACATGATGTAAAAATTTAAGATGAAATACATATCGTACATATTTTTTACAATACTTTAATGTAAATTTATATATATTTAATATCTTTTATTTCTATGTGTGTTTTCTCTCCTTGAAAACGAAAATAAAAATATAAAAAAAGACAAATATAAAAAACAAACTTTTATGTATACTTTTATACATATAAACTTTTATATATAAAATATTATATCTCACACATAATTTCATACAATTTTTTTAGGAAATTATAAACGTAAATTTACATACTTTATATAGTTTTTTAAAAGATTAGAAATTTTTAATATATTAGTTTTATATATTAATTCTGTAAATTCAATTTATATATATATATATATATATATATATATATATATATATATATATATATGCTTTGCTAAAAAAACTTACATTTTAAATAATTTATATATTTTCTTTTCTTTCTTTTACTCTCCAATTATTAAATAAAAGAGCAATAAACACATACGCATGATTAATATTGTCTTATGCCACATAAAAGTATATATATACATTGGAATTATTACATATATAATTTAGATTTAGATGATGTGTTTTCATTTATATATATCTAAAAGTAATGATTATTTATTTGTTTACTTAAAATATGGTCAGGCGTTTTTTATTAATTCTTGACAATTTTTTGTATTATTCATTTTTACTGATTAATCAAACTTTTACTAATTTACATAAAATGTTGTTACAAGAAATTTACAAAATATAAATAAAGTCTGATTGTGTTGGTTTCTTTTACAGCATCTGGCTGTTATAAATCATAAGCCGATAATCAAATTTATTTGATATATCTGTATAATATAATTTGTAACTTGGTCATATGCAAATAATTTGATGTAATTATAAATTTCAAATTTTATACTAATCTATTATTACAAGAATATTTACAAGTTTGTTAATTTTTAGAAACAATATTAGCATTTGAAGTTATTACCAATACAGGTACTGAAATTACGTTTCTTTCTTTATGGCTTCGTTTATTCGAGCATTGTTCTATAAACAGCCAACGTTGCGTTAATTGAAAAATTTTGTACACAGGAACGAGAGAAAACATATAAAATCATATCGCGAATTTTCGCCACATTTTGATTGGATATAATTCAAAATCAAACCTAAAATATCGTTCATTCTGGGTCACTTTGTAGAGTCTCACCATTAGTTAAAACTAATGCATCATCATCGCCTTCATTATAATCGAGAGAAAGAATACTTTCTCTACGTTTCTTCTTGTGCGTCCTTTCATCATCACTACTGGCTGCACTTTTCTCCCTCTTTGTCCTGTCCCTACCCCGCGTTGTTCGCGTTAGCACCTCTTCCCCGTTTGATTTACCACTATTCCTATTGTGACTTTTACTCCTTAATATTCGTTTGTTCCGATTCTCCTCGTGCTCCTCTTCTCTATCACTGAGTTCTTCATTTTCAACCTTAATAATTAATGCCGCGGAATCGCTAGAACTCTCGTCATTGTGATCGGCTTGATTAAGTTTTCTTTCTGCACGTTCTGTTCTTTCGACACTAGTAAGTTCACTCTGGGGCGACGTTAACGGTGGAGTTCTTACACCTTTGCACATATCACTGTCCTCCATTGGTTTTGGAGGTTTTGTATCTGGTGCAATTTCTTCTGATTCCTCCTTTTTAATCGGGGGCGTATGGGGTGATAAACCATTCGATAAATTATTCTCATTTGTATTCGCCTTTAATGCTGCATTTTCCTGTTGTAATAGTGTGACGGATTCTCGAGCCTTGCGCAATTCTTGTTGTAAGAAGTAAATAGTACTCTGCATACCTTCCACGTCTTCATCTAAATCCTGTAGAAACTCGTCCAATTCTGTAAAATGAAAAAAAAAATGTTCAAGATCTATAACGCTTTCCAATATATAATATTCAAGACATTTCAATTATAAAAAAGATTCGATTTTAATTATAATAATTATAAAATTGCTTTACATAAGGTAAGTTATAAATCAATAAATATTTAATAAGATACCTGATTGTGACTTTTTGACTTCTTCACTGAAACTTTTTTGTAAGGCAAGTTCGCCTTCCAACTTAGCGATACGTCCACTAGCAATCATACGACCAAGCTCTTCATTTTCTTGATATAATAATCTACATTTGGCCATTAACCTTTTCCCTGTATTACTGTAAGTAAAATATAATTAGTAAGAAAAGCACTACATATATTTTATTCAATACATAAATACTAGAGAAACTTTTTCTGACCTGTCTGGTGTAAATTTCCAAGCGCTTAGCTCATTTTGTGTATCCTCTAATTTACCCTTGGTCGTTATTAATTCTTGTCTTAATTTCTGTATCAATATATTAACAGCTGGATCTAACAGAGCAGACCTTAATGCAGCTGCGGACGGAGCTTGGGTGGCTTTCATTTCAGTAATTTGATTCTAACACACAGAAAAAGTCTTTTTTTATTTATAGGTTTACATAAAAATAAGTTTTGCAAGATAAATTTTACTAAAATTTCAGTATATCTGAAAATGTTTACATACAATATATTCTTGCAATTCCTGCTCTTTAGAGGCAAGCCTTCTTACTAAGATCTTCTCCCTGTGAGATGCTTCTACATATTGTTGTCTGTATTTGTTTTCGGATTCTCTCAATGAAGCTAGATCACCTATAAAGGAATAGTCTATAAATTTTTCTACCTCTAGAATTTCAATATCCAATGGCATCTATGTGTTTCTCAAAATTTTAATATATTTATGACATATATATATTCAACACAATATATCTCTTTCAAGAAAAATATTTCCTAAAATACTAAAATTATATGTTACATTTAAAATGATTACAGTGAACTAATGGAATATATTTCATAGAGGAAATATATAATATGTTTATATACATATATATAATTATTGAACCTATTTTAAGCTTGCAATAGTTTATCTTGTTTGAAAATTTAGTTATTAGTTTTATCTATTTTATTAAAATTTTTTTAAAAATTATTTTTTTTAAGTGTTTTATGTAAATTTAATTTTTTGTTTTATATAAAATTTAATTTTCTTATAAATAAACAAGATACTGTGATATGAATATAAATAAGATATGAGATATGAATAAACAAGAAAATATAAATTTAATTTTTATAAATTCTGATTTAAATAAATAACATTTATATAAATATACACAAGGCTTAATTCTTGTTAATTTTCGTAATTTTATAAATTATAAAAAGTAAATCTATTATTAGCTATATTTCTATAAAACATATTTCAATAAGAAAATTTTTTCTGTTTAATGTTTCTGAAAATAATTAAATTTTTAGTTATAATAAAAAATAAAAGAATTAAAATTTATTATTATAAAGAAATGTAAAGTTAAATATATGTTATTAATTCTATTGTAATAGAACTTCTATTGTAATAGAACTTTTTTTTATCAATAATCTCGTCAATAATATATTTAAAAATATTTAAAAAATGTCTCTTTTGTAGCTATAACTGCAAAAATTGAAATCAATGATAATTTTCTATTTTCTGAACATACACATTTATATAATGAAAAAAATATGAATTTATGAACCACATAGAGTGCTTGAAACCTTGGACTATAAATGTATTGTATTTGTGTGATTATGTAAAATATTTTGTATAATTTTTATATGTAAATATACATGTATAAAGAGAGAAAAAGTTTTTGTTGGAATTAAATGTGTATTGGTGAAAAATTACTATTTGTAATTTTAACCTAAGTGCGCATAAATAAACTATATACTTTCATAAGTATGTGACAATGACTGCCTGACAACTGACATTGTTAACTAGCGCATACTTTGATTTTGGAGCTCGTTGCGATGTGCCATTTGTGAGATTCTCTGTACTTCCACCAAGACCAAGAGTGGATGTTACTTTTCTTCCGCAAGAATCAAGCATGTACTTGTTGTAGGCACAGATGTTGTAACAAGACGCCGGCCGGGCTTAATTCACAGGTTTGTACTTTTGAGAAATTCGTTTCTGATATCCGGACATTATGGTGCAGGTATAAATGCATGCACACAAGTTGCATTCATAGTGAGAATATGTAGAGGGATGATTGGTCTAGGAATACAATTAATTAAAAATTGCATTATCTAATTGGGAAAAGGTTCAAAAACAAAAGGTAATATATAAAAATATATAGATTTGAAAAGAAGAGAATGGGGAGAGAGAGCAGATGGATAAGATTAGGTAATAGTGTTCCAGTTTTGGTAACGGCGAATGTTGTGGTTGCGTACTTCACCGAGAGATTTAAATTCACGCACCCCAAAATGCAGTGTTTTGGCCAAAGGGTGACATGGATCCATTCTTATTATTCCTCTGAGTTGTAAAGTCAGCGTCCTCATAAAAACGCTGTGCTTTTCATCTCATCATTGTTAAGTAGAAACTCGGTATTTCGAATTACACGCGCGCACACACTTGTCCTGTATTTGGCGGTATAATTATTACACTGCAGAAGTATACGCGATACACTGCACAGGCACTTATAAAGTGTTATTTTGGACTAGACGATTGTGTCTTCCACAATATTGATGGTAGACACATTTTTTGCAAAGAAATGGACGTCTCTTGATACACATGAACACTTGTTATTTCAGCCATATTCACTTTTACTCGCTAACTACGCTTTTCATGGCTGACAGTGTAACTGCTCACAGAAAAATTTAGTATGGATATATCTTAGCCTACAAATATATCCCAGCTTTTTGCATATTATATATATGGCTATCACTCCACCTATGCTCACAGGTACCTTAAGATTTTTGTGTTTTATGTCACTATACATATGAATCTAATTTAATTATCCACACTACACATCACAAATGCTGTTTCAAAAATTAATATATAATCGAATATTGCTCAACACTACATTGCATATTATAAAACGCAACATTATTTCAGTTTTATATCTTTCTAATACTTGTGCAAATATAACAATCTGACTGCACATGTACTGAGCTTTTTCATAAAGAGTGAAAAAATATTTTATACCTACAGTGTATTACTTATTTACTAAAGCTTTTTCATTATCTTAACCCTATAAACAATTTAGTTATAGTATCCTAGACACTGATCTAATGAACCCTATGCTTAGCGTCCCTATGAGAGTCTTGTCTTTTATAAAAGACCGTTGTGTTCTGGCATTCGTTAATTCGCTTAAGATATGTGGTGAGTGAGGTGGTCTCACTCGTGTGATCTCAGTACCTTCCTGAGCTGCCGCCTGGGCTTCTAGACACTCCACATACAAGTCCTGTTCATGCCATTTGGCTGCTAGCTCGTCCTTTGTCAAGTTGTCCAATTGTTGCTGAGTAAGCTTCAAGCGTCTTGGTTGCCTAGGGGAATGCGGGCTACTGGGTTTTCCACTGATGCTATTGCTCTGAGGACTCCTTGGTGAGGATGGTCCTGCCGACTTCACTTCGCTGCATTCATCTGCCATTTCACTGCCAATTTGTAGCAGTTGGGATGTTGATATGCAGAAGAAGCCTTTATCGAGCTTTATGAGCACAAGACCTTGTGTTCATTAATGTTACAATGATGATTGTACCACTGATCAAATATGGTGATGCAGTTGGTGTTAGGAGATATTCATCTAAGACAGAAAAGTGTGACATAATTAGTATCAAGCATCACATAAATGAATTTTAAAACTATTTGTAAACTATTCCTTACTTGAATTATGTGATATAAATAATATTTTGTTAAACAAATTACTTTATTTGTATATATTAATTTATTTGTGCATATTTTTATTAAGAATAAATATTTTAAAAAATAATTCTGTAAAGCAGATATGCATTATCCTAAGATTAATTTCAAACATATGATATATTTAACATTGTGGGTGTGTGTGTATATATATATCTGATTTATATTAACCTACAGATCACTTTATTAAATATTTATTCACATTGCTATTGAAATTACTAGCATGTTTATACATTTATGGAATTAACTTATGATTTTTTGTCAAAATTATAATATATAAAAATACATGTGTCCTTTTCTTTTCCAATCGATTCAACAATGTGTATGATACACGCAAGTTACATTAAATTATTCCTATTTGAAAATATATATCAGAATCAAATTGATTGATACACATTCGTAATAAAGCATAACAAGCACGCGCGTAATAAATTGCTATAACAAGCTAAGATGACATGAAACTCTGGAGAATATTCTCAAGTCACGTGAATAGTCGCGAGAATCTATCGTAGTGGCAATTAAGAAAGCGGAATGCATGTCTCCGGCAGAAGACAGACTTGTGACGCCATTACGTCGACATGTCTGCCACGAAGGAGCATTTACGCTCGAGCATTCTTTATTTTTTTTTTTTTCACTTGTGCTTCATCTCTTCCTTCTTTTCCCTCACTCTTCAAAGGATCAAATGTCACGAGATGTAGATTTCAATAACTATTCGTGAACTTCGAATCGCGGATAAGAATGACAATTCGCGAAGCTAATTCATCGCGATCGATTTTCAGTCATCGCGCTTTCTCCAAAATTGTTCTCGCCTAAAATCTTACACCTACCTATCTATCTCATCCGTTAGAATCAGACAGAGGTGTTTCTATTATAAAGATGTTCGCTCGGTATCAGAAGAGAGACGAAAACCGTAACATCGTGCGCACGTACAAGATCTTACATCCGTGGAAAAAGCGCCAAACGGATTCTCCGCGTGCGGCGAACAGAACTTCTCTCTCCCTCTCCCTCTCTCTCTCTCTCTCTGTCTCTTCGCGATCGATCAATCCGAGCGGAACCGAACGCACGAGGAAACGTGTAGTTCGCGGCCAAAAGCTAGCCGCGGTACTTTGACATACGACGCCACATATGAAGAAAAAATCAGACGCGGAAACACCCCGGAAAAACGCGCGATACACTCGTCAAGAACGCTGCGACTAATCATGAATGACAATCACCTCTCCGCGATCCCCGAGAGGAGCGAACGAACGCGTGCCAGCGCATGCTCCAATCATGATCGACCTACAACCCAATACATACATACACCGGGTTAGTAGTATTAACACTCGTGACGGGAGACGAAAGGATAAGCTCGCGCATGCGCGTCAGCCCTGAGAGATGTCATGGCCTGCTTTTGGTGGTCCCTAGAGAACCTCTAGGAGAGAGAATGGACAACTGATCATGTGACATGTGATCAAGCTTTTTCATGATTGGCTGGCAGAAAATGTATCAATTTTAGCTATTGCGACGCCAATGCAAAATATGATACACACAAATAGGTTAATATATGTGTGTCATGTGTGTCCTATTTGTGTGTCATCATATTTTGCATTGGCGTCGCAATAGCTAAAATTGATACATTTTCTGCCAGCCAATCATGAAAAAGCTTGATCAGTTGTCCATTCTCTCTCCTAGAGGTTCTCTAGTGGTCCCTGAAAGCGATACTCCCTCTATGAACATTAAAAACGTGGACATGAACTACAAAGCCAATGTCCATGAATGTTCTCAGAGAATAATATATAATGTGTACAATTTCGTTAAAAATGTTTTAATGAAGAAAAAAAGTCATTATTAGAATTGGTATTATTATTTTTATTTAAAATTTATAAATATGGCAATGAATATAGAAAAATATTTATTTCATCTTTGAATTTACATTACATTGAAAGATTACAGTATCTTTCGCGATTGAATAATTTATTTACTATCAATTTATATACATAAGTGTTTTGTTATACTCTGATACTACCGGCATTTCATGCACATAGCGCGGAACGAAACCAGAAATTGTGCATATTATATATTATCCTCTGAGAATATTTATGGACATTGGCTTTGTAGTTCATGTCCACGTTTCCAACGTCCATAGAGGGAGTATCGCTTTCAGGGATCACCTAAAATCAGGCAATGACATCTCTCAGTCTTCTCTCTGTCATAAAAGTACATTCTTGATTTTTTCCGATTAGGAAATCTGTCGATGTTGGTAGCACTAGAAGCAGCGCGAATGTTGACTAATTTCAATTCATTTCTTGGCGCCATTAAATAAAGTACGCGGCACTTGCTATTTCGCTTAAATCCTGAAAAAGATAATAATAGTGTTTCACAGTTATACGTCGTTATACATAGATACTTTTCATCTACATTTCAATATGGATTTATTCATTTGCAACAAATGCTTCATCCCGATATACAGAGGACATCGGCCGTACAACATTACACAGTGCGGCCACATTTTCTGCCAGAAGTGTACGCAACAAGGTAAATAATAAAATTAAGAAACGGTATCACACATACACAGAATTTAATATCCATAATTATAATTTAATTTAATTTCTGTTACAGTGGAAAGGCAGTGTCCACGATGTCAATATATCAGTCCCGCATATATACCGTTAAAAGATCTGATGCCTACAACGATCTCGTTTTTTGAACCTGTTAACGAAATTTGGGATATGCTATCAAAAGCAGATAATTTGCGAACTGAACAGATGAAGATAATAATGCAACGCTTTCACGAAATTGTATATCATCTATTTTAAAAATCTAAATATATTTTAAAAATTTAATTGTATATCATCTATTTTATTTTTTTATGCTTCTCATGCAATTTCTTATCATAGCAAACACACACACACACACATAATATACATATACATGTATATATATTTTTTATATAAATATCATATATACATACATGCACGCATACACACATATGCACGCATATATATATATATATATATATATATATATATATATATATATCTTAAATATAAATATATAATATACAAATATGGACACACATACACATATATATTTATATTATATATTTCTTATAGTTATATTATCTATATTTCTTTGATCTTATCTTTTTAATAACACACACAATTCTCTCTAATAATTGTGCCATATCTTTTAAGGAAGAAAAATATGGGAAATTAAAAAGTGATATGCCTCAAGTTCAACATAATTTTAAAATATTAAGAGAAAGATATATAAATCTTAAGAACGAGACGGAAAAAGCCCGCAAAAAGTTATTACAAATGCAAAATACATGCAAAATGCAAAATAATCAGCAATCTGTATTCTGCAAAATGAACGCACCGAGAGATTCCAATTCTACTCGTATACATTTGTCAAGTACAGGGTAAATACAAAAAACATATATTAAGCTATATATATTTTTCAATAATTATTATTATATAATATAATAATTAATATAATAAATTATAATATAATAATATAATATATAATAATATAATATAATGGTTATTATTATATTATTATTATGAACGAAAAATATTAAAAGATCTGAATAATGCGATACTTTATCAAACATTTTCTTAATGCATTTATTTCTTATTTACAGATGTGCCTCAACATCAGTGAACTCTTCGGAATTTTCTAATGCGATACCTAAATATCAAATCGATGCGGATGGGTTTCGCGTACCCAATCCAAAATCCGGTAGTTCTCTTTTTAAAAAAGATACGAATTCAAATTACAGTTTCATGAAATAATTTTTCTTTGTGTTTTTCTTTCTTTATATATTTATATAATCTAGAATTCATTATATTATCATACTTAAGTTGTACATGAAGTAAGAACTAATAAGTTTTATTTACAGTTAAAAGAATAATAATCTAAAAATCAAAAAATATCAATAAATTTTTGTTGTGTATTAAAAGAAAGATCCTTATAATGTGACGTGTTTCACATTATATTAATTCATTCATATCATATTTATAATTCACTACATTATATTTCTTCACGCTTTTATTAGATTATTAATTCTACACACATATAAAATAATTAAAGTTAGAGTTAAATAGGAGTTCTGAATAACATGTAAAAATAGCAAAAATATTAAAAATATATTTAGTATTATTTAAAAAGGTTCGTATTTATTGTTGCTGTGAAATATTTTTCCAGTGAAATATTTTTCCAATCACTTTATCAGATTAATATTTTTCATTTTTTTATATTTAACTTATTATGATTTTTTCTTTATTAAATTCGGTTTATTGATTTCAAAAAGATATATTTTTTACATTTCTTTTCGAATATGGCGGTTTTGCCACATTCTATCGATTAACCAATCAGGATAAAGGAATTTTTTTCAATTGGCCAATCAAACGTTACTCCAAGAAGAAAATTTTGGAACGCAATCCTGAAAGTACGATTGTTTTTTTTCGTAAGATATTTACTGAGATTTTCTATATCTATGGTTTACTATCGTGTTTGATTCAACGTGCTACTGTGTTACGTGCTAGGCACAATGGATGGAAGGTCTAAAACAATCCAAAAATAAAATAAGAAAAAGGAGAATTTCCGACTGAAGATTTTTGAATGTAACTCTATTTTTTAGTTGTTTTCTATGTGCGATATAATTAAGAATATTAGAATAATTTTAATACAAAAATTCTCTTTTTCTCGTACACAACCTAGGATTGATTAAGGCTATTTGATAGTAGGACTAAAAGCACATTTACCATGATAATGACGACCTGGAGGTTATTATTTCCTATTAATGGCATTAATTTGTCATGCACAAGGTAGTTGGTTTTCTATTATAAATCGTTATTTAAACATTTTTAAATTGATATATTACCATGCTTTAACGCTGTGAAACAATACATCTATCCATGAGATGTAATAAATTCTTAATAACATAAATTATGCGTTATTCAAATTTAAGATTATATAAAGATTAATTTGTGAATTTATTTCTTAAGTCGTCACAATTATTACTATTTTAAAATATGTTTTGATAAAGATTTGGATTTGGATTTAAAATATGTTTTGATAAAGACATTGGAGAAAATAGATATTAAAATAAGGAGGAAAATGTTTATAATATTTTATTTTTCAAATCTTTGTCTTTTATAGATGCAAACAAGTAAATAAAAAAATAAAAACTAAAATATTTAACATTTTGTAAATTATATCTAAATTTTTTAATTTTTTATTATAGGAGATTGGCTACTACACAAGATCCCATTGTATCCAAGCTTAAACGCAGTATAGAAAAAGATATTTTACCACCAAAACCAAAGAAGCCATTAAATGCATATATGCAATATTTTCTCTCTGTAAAAGACAAGCTTCACAAAGAATATCCCAATTATACACAGATAGAAATTATAAAAAAAGTAGCAGAACAATGGTCACAAGTGGATCCAACAATAAAACAGAATTTACAAAAGCAATATATGGAACAGAGCTCTGTATATAAGCAAAAATTAATGGAATATAAGAACTCAATAACCGATGATCAGCAGATGCTAATAAAACAAGAATTAATAAAAAAAGAGCATGCTTTAGAAAAAAGTCAAATTAAACAAGTATTTATATCAAGATTTTATATTAAAATCTGCTTACATAATATGTGATATTAATGTTTTTATTTCTGTGACAGAAACTTGCAGAACTTGGGAAACCAAAGCGGCCATTAACTGCCTTTGTCTTATTCATGCAAGATAACAAGATGGTCAAAGATCCACAAATATCACAGCAGGTAATTTTATTAAATATAGTTTATACAATGTTTTTTTACTAGCTGTTAGTATGCTAGTGTCAGCAGCTAGTAAAATTGAAATGTTTTAACTTGATTACATGTTAGAAAAAGAAATAACTACTAAATTTAAAATACAATATACTTTTTTACTAGTTGCTAACAAACTAGTATGTTAGTAGCTAATAAAAAAACATTGCACAAACTATATTTTATTTTTTAAATAATTAAGTATATGCAGTATATAAAGAAAAAACACTTTTATTTGTTTATGATAATCATAAAAAAAAGGTAGAAAAGTAATATATAATCTTTTGTTTTTTGTGATATATTTGTAGGATTGGATGAAGAATATGAGTAATGAATGGAAAAATTTGATAATAGAAGATAAAAATAAATATATAGCAAAAGCAGCACGATTATCAGAAAAATATAAAATTGAATTAAAAAATTGGGAGGAAAATATGATTCGAGAAGGTCATCAAGATTTGCTAAAGTCAACTTTAAAATCTAAACGCAACACCGCTATTGATAAACACAAAGAATAGGATTCAGAGTGCCCCAGCCAATCTATTATGCAAATTCCTGAATCCATTGCTGCAGATTTCTTTAAAGTTAGAATTCGAAACAAAGAGAATATTAAAACAGGTTGGGGCACTGATACACAGTATACACTTGGAAGTATTTCTGATATTGATAATGGTAATAGAAAAATCATTAGCTTAAAGATTTTACATAATTATTAAAACTATAAAATATTTATACAATTTTTTTACAACTTGTTTAGATAAACAATATAAATCTACAAAAAGCTTGGTACTTTACAATGACAAAAACAATTTACGAGATATAATGAAATATTCAACAAATACAATGGATACATTAATAAGCAACACTGATGAATCAATAATGCATCCTCATAAATCACATACACAGATATATAAGATATATTTTGCTTCTGTATGGCAAAGATTTTTAACACTCTTGAAAGAGTGTACTAAAAATTGGAAGATGGTAAGAGAATATGTATTTATTGGTACAGGTGGTATTTTAATATCAATATTTTGCGTTTTTAACCTTATGTATAAGTAACTTGTTTGTATATTGAAGTTATTGGGATATAGCACGCATTTTTTCGTATTTTTATATATTATATAGTTTATATCTTGTATTATATATTTTCTTTATATAATAAATTTGTGTGTATATTATTATTACTTATGTAAATATTCCTTAATTATTATCAATTAAATCACCCTTAATTGAGGATTATTTTGAGAAATCCATCTCAAATATTAATATTTTAAATTTTGTTCTTGAATCATACATATACTAACATTTCATTTCTTTCCCTCTGCTTTTTTATAGAAATTTACACTAACCCAAGTGGATTAAGTGTTACGACGATGACAGCAGCAACATCTCATGGATTAGACTATCGACATTTTATATATCATTTAAATATACTGACAATTGTGCGAGTTATCTTGAAACAAGTACGAGTTTATTTTAACAGATCAACTTATGTATTTTAATCTCGCAGTCATATATTTGTATTAAATTTACAAATTATAAATACACAATTTGTATTGGTGTGTATGCAGTCCATAGTGATTCAAATCACTTTTCCATTCGTCACGTGATCTATTTTAGTTTGTCACTTCTGCACGGCGCTAAAAGTCATCCTCTAACCTCATTTTTCAAAGAAGCGTATTCATCTGTTCCTATGAATATCCATAAACCTAAACGAATATAAATTAGTTTTATTTTTATTTAATCTTTAAAGCTCTTTTTGATTGATGCACAATTTATATGAGTGCATATTAAAAAAGGAAGTTTATCATCATTCATTGGATGTAATTATTATATATTATGGCTGAAACTAATACCAGGAGAGAAGCAAGAAGACGACGAATCTTGGAAAACTCAGAAAATCGTTTACGTAAAATTACAGCGAGCAATAATGCAAATAAAATTAAGGGTAAATATAATGAATTAGTTAAAGAAAATCAAATATATGTGAAAGCAAATGTAAGATATAAAGAAAAGTAATGTTCCAAATTTGTGAGTAATTATTCAAATAAATAAAATAGACCAATAAATATAATAAATTTTCAAAACACACATGTATGTACATGTATATATTATATTGGAAGAAACATTGCGCATGAATGCTTGAGGTTTTCTTAGCTAAGTACATGCTTTAGCATGCTATAGCATATTGTTTTGACTTTTACATATTATTTTATCATATAAACAAACAGATATCATTTTGAACATTTATCATTAGATGACAGGTTACATTATACATTAATGATAAAATTATAAAAAAAATTATGTAGCAACTACAAATTGAAACCATGTTTAAATTTGATTTCATAGATAGTATAATAAACCATTATATGCATTTATAAATTGAAATAATGAGCTTGATCCATATTATATCTTAAAAAGAAATGTATTTTCTAAATTTATGTATGCTATATATATATATTAGAAATACAAAAATTTTTTCTGTGTTTATTTATTTTCACATAACACATATAGATGAATTTTTGGCTTGGATTGATATATTTAACAAATATTTTGCAGATGATAATCCACAAATGGAAAGCAACAGTTTTCTTAAAACAGAAGCTGATTTGGAAGAGTATAATATTAGAAATGGTATCTGTAATATCGATAAAGAGATAGAATCACAAGATTCTACAAGATTCAAAGATGATAAACATGAAAATTTTTTAAATGATACTAGTGATAGAAGTACATGTTTATCAGAACAAATATCCAAGCCAAAATTTATGTTACACAGATTATTATTCAATCGAATTAATTTTATTCTGCTAGCTGGGATTGTCAACATTTTACTAATGTTGAAATTAGATAATTTTTTTGGGCAGGTAATCTCATTTAATAACTTGTTAAAATATTCACATTCATAATTTACATATGTCGTATTAATATATTGTATTAATATATGTTGTATTAATATATAAATAATATATATAATTATTCTATAAATTATTTATTATTACAGGCAATTATTATACCTTATTTGTTGCTGATGACGGGACGTCTATACAATTATACAAGTTTACTTGAAACACAAGACAGCAATTTACTATTTGCTGTTTTGATATTATGTAATATCCAACCAAAATTAATTTATAGATTCAAAATATCATTTGCATTATTTACTGTAATACTTCATGATTTTGGGTTGTACATGTTCAGTTTTGTATTAATGCGCTATGTTATTATCTATTACTATAATATTGCAATATCAATAAGTGTATAATTATTTATGATATCTAAATGGAGGAGAAAAGATAAAATGGAATTCCATCACAGAAAACTTTGTATAAAAAGAAAGTAATAGAAATATGTTTAGAAAAATATAAATATGTGAAAGCAAAGCATCAATTTTTTTTAAGAATATATGTGTAATATAAAACATTTTTATACATAGATTAATTTGTAGAAATATATATATATATATATATATATATATATATATATATTTGTGTATATACTGTCAATGTTTTTATCTATCTCCGCCATTGTTAAAGATCTCTGTCCAAGTTTAAGAACTTTGGTGATATTGTATGAAACTAAATATGTAAATACATTGTACACAAAGCTTACCACTTTATTAAAAATATAAAATTATTATCAGAAATATACTGAGAAAGTATGTAGATACAAAAAAAAAATAAAAGATAAAATACACGAAAGAAGTTAAATGATCGTAATCTTACATGAATACTTAAAAAAAATTTTTTTTATTTTCTATCATATAAGCAATAAATGTGACATACATTTTATCGGATATGACATCTGATATAAAATTTAAATTGATTTAGAGAACTGTATAATGAAATAATTACTGGAATAAGCTTTCTGGCTTGTTTTGTCCTCTGTTGCAGAGTTTTTGAAGAATTGAAGAAATTTATTTGATTTGCACTCTATTTTCTGCACTTTGAAATAAGGTATATATTTAAACACACACATAGCTATATATAATGATATATATAAGACCGTAATATATATATCACAAATTGAAAATTAAAGAGAAAAAGAGTAGAGTGTAAAAAGTGCAAGCAAAACGAACACTAAATACTATTCTATTTATGTCAACAAATCACTAATGTTAAATGCGTTAAAAAGGTGAACAGGTTGTGTTGATTAACTAACACTTTTAACTCAGTGCTTAATAATTATTTTTTAATTATATGATAGCAACAATATAATATCATATTTGCATATTATATATGTCATGTAACTACTTAACCTAAGAAATTATATGTCTAGTTCCTGAAGATTAAGAAAATCATTTGAAAAAATACGAGATAATTAAATCTTAAATCTAAAATGTGCAATTTAAATAATATCTTTATATATTAATTCACACAATTCTCGATTGAAATATTGATTTATTTAATTTATAACATGTGTTATACCACATAATTTAAATAAGAAAAATAAAATGATTTTAATCAAATAAGTTAAATAAACTAATAAAAAAATATTTTAATTTCTAAAAAAATTACTATTATAAATATACTATATACAAATATATACACATGAAATATTCAGGACGAATATAAGAAGTTATGACAGACTATATTTATGAATGAAAAGTGTTATATAAACAAGTATCTCTGTCCTACTGTCAATATTGTTAATAATTACAATTACATTTCTAAATTTTGACTGTTTTGTTAATAAAATCTTATATAAATAATGCTTTATTACACAATTCTTGTGGCTGCTTTTATTATATTAAGAGCCACTTTGTACTAATGTAACTAAGTAAATGTTGAGTTTTTTTATAATTTTTTATTTGAATTATCTACTTTGATTTTAGATTTTTGTATGCCATTGATATAATATGTAGATTAAATATTGTATATGTTAAATATAATAGATAATATATATACTGACAATGAGGTATATATAGCGCATTATAAAATTTATATCTTTATAAGCAACAAAAATTAAGAATAATATTTTAACTTAGTTAGAAAGTATATATAGAGCTAAATTTTTTATGCTTTATATATTATAATCTTGCAAGAAATTAGTTACATATACCTTTAAATACATTGACAATTTAATATAAATTTTAGGACTGTTCATATAAAACGTATTGCATTTTGTATAATGAATGTATTAGAACCAGAATTAATTTGGGTTAATGGACACTGCTATAGATTTTATGAAAGTAGTGCCTGGAAAAATATTGATACATCAGTTCCCTACATGGAGGACAGAGAATCAGTTTGTTCAGATGAGGAATCTGAAATTAATATAGAAATAGTACCTCACAATGGGCGCTTCAAACATACCTTCTATGTACCCAAGTAAGAATTTCCACAAATATATACTTTTTTGCCATTTTGATATAACAATCAAAATTTAAAGTCAAAAGTAGTAGCACATATAATTGAACATGTAGTTAATGATATATAGCAATAGAATATAATAATAATTTATATTAGTCTAATTTTAATATTTTAGAGTATACTATTCGTATATAATTGGTGCAAAAGGTATGACACATAAAAAATTGGAAAATGAGACAAAAGCAACTATAGATGTACCAAAAAAGGGAAAAAATGGAAATATCGGTAAAAACAATTCAGATTATATTCTTGTGTATCATACAGAATAATAATTAATTCGTTCTAAATCTTTTTATATTTCTATTATTACAATTTTTAAATATTAAATGTTTATCTATAGTTATTACTGCATCAGATCGTAAAGCTGTAGTAGCTGCAAGACATAGAATTGACTTACTAATGGAAACTTCAAGAAAGAAAATACCTTATACACATTTTTTATCTATTCCATTGAATAAAAAGGAAATAATGGATAATTATAATTCTTTTAAGAATGATGTATTGGAAAAGTATGACAAAACTACATACAATATTGATAAATCACTTTTCCAAACACCATCTAAGTTACATCTCACTATTGGAATGCTCAAATTACTTGATGATAATGAAAAAAAACAAGCTATTGATGCTCTCATGAATTGTAAAGAGAAAATCATAGAGTAAGATAAATATCAACTTACATAAATATATAACAATAGTAATATTGATCATACAATCCTAAATTGCACATATAATTGGTCATATAGTTAATGATATATAAATATAATATTTATGATATATTTATATGATAAATACAAGTATGTAATTATTTTTAAAAAGAATATTAATTGTAAATAATTTATTCTAGTCCTTTTCTTGGAGAAACTGAGCCAATAAATATACAATTACAAGGGGTCGCATGTATGAATGATGATCCCACTGAAGTTAAAGTTTTATTTGCACAAGTCGTGCAGCATAAAAAATTACAAGAACTTGTGGATAAAATTGCTGATTATTTTATCGATATAGGTAAAAAATATAGAAAGAATTAAATCTTTACATATACAATATTGTACAAATATTGAAATAATAATTATAATAATTTCTAACGACTACTATGGAACAATAATTATTATGAAATTTTTGAATATATTTTTATTGATATTAGCTCTTTTATGATATTTTGTTTACTATTAATTAATTTTTATTTTCAGGTTTGAAGGAGAAAGAATATGAAACAATAAAATTACATGCTACTCTAATGAATACATCATTCAAACAAGATTACCAAGCAAGATTTAAAGAAAAATTTAATGCAAGTGAAATCTTAAAAGTAAGAATATATTAGTATAAATTAAATTATATCGAAAGTCGATGATAGAAATTAATAATATTTATTCCATACTTTAGGTTTATAAAAATACGTTATTTGGCAAAACTATATTTAATCAAATTGATATATCTGAACTTCATACTGCTACTAAGGACGACTATTATAAAGCAATAAGCAGTATTACTTTTTAAGTGTAATGGGTATTATAATTGTTACAATAATTTTTATTCTAAAAAAGTAAGTTATTGAAAGATAATAATTTGTACATATATATATGTATACATATTATTTAAATATATATAATAATAATATTTTAATTATTTTGTTTTATTTTTATATGCAATAACATGGATGTTTTATGATTCTGATTTAACATGATGGATATTTTATGATTTTATGATTTTATGAAGATATAATTTCTCAAATAGATTCAAAGAAAAAATTAAAAATGTATTTTTATTTTTTATTTTTGTTATAATTATAATTAATTTAATCATTTTAAATTGTATTAATTTTCATTTGCTTAAATTTATTTTGTTACAAAAATAATCCACGATTTGAGATAAACTGGAATTAGACAAATGCGATAGTGCAACGAATCACTATACAAATGATTGATTTTATCTACCAAATATGGGTGACGCATACTTCGAGAATTCAAGCACATTAGTACTATTAGTAGTGAAATTGATAATCATATTTGTCAATACAACCAACGAATCAGACACTGCTTTGGTCGATTTCTAATTATGTATTTTCATTATCAAACTGTCAATAGCGTTGTTTTCATTAGTTTTCATCTTTATCTTCGTTAATCTCTAACCTCTTTTCCGTTAGTTTTCATTAGCACTAATTTTTATTTGGATTAAAGTAAGTATCGTAAATCATATTTCGAAATTTTACAAATCATGAATCAGTAGAGAAATTTTAAGAGAAAAATAATAGAAATATAATATTTTTAAATTTATAATTGCTATACCATACGCGATGCGCAATATAATTGTGTAAATGCGATACATATTTCATATAAGATTGCAAATGCTAAGATCGTAAATATTACAATTATTGATATTTCTAAGCGTTTAAAAGTTTGTAAAGAAAGAATAAGGGTTAATAAGAATAAGATAGATTTGTTAACTTTTTAAAAAGATAAAAGAGATAACCTCTTTCAAAAGAACACATTTATTTATTTACGAAGTTCAATTTGAGAAACATGAGAAAGTAATTTTTCTTGTAAATTATTTTCTATATATGCTCAATTTAATATAAATTTTTAGCATAAATTATAGTTTTGTGTATGTATATTATGTATATATTAATTACTTTTTAAATGTAAATATTTTCTTACTTTCTACTTTTGAATATAATCTAATAATCTATAATATACTTTTGAATAGAACATTCAGTAAGCGTCAATATTTATGCATTTGTACATGTATTAGCATTATTTGTAACGCATTGCAATATCTGCTTTACTAAATCATGATGTATATATTACATTTTGCACATATAAATAATTTCTGCTTATTTATTTTGCTTATTTCAACTAACACTAGTAGTAATATTGCCAAATTTATTTAACATTGGTAGGGGTAGCAAAAATGCATGGTATCAGAAGAGTGTTAGTTTTCTGTATATTGGTAGCTGTCTTACCAATCACGCTTATAGCAATTCCTTTGTATCTGCGGCATATTATTTATGCGGATGTTGCATATGCTGTGACAGAATCTGACATCATGGAAATCAACGATGGGATTTCAACAATATTTTGTTCAGTAAATATAAACATTTAATTTTTAATTGTCATTATTTTTATGATTTTATATTTTGTCATTAAAATATTTAACATAAAATGTATTGAAAAATGTATTAAAAAGTTTCAATTGAATATATTTAGTCTATGTGATAAAAGAATATATGGAATTAATACAAAATTAATAAGATTTTATAGATAATATATAATTATGTATGCAACAATAATAATATAAACAATTTAAAAAATATTTTTTCTCATAGGAACACACTTTACAAATGAATGGCACTTTTAATGCTTTTCAAATGACTCAACGACCAGAAATAACATCTAAACGAAAGCATTTAAGGTTAAAAAAAAGCATGAGTTTGCCAGATGATACATTAGAATATTGGGGATTTTATTTACTGAAAGGTGCAACTGTAACACTCTCTGTGTGTTCAAGGTAAAAAAAAATAATGTGAACTATTATATATGTAATAATTAAAGATATGATCTAAAAATACGATTTCCAATTTTGTTGAATGCAATGTATATAAACCGAAAATAAAATTCTTATTTAGGTTTCCAGGAGCCTCTATATTAGTGGTAAAAGGAGAAAGAAATCTACATACTTGTGGTTTGTTAGAACACAATATCAATAAGGAGCAAGCACCAAATATCTATTTACCAGGTGCAAATAAACAGGTTAAAGTAATATATGAATCAAATGCACAAGAAATTAATTCTAAAGAACCAACTATGGTTGAGCCTCTTAATATACGAACTACCAATATACACATATCAAATGTAAGCTCTGAAAATCCTATGGATGGGAATGAGAAGGTTCTTATAAATTACAATAATAATAATAATACATTATCGCATAAGTTTGACGAAAATTTGAAAGATATAGAGATATTATATAATACTGCAGCATCTTATATCAAAAAACATATAGATGATCAAGAAAGCATAAATAGCACTAGAACATTAAGACATCTTAGACGTAAGATGAGAAAGAACAAAAAGAAAAAAATGAGACAAAATAAAAAATATATAAAAGATCAAGATAGAAAATTGCACATACAAAAATTAAAACAAGAATTGCATTCTGATAAAATTGATGAAAAAGAAATGGTTGGACAGGAAATAAAAAATGAGATGGGCATCAAAAGATTTAAAAGAAATCGAGAACTTATAAAGCCACCATCTTTATTAGATCAAGGCATCAGGCATGGTGGAAATGCTAATAAAAATTTCACATCTAGTTCTAACGAAGATTCATCTGTTTCCAGTTTTGAAAGTAGCTTATTCAGTTGTTATGGAGGAGCGATATTGTTAACTCATGAATTTGAACCTTCAAATCAGTGTACTAATATTTCTTATTTGCTCAGTAGTAAACACGCACAAGCAAACCATCATGTACAAGAAGATGGTTACTATTATTACATTTTCTATAGCGATAACGATATTGTGTCCAATGATATTCATGCGATTTTTGATATATATAAGCCAACTTTTCAATACGAAAATGTGTCTAAATCATGTATAAATGCAGCTGAATGCTCATTTACTTTAAATCCATTGTCAGCAGATAGAATAATTGTTGAAATACCAACTAAGGATGGTATAGAACTTAATGAGATAGATGATACTAATATATTAATTTCTATTTGCCAGCCACGGATGGGTGCATATATATTTTTTCCAATTGCGATGTTAGTTTCAGTTCTTGCTTGTGCTTTTATATAAATATGGATGGATCTCTGATTTTAAAGGTATCTTCATAAAAAATGTAGAAATTTTTTATAATTAAGAAATGCTCATCAATCATGATATACAAATTATTTTGTGTTGAATTAAGTATAAATTTAAATGAACAAATACAAACAAATTTTAATGAAATGAGTAAATTTGATACAAAATATGAATCTAGAAAGAAATTATATTTTTGATCAAATTAGTTACTTAAGGTAAATAACAGTTAAAGTAAGTAACTTAGATTAGATAAGTTAGTTATATATACTTAAGTTTTTGAATTGATTCAAAATGTTACAAAACATGAGTTTAAAAGGAAACTATATTATGTTTTTAATCAAGTTAGTTACTTCAGATAAATAACTATTAAGGTAAATAACTCAGGTTAAATAAATTAGTTACTAAGTTTTTAGTTACTTAAAGATAAGATAAAAATTTTAAAATCTGTACTCTAATTTAAAAAATTAATCTTTCTTATTACTTGAATATAAGTATAAAAATCACTTTGCATTATTATTAAGATATGTATTCAAGTGATTTGAAGTAACTTCTATATAATGTATAAATTATACCAAGACTTTTCTCTTACCGAGTCTTTTTCTTAGAGATCATTTGTGTGGAAACATATTTTTCTTAGTGGAAACGTCAATTGAATCTATAGTTTTAAATTGCTATTTGAAAGTAAGAGTTTAGGGAAAAAATAAGTAATCATATTTTTTAGTTATTTTTAAATTGATTTTATTTTAATAAAATTATAATTGTTTTGAAGCTCTCTTGGTTGTAAAAAGGTACACAGTATTAAAAATTAGAAAATTGCAACAGATAATAATTTTTTTTCTCTAGAAAAATTGTTTCTAATTTGATTGAAAAAAAATTATGATTAAGGAAATATTTTGTAACTTTGAGAGAGAGAGAGAGCGAGAGAGATATCTGATGTGAGATTAAAATATACATTTTTGGAAGTTAATTCTTATATAAGTGTCGAGTATAATTGAGATTATAAAAATTTTTTATATTGCATATTTTCATAAATAGTATAAGTATAAAAAATATAGAATAAGATAGATTACACTGCGTTTATTATATTACTATATTCATATTTACTGTATATCATGTACGAGCTGTGAAAGAGAGAGAGAGAGAGAAAGGGGGATAATAAATATATATTTTTTAAATATGCAATTGTAATCACCTAATAACTTTATATTAGCATACCTATTATTTCATCAATTTTGTGAAATCGTATATTTATAAAGTGTCCGAATCCACACTGTTTTTTTATATTTACCGCGATAAAGCCCCCACTAGCGCCGTAAGACGCTTTAGTAGTACGTCATTTCCGTCATGCGCGATAATCAGTCAAGGAACGAAATGCCTGTAAAAATCCTTCATATAAGAAGGAAAGGCCGACGACGAGTCAAATCCACCTCGATGACGGTGGCTCGTAAAGCGCCAGCAATCAGCCTCGGTCGTTAGGAAGGCCGGTAACGCGCGAAGGCAAAGGACTTGTAATTCCGGTGCATCGACAGCAGCGCCTCACCGCGGCGGAAGCAGAAGTACATCTCGTGACGCCATTCAGATTCTTCCTTTCTGTCGAGCTCTCGCGAGTGAACATGTCGCATACAGCAGAACGAAGGTAAGTTGATCGTTTATTCCAGCGTAATCGTGAACCGGGCTCGCGTTTTCGCGCGCTCGACGACTCCCGCGACGACGGTGCCGTCGCGGATCCTGCGCGTCGCGAAATCGGCGTTCTCGCGAGTTCAAACGTAAAATAGTGTGCCGCGATCGGACGGTGTGCATGGGGCACACGAGATTGACAACATGGCGTGCATTCGTTTTTATCACATTGCCCGTCGCGAAGATTAACGGGCACGGGGCGCCCACATGTCGCCCGGTCGCGCTTTCGCCGCTTAACCTCCTCGCGGCGATTCCGCGGTTCCAGAGATCGCGCGAATCCATCTCGGAGCAAGTCGCGTGCGCGACGACGACGATGACGACGACGGCGACGACGACGACGACGACGACGACGATGATTCGACGCCGTGCCGTCTCCCGATGCCGTTAGCATGGACGAAGAAGGCTGTCCTTCGCCTCGCGAGGACCCGCCGCTCGAACACGTTTTCCCATCCGCGATTATATAATGGAATATTAGCGATTTTCGCGCCGAAAAATCAATCGACCCCAACGTCTCACGCGCCGTTTCCGTTGCTCGCGCGAAGCAACACGTCTTCCGTGCGTTTCGTTAAGCGAACACGCTTTCGCGTGAGTCACTGTCAAAGCATTCGAAGAGCGAGTTAATTTATCGCATCTTTCCTCGAGATACGGATTCACCGTTTATCCGGGCTAATTTGCCCGCTAGCTTACAAATGTAAAAATGTAAAAATGGCCTTGGTGGAATTTCGAGAGATGCATATTTCACAAGATCGATTTAAAAGTTCGGCTTTCAAGGTCACGTGGATTTAAAGTGATTTGTCATCACTCGATCGCCGTAACCGCGATATCAGTTTTGTATCGACGGAAAGTGCTCACCGACGCACACACCGATATTTTTATTAAAATATTTGATAAATCTACTGCGCGAGTTTTGATTGTACTCACATGGCGAGAGATAAGAAAACGACGTGATACATGTTCATCTATATATCCTTTTGCACTATAGTTTTTTCAGATTTACTTCTCTTTATATATATTTTAGAAATAATATTGTGCAATAGAATATATAACTGAAATTCTATATATTTATATATATATATTGTACATACATTAAGCACCTTTTGCAATTTATCTCACAGTTTAGATATCTAATATAGTTTATAATTTTATTAATATATTTCTACTTATTAATATTTTATGTATTATGTACAGAAATGATGATCAATGGCCAGGAGATTCGAAAAATGGTCCTAGTGAAAGCGAGCAACCCACGTACGATGGACCACCAGGAATGGATCCTGATGGTATCATCGAGTCCAACTGGGATGTTGTAAGTTTGCGTGATATTTCATAATTATAATATTCTAGATAATAACATTGCTTATATATTTGAGAAAGAAGCAATATATCATATATCAAACAAATTTGATGGTTTAAATTAGTATATTGATTATTTGATTGAAATTAAAGTAAATTGATATAAATTAATTTTAGTTTTTGCATCTGTTCAAAGTTACACGCATATATTATATTCATACATATTTATGCTCATTATTTATTATTATTAGTAAGGATAAAAAATCATTAGTTCAGCAATATTTATGAAAATTCAAATATTTATTAATTTGTATATATAAGAAAATTATTTTGAATGTCAATGTTGTACTTTATTAATTAATTCTATGTACAAACATGTTATATTATTTAATTTATTCTTAAAAACTTATATTCTTATAGACTTTCAGTATATATCTTATGCTTTTTGAATTTCTATTTAAAAATAAATATCTTTATATGATTCAATGTATTTTGAAAGTATTTTGAATTTTCTTTAAATAAAAAAAGCTTTTAGAAAGTTTTTAGAAAGTTAACAAATTTATTATATATGTGTCATACTAAAGTAGAGGCAATTAAATTTTATAAAGGATTCTTGTTAAATAATTTTTTGTCACATTGATTTATCTATTGAATTAATTATACTAGGGAGATTCAAATTTTAGATTTCTAATAATTATAATTTAGTAATTTTTTTTATATATGAAGCATTTTTTCAATATATTCTTTATTTTTGTGTAGTACAAGAATTCTTATAAACTGAAAGGATTTTTTTGGATATATAATAATTATATTTTATAAATTTATTGTGTATAATTATTACATTGTTGTCATAATAATTCTGTATATATTAGAAATATTATGATTTGCCAATTTTATTGATATTATATTTTAATTTAAATAGGTTGTGGAAAACTTTGATGAAATGAATTTAAAGGAAGAGCTATTACGTGGTATATACGCTTATGGCTTTGAAAAACCATCTGCAATTCAACAACGTGCCATCTTACCATGTATAAGGGGGCTCGATGTTATTGCTCAGGCTCAGTCTGGTAAGAAATTTTAGTGCAAAATTAAATATAATTAGTAATAAAAAAGTGTAAATGCTTGTGTATAAATTTTATTACACAAATTTATTACACATTTTATTACACAAATTTATATTAATGATATTGTATATTTTCAATTCATCCATAGGTACTGGGAAAACTGCAACTTTCTCGATATCAATACTTCAACAAATTGATACTAGTATTAAAGAATGCCAGGCTTTGATCCTTGCACCGACTCGTGAGTTAGCTCAACAAGTAAGTGTCTCATTAGGGAAATGTTTGCTTCAACAAAGTAATCATTTTTTATTATGAGAAAATGTTAATATAATGTTCTTTTAACTCTGTTTTCTAGATCCAGAAGGTTGTTATCGCATTAGGAGATTTTATGCATGCTGAATGTCATGCGTGCATTGGCGGTACCAATGTACGTGAAGATATGCGAAAGTTGGATCAGGGTGTTCATGTGGTCGTCGGTACGCCCGGTAGAGTTTACGATATGATCAGTCGACGAGCGCTTCGGGCAAATAGCATCAAACTGTTCGTGCTGGATGAAGCGGATGAAATGCTTTCCCGAGGATTCAAGGATCAAATCCACGATGTATTCAAATTATTACCTAATGAAGTGCAGGTAGATATATATTACATATTTTTGAGAGAGCATTGTAAATTTTTTATTACAATTGCCGTCTAATAGATAATTTTATTTTAATTATTAGAAAATATCTTTTTTGGACAAATCCACAAATCATACAAGACGAAAAAGTTGCTGTATACCTTATAATAATCGAGTTAACAAATATATTATAAAATACAGGTGCGTCGTAATAGTGTCATTTTTTGACAAATGTACACTATAGGTTTGACATACGCTGTTTCCATCAAATGTGTTCTTTTGTATGAAAATAATAGGCCTAAATGCAAACAATTATTATGGCATAGCACTCCTAATAATAATCATAATGTCCTAAAAAAACAATTAGTCACTTTTAATATCTCTGTGATAGCAGCAAAAATTTTCAATTTA